ACCCTAACCCTAACCCTAACCCTAACCCTAACCCTAACCCTAACCCTAACCCTAACCCTAACCCTAACCCTAACCCTAACCCTAACCCTAACCCTTGTCCCAACCTCAAGCAAGATGAGGCAGGGTGCGGCAGAAGCGCCATCCACCTCTTCCGAGTACTTTGGCTCAGTTCCATATTCATCGTTGTGAGTAGCTCATGAATGCACCGATCCCTAGGGGATCATGCTGACTTTGATTGCCTCTCCTTGCGCCGCCCCTGCAGATCCGACTCCTGTACAGAATCATCGAACTGGCTCCCGGCCCAGACTCGCGCATCTCTGCAAGCCAGGCATGCTTCTATCTTCTCGATGCACTTCCCCTCGTCTTCGCACTTGCACCATACACGCTCGGCTGGCCTTCCAGAGTGTTCCCCGCGATCAGCTTTCGCGTCCGCCCACCGGTTCCGTCCGGTGAGGACACGATCTCCAAGCTTCCGCTCACGCACACTCCCTATCAACATGCATGAACCGGCATCCTGAAGCGCTGTTTCGCTGCCGCTCAACTCCCAAAATCCTGACCTGCGTTCACTACATTCGTGAACTACACTACAATTCACTCTTGCCCTCATCTTTGCGACATTGCGGGTGAATTACGGTCAGTGGGGTACGTCCAAAAGGTCCCAAGACAATAGGTCGTCCCAGAGGATGCTTTCATGGTCCAAGCCCGGATGAGGCGCAATGAGTTGGGGGCTGGTTATCGTACCAGCAGCCGCGGACCACAAAGCTGATGACTGGCCACCATAGCCTCCCAGTTGAGAATGCGAAGTCTGCCGCTGCTCTTTATGAAGAGGCGGCGATTGCCTCTCGATCTGCTGATGTTGCTGGTGAGATCCTTGCATCGCATGTTGATGCTGATGGTGGTCTGGGCGGTGCGATTGGTACAGGGAATGGCGCGTTTGCGACGGCATCGACCCGACCCAGCGTTCCTGGCCTTGGGTCTCGGAAGCATGAACTGCAGACTGGACGTGACGAGGCGAAGAGTGCGTCGCGAGAGGATGTATGCCGCCCGACTGGCTATCGACTCTAGTGGCAATCTGAGACCGGGACTGGGATTGGTCGCTTCTCGCGGTGCCGAGATTCCCGCTGCTTTTTGCGATCAGAGCGTTTGGATCACGGTCCACCTCCGCTACCTCGCAGTCATGGTCAAGCCCTCCAGCAAAGTCGATGAGCCCTTTGCGATCACTGCGGGCCAACTCGTCTTGTTTGGCTTGAAGGAGCTGTGCAAATGAGGTCAGAGGCGTTGGTGAGCATCCCAGACATCTGCGGAGACATCTGCGGAAGACTCGGCCGCTGTCGCACAAACGATGCGCCGAGCGAAGACGACGGGAAGGATCAACTTACCTCTCTCAGGGCCTCGTTCGTACGGATGAGGAAATGCCTCACTAGCAGCGCTAGTTCCGGCATACAGGGCTGATTCGCATCGCGGAGCGTCCTTGCTGCGATGTCCAGCACGTCCAATGCCTGGATCAAACGAGCAGAAAGACTGGACCACTTGAGCAGCACCAGCATCCATAGTTGGGATAGGACCTTGACGGCTCGGAAGACCGCGGTGCAACGGAGGATCAGCGGCGCAACATTTGAAGTCGAGTGGGCCTCGCCGTGCGCAGTGAGTAGTTCGTAGGAGATGTTGAGCACGACGTGCGCTAGGTCTGTGCATCTTTCCGTCACGGTGGCTAGGAAGCGTGCTCCTTGAAAGTTACGTGCCTTGAGCTTGGGGAACACTGCGTCATATTCCACTGAGCTAGGGGCATTTACCGTTTCGTCATTGGCGCACATCGTCGGACAGGCATGAGGACCAAGCTCGAGGTAAATGCAGTGCGACCACAGGGCCAGTTCCATATCAGTGGCTTGTGTGCGTAGTATGACGAGCCAGTGGTCAGCTGCATTGCTATCTGCTTCTGCATGAGCACCGGCCGGGATGATGTCGAAAAGAAGGAATCAGAGATCGTGAGAGGGGCGTCGTGAGCTAAGAGAATGATGACTTCGATCTTCGTCATGCAGTCAGACCCACCTTGCTTTGTGTCGAGCGCGAAACGATACAGTGCTGACTGCACCGCGGAGCGGAACCGGGCGTGCAGTTCCTCCACTCTGGTGTCGACGGTGGATATGGGCAGAGGAAAAGCTCTCAGTTTGCGGAGAGCGTGAACAAAGGCGCTGCTCATCTTGAACTGTGAAGCAAGCGAACGAACGGCGATCGTCTGGCAAGCTGGCACTCGTACATTGGCTGCTGCGCCGAGGCTGAGATTGTCGAAGCGGGCCAGGACAGCTTGAATGGACAGGCCGTGCAGCAGGGTCAGGTCGTCTGCAGCTTTGACCTCGTTCGCTGTCCGTGAGGGCAGATAGCTGGCTCGTAAATTGAAGAGCGCGATCAGAGTCAAGAAGCGCACGATATCCGAGGGGGCCTCTTGGCTATCGGCTCTGCCTTCACTGTTGTCGGTAGCTGAGGCAACGATGCGCGGCAAACCTAGTTGATGTGCCATGCTGTAAGCAAGATCGACAAGCGCTCGACCAGGAGGCGGCAGAGCGGGCACCGCAGCGCTTGGCGGAGGCGAATCTTGGCTAGCCTCAGGTGCATCTGCAAAATCAGCATCTGCACCGCCGTCGTGGGGCTCGCTACCTTCTTCGGGCGTATGTCGCAGCAACAGATCCGGGGGGTCGTAGACCGAAAGCAAGATGAGTGCTTGGATTGCACGCAGCGAAGGCGGCTGGCGGCCAAGGAAGATTTGAGCGACCCTGTGAATGAGCTTCTTTCGCGAAGATGCGATCGTCGGTTCAGCGCCATTGCGATGCGGAGCGCTGTCTGGCAGAGTTGCGGATGAAGGCTGCCGCGCAGGCCCATGGCAGGGGCTTGAAAGGAGCAGTAGGTTGAGATGCTTGAGTGTGACGGCGAGGAAGTCGTTGGTAGTGGTGGGAGGCTCACATGCTCGGAGAAGCTTGATCCAGTAGAGGAACGGATTCCAAACCTCGAGAACGCTAGCTCCACAATGAGGATCTGTCGGAGCCAAAGCGGCGACGGAAGGGGGGCAAGGTGAAGTGGCGCTGGACTCGTTGGCGGAGTCAGAAGGCTCTGGCGCTGAGCAAGGCGATGCAGAAGATGCACTGCTCGCAGCAGCCGCTGTTGCAGACAAGGCGGCGCTGATATCGGGGTAGAGCAAGTCGAGCAAACCCGGTCGAAGCGGCTCGGGAATGCGAATGCTGGAATTCGGAGGGGTCGGATCGTCTGACGCAGTCGTATGCAGGTCGGAACTGAGCATCTGTTCTTGGCTGGGCGCATTGCTGGTCGATCTGCTGCGGACCCGGATGGAGCCCGCACAGCCATCGATGCCGAGGGAGTTTGACGCCGTATCGTCTGCCTGCGATACTGAAGGCGAGTGGACCGTTCTGTGCGCCCTGCGCGCTTTGCGCGAATGAGAGTGATTATGACCATCCGACGGCGTCGTATCAGCCAATGCGCTGCGTTCGAGGAGGCCATCCAAACCGTACCGGCTGGTTCCGGCTTTAGTGACCCGCCTCTGCGAGTCGTCCACGACACAGGGCGCTGAGAGCGATCGACATCGACGACAAGCCTTGTCGTCGGATAGAGGCGTTGCCGAGGAAGCGACGGTCAGGTCCGGAAGTTGACAGCGAGTCTTACTTCGACGACAGCTGAGACATGTGCGGAGAGCGTTGCCGGCACCTGACCTCGTGCGTCCGCCCCTGCGAGGGTGGCTGACATTACGTGCGAATGCTGGCATGGCGCTATGAAAGATGTGTCGATCGTCCTGTCGCAGCGACGACAAGATGATGGAGTGAGGGGACCGACGAGCCTCTCCTCATCGAAACCACGACTTCAGTCTTGCACCATTTTCCCATTAGGGGTCCACTAAATCCGGCCGACATGACACTGGAAGTGAGCATCCAGTGAACGAGTCTCGGTTGCCCCAAGGCCAAGCTCGAGCCACCGGAAGCAGAAGGCAGCCTCGAGGAGCCGCAGCCCTACATCTGTGTTTGAGCAGCGCCGAGCCACTATGCCGCGTCGAGGGTTTGAAGAGGCACAAGCTGATACCGACGTAGATCAACGTGCCATCATTCGTGTCCGACGGCATGGAGCGAATGACTCGCTTTTGCGTGCCAAATGCCTCCACACGTGCCAGAGACGACAGGGTCCAGACGTCAGGCCTGTAATGACTGTAACGTATTCTCGCGGCTGCCACTGGTGCTCTTGTGCTCCTATGCTGTTCCTCTTCTGTCGTCTCGCAGATCTCGCTCTTACTCCTGCACAACCACACCTCCCTCGTCATCAACATGGGGAAATTCTACGACCACATCCCGGAGCATCTGCACGAGTTCATGCTGAGGCAACGCCTCTTCTTCGTTGCCACCGCCCCGCTGAATGGCGGTTCGGTGAATGTCTCGCCCAAAGCCAACGAAGGAGCATTCGAAGTGACCAGCACGCATCGTGTGCGTTATGCCGATCTGACTGGGTCCGGTAACGAGACCATCAGCCACCTGTTGGAGTCCGGCAACGGACGAATCACCTTGGCCTTTATCAACATCGAAGAGGGCGCGCCCAACATTGTCCGCCTCTATGGCAAGGGCACGGTGTTTGAACGCGCCGCCGATGCTGGTTTCGACCAAAGGTGGCGGGATGAGCATGGAGGAAAGTCGGTGCCTATTGGAGTACGCGCTATCATCGATGTAGCCGTACACACCTGTGCGACATCATGCGGGTATAGCTTGCCCGTCTTCCACTTTCAACGCCAGCGTACCATCCTGGACGACTTTCAGAGGAAGTACGATCGGCCGGGCGGAATGGAGGCGCTGCAAAAGTACAAAGGGGCTGCTTCTCCTTCCGTCGATGCCGAGGGCATCGTTGTTGAGAAAGGACACGATGGCGGTCCGCACGTCCGACGCATTGGTTCGGCCCTGGAGCTGTACTGGGCGATTTGCAACACGCTGTCGATCGATGGGCTTCCCGGCATGCGTTCCGTGGCACCCTTGACAAACAAAGAGGAACAGCAGAGGCTGTTGACACGAGCGAAAGAGCACGATGCATGGCAGGCGCCGCCGGATGACTTGGGGCCCATCAGAAGCCCCCCGATGACATCCTCTCAGACGGGTAAACGAGCGGCACCGGGAGGAAACGTGAACCTGGCCCAGCCGGTGAACATGTTGCACGTCTCGATCGCCTTCGCTGCCGGCTGCGCCTTGACCGCCGTCTTGCTTGCCACTCAGACGTAGATAGCCGCAATGTGGCAAGGTTGGATTTAGTTGCAGTGCGTTGCAATGAATGACATTTCGAGCTGGTCCCGCGCTCGGACTCTTCATTCAGGTCGATCTAGAGGTACAATCATCCCGCAAACATCACAAGGCAAACCCAGGGTAGGGGCAGCTCTCGAATCATGACACATTCGGTACGCAATTTGATAGTAGGGGACGCGTATAACAACGATAATTGGGAGACATGAGACCTGGTCTTACGACAACGCATGGCCTGCATGGCTCGAAAGTTGAAGCGTTGACTAAGGAGGGCCCCAGGTGCCCGAGGAGGGCAGAGGGTTGCTGCGGAGGAAGGCGAAAAAGGTGTCGGTGTTGCGAGTGGCGGGCCACCGAAGGTGGGCGACCAAGCCTTGAGTGACGCCGCACGCACCCTGGCATACGGGATCGCAGCTTGCACTGGCGTCCGTACCCTTGATGGCGGCAGTGAGGGTGTCGATGACGACGAGGCTCTGCTTGAGCGCAGGATAGCGCTTCTTGAGGTCGGCATAGTAGTACTGACCGGTGGTGCAGATGCCGATGAGGTCGCAGTAATTGTGCACGTCACGCACGGGTGTTGCAAACTTGGGATATGGGACCTGGGTGCACGGATCCTGCGAGTCTCGATAAGGATCGGGAGCGCTGTAGACAGCTGCGGCTGCGATGCCGTCGGTGTTGGCGGCATAGAGCTCGGACATGGCGGCGCCGTTGGACCAGCCGGACATAAAGACGCGGCGCGAGTCGACGGGCACATGCGCCTTGGCGTAGGAGATGGCCTTGTCTACAAACGAGACATCGGCGTTGAGCGCAGGCGAGGAGCGGTCGAGGTTGCGGTACCAGTTGTCCCAGCCGAGCCCGACGTTGTCCGGCACGGGGTACTGGTGCTCGGTGTTGCGACCGGCGGGGAGGATGTAGGAAAAGCCGAGGCGCGAGGCATCCTCGTTGTTGAGGGACTGCGTGTCACGTACTAGATCGATGCCAGTGAGCGGGAAGGAATACGATGGGCTGACCAGCGAGGGATGAAGCCAGACGAGGAGCGGCAAGGGCTTGTCTTTGGTGGACTTGGGATTGGCATAGAAGCACATGGCGCGCGGCTTGCCGGTGTTGTCTGTCATCTGGACGATCTCGCCGTGGCAGATCTGGAGGAGGTCTTGCAGACCGTCGGGCGACTCGATATTGGAGAGGATGCGTGCGGGTGGGTCGCCATACTGATTACAGTTCTTGCCCGTCTGGACGGTTGTGACTGCCGAGGGGGGATACTTTCCGGTGAGTGGTGAGGTGAGCAGCGGGGGCACGCAGAGCGGGATGTTGGGGACGGGGGGGCCGCCAGACTGGCGCCCAAGCAGATCTTCGGTTACGGGCACCACGCTACCGAGCGTCTGCTGGGCGAAGAGCTGCAGAACGAGCGACACCCACAGCAGGAGCGAGGCCGGCCCCAATGCATTGCGAGATTGCTGCATCGTGACTCGAAACGCTACGGAGTGACTGGATCAACTTCCAGGGCAGGATGGATTGATTGGCGAAGGATTGTAGGAGTGCGGGGCAAGAACAGGGACAGCGAGGGGAGCAGGTGGGGCAGCGGCGCAACCTTGTTGCCTACATTATATATTGCTGCGAGCATGCCGCTACAAGCCGGCGTCGGGGCACACACACTGAAGTTGGCTGCTTGCATTGACATTGTGGGGTAACTGGACCTGCCAAAGAGGAGGTGAAGAGGCGACTGACAATTGTGGGGGACCGCCAACAGTCGCGGGGAAGAGCGCTGATGCCCGCGGGCGGCGTCGACATGGTGGTGGCGCTCAAATGCCGCCCGAGCCGAGCTGCGCTTCCGATCCGAGTTTGCGCCGAGACATGGTCTGTCGTTGCCAACACGGAGGGCAAGGGTTATTGATAAAAGGCAAGTTGTGCGGGACCTGCCAGCTTTGATTTCGCTCTGCGACGGCTTGGCATCTTCCTTGTCGTTTGCCTTGTCACTAGATTGAGGCTGTGGGTAGCTGTGAAGCTGAGCCTAGACATGGCGATCGACAGTCAAGGACTGCAGAACATCAAGTCTTTGAGTGGCTCTGCCAATCCAAATTGTGCCTGGCCTCGCTTAGAATCCGGCGCCCTCGGATCGGCGTTGCGGGCATCCGAGGTTACCACACACCCGCGTACAAGGTGTCGAGTGCCGATCAGATGATCAAGTTGTCGAAAACCTTTCGCCACGGGTGCTTGATATGGGTGGTCGCTGATTGTCGCCTTTCCTGTACTCGGCATCGCAGTAAGCGGTTCAGTCTCAAGTGTGCTTCAACCTGATCCCACGACGGCTAATGTCGGCGCCGAGCTCATGGATGTGCGCTACGTCTGACCGGTCGGCGGACCTCGGGCGGGTCGAGGCGGTGGGTATCGTTGATGTGATCAATATACAGGGTGCGACGGAGCGGGGCCGGGCGGCAGCACCTTCTTACCGGCACTCGTAGCGCGAAAGACCTGACGGTGTCGGATGCGTCTGCGTCTGCGTCTTGTGCTTTCAAAGCCCGATTGTCACTTCGAAGATGGCTCATCGCTGCCGGCCGTCGATGCGATGTTTGTGCGGGTGCAAGAGACTGGGCGCTTGGCTGACTGCTGCCGAACAAGGCACCGATCCGAGTGCCGAAGCCGCCTTGTTCGGCCTGCGCCACTGCTTTGCGCTACGGAAAACTCCAAACCTGAGTCGGCAGCCGTTGATTGGGGCCTGTGGCGCCTAATCGAGTGCTGCTGGACCCTGACCAAGCGCTTGGCCGCCGGCTCAGTCGTGAGGCGCCGCAGCCTGACCGCTGAAGCTGGAAGCTCGCACGATCCTCCTTGCAGCAATCTCTTTCAACGCGTCCCGAGAGCAACCTTGAGCTAGGCGGCCTTGGACCTTATATTAATAAAGCCACCTTGCCCCACACTTCTTTGCATTGCTATCGACCAACGACACGGCTGTGTACCCCTTCCGCAAGGTTCGCCCGACATGGACACTCTCATCACGCGCTACAAGGACAAGCTCGATCGCAAAGATGACCGACGCCGTCTCAAGGACAGGCCTTTGGAGCAGCCCGGTCCTGCGTGCCAAGATTCGAGGCCAAATCGAAAGTACTTTGCCGATCCACCGGCCTCACTTCCGCCTCCGCTCGTGAAGCCCGTCTTCATCCCGCAGCGCAGACAGGCGGATCGGCTGCGAGGCTTCCAGCTGCTCTACGCACCGGATCTGGCCGCCAGTGGCGTCACAGAGCCTGAATTCGTCCACTTTCTCAACACGCTCAACGCCGCCATTGGGTTCGACAACAGGGTCAAGATCTTGAACTTTGCCGTGGACGTCGGCACGCTTGCCTGCAGCTCGTGGGAGGTGCTTGTGGCCACTATTGGTGCACAAGCTCTGACCACCACCGCAATGCACGTAAAGAGCCGTGCCAAGAGTCAAGCGTACATTGCCCACGCCAACCAGCGCTACTTTCATCCGCGCGGCTTGCATGCTCAGATTGTCCCTGTCTCCAGCGTTCACGCCGTGTCCTCGCCATCGAATGGCGTTCAACAGGAGGAGACAGCACTCGAACCAAGCACTTTCCAGTTCAGCCTTGGCTCGCCCAACGTCCTCCCGCTAGATCACCCCAAGGCCAAAGGCGGACTCTTCAATCTGAACAAGCGTCCGATCGACTACGATCCGTTCGACTACGGTCCTGGCTACGCGCGAATCCTGCCGCACCAGTATGCTCCCATACGACCATCTGAGATCCAGATCCCCTCCTCTTCGCTGGTCGACAAGATGGCGGACAAAGTAGAGAGCTACAATGTGTGGCAAGACCGACTTCCCGCCAAGAAGAGTGTTCGGCGGGAGAAGAAGCGGCAAGACACGATCGGTCGAATCCGCTGCAGCGAGGGAGAAGCCGGTGTTCTGGAATTCTTGCGGAAGGAGGAAGCTCGCCACGAGGAACAGCTGGACAAGAACAAATTGCAACAACTCATGGACCGGAACAAGGTCATCCTCGTCGTTGTCAATCTCGACTCTCGAGCGACCGGTCGCCAGCTCACCGAATGACGAATTCGACGGGTGGCACGGTCTCAATCTTTGGAATGGAGAAGCAACGTGTTGCGATGCGGTGCAGAATGGCGATACGACGGTCACTTTTTGTGCTTCTTGCTGTTGGTGTTCTGCCGCAAGTCTGGCTGAGCCTGAGAAAGTGACGAGGCTGGTTCGGAGAGGTGAGCCGACTTGCGTTTCTTGCCATTGGTCTCTCCAAGATCGACGTTGGAGGAATCGGGTTTGGAGATGGCGGGGATCACGACCGGATGCGAGACGACGCCGCGGTAGGTCTTGCGCGTCTGAGAGCGCAGCAAGAGGCTGCGACAGTTGTTCGAGATGGCGTCGCGAGCGGCGGAAGGATTGAGACCAAAGATGGCGCCGAGATTGATGACATCGTAAGGCGCACGCAGAGCAAGGGCGTCTGCTGCACCCGATGACAAGAAGACGCCCTTGCCGTTGGTCACGCGCAGCAGATCGCGAGCACCACTGATGAGGTTGCGCCTTGCCTTGGCTGCGTCGTCGCCGATAGCGGGTGCATAGGTGATTTCGAATTGGACGCCGTTTTCGAGCGCCGCATTGACGGTGGAGCGTCTGAGGAAGAAGGGCAGTCTCGGCTGTGCGCCAAAGTCGAGCGAGATAACGTCGATGCTGAATGGCTTGAGCTCGGAGAGGGTGAGGCAGGCGTGTTGAAAGGCAGCTTCGTTGGTGGGGCGCACGGCGAGCAGATCGTAGCTCTGAAGGGCGGTGGCATTGTTGGTGACCCAGCCGCTGCCGGATTTGGCCATCGAGTGTTCGTCGAGGACGAGCGTGAGGCGGCTGAGCTGGGTGATGGAGTGTGAGCTAATGGCGGAGATGGCTTTTGCCTTGCCTTTTGCTTGGGTACGCGGATCGAGTTCGGGAAAGGGCGGATTGGGACGGCTGTCGCGGGAGGGTGCGAGCGCGTTGGGATGCAGAGCCGGATCGTACTTGGACTGCACGACGTGATTGAAGGCGACGCAGGAGTAGCGCAGCTCGCTGAGTTCGAGCACGAGCTGTGCGAGCGCTTCAGCGTCCTTTTGGCGTAGCGCGGCGAGGGGTGAAGCGGGTGGTTCCGGGGTAGCTGCTGCCGAGGACGATGCGGTCGAGGCCGAAAGAGTGGCAGCATTCTGTTTCGCCTTTTTCTTGGAGGACTGCGAGTGTGCTGCGGCGGAAGAGGGGGAGCCCGTTGGCTGCGGCCAGGGTATATTGAGATCGTAGAACATGACGATGGCGGTAGTGGTGGAAAGGATCGAGTTGGGAGCGGAGCAGCTAAGCAACGTCAAGCTTCCTTCTCAAAGTGGAGAGAGAGTTGCGCAAAAAGTGCGCTCAAATCGCGGGTCTCGGCGATGATCTACTCGCACAAAAATGAAATTGTGCGAACGAGAAATCTCACAATCTCGTACCAAGCTTTTCGACTAGCACGCTTTTGGCAGCAACTGAGAGCTCCACGAACAAGAACAGGTAGACTCTGCACGCTGCGCACAGGACGGTGAAGTCGGAACGAGTAAGCGAAAGAGTTTTGGATGGGTATACTGAGGGGGACACTCGAGCGTCGAACTAAGGCAATGCGGATGCGAAGACGTAGAGAGAGATAACGGAGCGACGATGGGTTGTTGGTGGCATGGAGCGCCTGTCAAGCGCGGTCGCTGGTCGTATGGGAGAGATTTTTGACCTTTCGAGGAAGCTACGGGCTCTGATGCGACAGGCCTAGGATGACATCTGACGCCTCGAACGGGCTTGACGAGGCTTGGACGCAGTCACCACTCGAGGATGGTGATGACGGTGCTGATGGCGACCATGGCCACGAAGAAGGCGATGCCAAAGGTGGCGACCGAGAGCATGATGGCGCAGTTGCGACAGGACCAAGATGCAGAGCGATGCTGGCCAAGGATGGATGGACGGATGGATGGTTGGGGTGGCGCCGATGTGGTGCAGCGTGTGGGGCAAAGAGGCCGGCCATTTCCGTCGAGGCCGCTCCGTTGGCTTAGTCATGCTGATCCAGCCCCGATCGAGAGATGGCCGACGCGCCGACGAGTTTCACGCGCCTTTTCACTTTTTCAGCGAGGAGGCGCTGCGGAGGGACGTCGAATTCCGCTCTTTGGCCTTGTCCAACATGAGGTCACTCTTTGAGCACCGAGCACCGAGAGCGGATGGTCGTCCTGTCCTGCCAGCGCCGCATTCGCTGCTCATGATTCGTCCTCAACAAAAGGCGACCAGTGGCAACCAATGCAAAATTGTGCACATATGGTGGTACCGTCAGGGTGGTGTTGTTGCAAGATGCATCGGTGGACAGCCTATGAATGGACGGGCGGGCACCAAGCGGCCAACACGGAGCGGTCTTGCGGGCACACATGCAAAGAGGCTGCAGTAGTGCATCACTTGACGCACAAACGTACATGCGCTTCCCCAACACTTGGTCCTGAGCGGCGCAGCGCCGTCGGCTCTCGTCTGGCTGTTGCGCATGAGAGTGGCACTCCATCCACAGTCTGCTGTATTTTGCCAGCGTGTGGAGGCGACCTCCATCAAAGGCTGCGGCTCCCAAGCGGGCGACGCCAGGACCCTGACGCCGCTTGGCCTGCATTTCACACGAATGCGGCCGCCGCGCTCGTCGTCCTCTTGGCGAGCAACGTTGCCGCTCCTGCGCCCATCCTCCCCGCAAGCCGCACACCTTTTTTTTTTTCGCCGTTCCCCACACTCTCTCGCTCGACAGCTTCCATCCGCAGCGCCTGCCCGTGCCCGTGCTCTTCTTTATAAACTAGAGCTCTTCTAAAACCACTGGCGCCGATCGCACCTTCCCAACCACACCGCTTCTCGTTTCCCCCCGCGTCTCACGATATACCAGCCATGACGGCCTCGTCGACATCCGCAACCGGGCTCACCCAGTTCCGCGAGCCATTCACCTTTGATACGGTCCTCGGCATCCTTGGCAAGGTGCCCTTCTCCACGCCCTTCCTCGCGCTCCTCCCGGCACTCACGCTGCTCTACCACAAGCATACCAACCCGACGCTCGCCATTCCCACCACCTACGACAAGCTCCTCCCCTTGCTCCGCTCGCTCGTCTTCACCCAGTACAAGTGGGTGGGCTACATCTGGTCCTTCATCCTCATCCGCACCATCAACCGTGCGCTCAACCGATACAACCGCAACCACACCGAGTGGAGGCGCGATCCCATCGACTATGCCAACGACATTGTCGTCATCACCGGCGGCTCCCAGGGTATCGGCAAGGAGATCGTCCAGCTCCTCAGCCACAAGAAGAAGGCGCACATCGCGGTGCTCGACATGGCGCCGCCCGCCTACATTGCTGCTCCCGCGGGCGCACCCGAGATCCTCTACTTCAAGACCGATGTTTCCAACCGCGAGCAGATGGCCGAGGTGGGCAAGAAGATCCGCGCCGGTTTTGACGGCAAGAAGGTCGGCGTGCTCATCAACTGTGCCGGCGTGGCGTCGGGCAACACCATCCTTGACGTCGATCTCGACTCGGCCGAGCGTCTGTGGCGCATCAACACGCTTGCCAACTGGATCACCGCCAAGGAGTTTGCGCCCGACATGATTGCGCGCAACCACGGTCACATTGTTACGGTCTCGTCGGCAGGCGCGTATGCTACGCTTCCGTCCATGTCCGAATACGCCACTTCCAAGGCGGCTGCACTTGCATTCCACGAGTGTCTGGCCATCGAGATGCGCACGCGCTACAACGCTCCTCGCGTTCGCACTACGCTCGTTGCGCCCACCAAGGTCCGAACCGCCCTGGGTGACGGTATGGAGGACCATGCCGATCCCTTCTTCACGCCCGTGCTGGAACCCATCCAAGTCGCCGAGCGCGTCGTGTGGAGCCTCGACTCGGGTCTCTCTCAACACCTCATGCTCCCCGGATTCGCCAACCTCCTCCCCTTGCTCCGAACCGCCCCCGACTGGTTCCGACGTCTGTTGGCCGTCCTCGACAACGGCGACAACACCGTCACCCACAAGAGCATGCAGCGCGCCATGGACAACGGCTACGGATCCACCTGGGAAGGAAAGGACAAGGAACTCTACCAGCGAAGAATCGCCGCCGTCGCCGCCAGCAAACAGTCAAAGTGATGCAATCTCCTCCTCATCGCTCCATCTTTGTGTTTGTAGACATCCATCCTTCCCACAGATGCGTTTAATTGATGGAATAAATTTCATCGTCACGACTGCCTTGGATTGCGGGCCAGTGATCTACTTTGGTATATATGATTCGAGTGAGTCGTCGAGATGTCATCGGTAAGTTCAGCGGCCCGACTTCTTCTTCTTCTTCTTTCCGCCACCGGACGTGCTGATCTTGGGCACTGCCACGGCCTGCACGGGGCTGGGATCCTCCCCAACCTTGGTCGATGCGGTCTCGGGCGTGAAGGTTTCTTTACTGCCTTCGCACAAAAGACCCGAAGCGGCACTCATCTGGCTGCCGCTTTCAGCGCCGCCATCCGAGTGAGACGGGCTGGCATCGCGCACGCCCAGTCGAGCGTCCTTGGGTTCGCCTCGAGCCTCGAATGCACCAGCAAGGCCAGTGCTCTGACCGAGCACGCTCGAGCGTGTCGAGGCATTGGCCGGAAGAGCGTACACCAGCTCCTTGGGCGGCACGGCTTTGCTCGCCGCCCCGGATGACAAAGCCGAGATGTTCGAAAGCGACTGGGTAACCGTGCTCTGTCCCGAGTCCTCATCGAGCCTGCCGACAGTAAAGTCGTCCTCCAGACTGTCGGGTTCGAGACCGCCAGGGATGCTCGGAGCTGCGCCGCCACTCTGGCCGGACAAAGAAGCATGCATCGCGGCTGGGCTGCGACTCGCCTCGATGGCATCCCAGTCGCAGTCGTCCGCACTGCCTGAAGCGCCGTCGGCACCCGCATCATCGGCCTCACTGAAGCGTGTCGAGGGCGTCTCGGCCGAGCTAGGCTGGGAGCCGCGCAGCTGTCCATCGTTCCTGAGCGTCGACATGAGCGATGCCTGCGACGGCACCGAGGCTGCGTCCAAGTGAGCCTCGGCACTGCCCCGCGCCGCGTAATGTCGCTTGCGCGAGGCGCCCAGTCCGCCGTCGTCTTCGCCCAACAGGTCGACATCATCCTCGCCGTCGAACGAGACTGACGCTCCAGCACCGGCAGAATAGCGCGCGTCAACGTCAGAGACGGCGGTGCGAGAAGCTCCGCTAGTGCGTCGGCGTGCCATCTCGACACCGCGACCGAGCTCCTTGCCAGCCCGATAGATGCCTCCCAGACCACCCGCAACGATGCGGATGGGGATGGAGCTGCCGGCGGTCCAGCCCGAGGAGCGACCCCGCTGGCCCTGCGGGAAGCTGGGGATGTGGGACGAGGCGCTTCGGGCAGGCAGGTTGTCCGGGTCGAACGACATCTGGTCGAACGCGCCCGACAGGCTGTCGTCAAACGAGCTCGGCACCTCGGACGACGGCTCGCGCGAGACGATGCGAGCGGTGCGGCGCACCTGGATCGGCCGTGATGCTCGTCTCGGAATGCAGCGCATCGTTGTTTCCGCAGCCGATGCTGCTGCAGCCGCCAGCTTGCCGGTGACGGGCGTGCGCGTGTGGAAGAAGGTCTGGCGGGAGAGATAGATGGAGCTGGGCAGCATGGCGGGCGACTGGCTGTACGTCTCGATCTCGGCCTTGGCAAGGGAGGAAGCTCGTGTGGAGGCGACGTCGCCGGATCGATCCTTATGGCGAGTGTCTCGAGTGTCTCTGTGGTCGAAGAGCGCGGTCAAGCTGTGTTTGGTCGCGGCGTCTGCGTCGGGAACGAGGTGGTCCCACAGGGCGACACGAACGCACTCGGCCTGAAGCCGAGGGGTGTTCTGTGCACTGAGAAGGCCTTCTCCGGCCTTTCTCATCATGTGGGTGAGGCCCGAGGAGCGTGGCGAAGTGGAGGAGGCCAAGCGCTGCTTGGGCTCGGGGCTGACGCTGTGCATGGACTCGTTGTTGTCGACGGCAGCGCGGGTACGAGACTGCGAACTCCAGCAGCGGAGCGCGTGCTGGGTGATGGCGTGGGAGCGTGGATCGTTTGTGAGCAGCTCGAAGGGCGTGCTGGCGTCGGCGCCCGACTCGGCGCTCGACGACGATCCGAGGTTGATCATGATGAACGATGGCGAGCAGTGCTTGGGCGTCGTGGCTGGAGCTAGCGTAGCCGAGGCGGCTTCGGTTCTCGACGCAGCGGAGGGTTGAGCCGAGGTGTCTTGGTGCGCTGACGGGTGCGGACGGACGGAGCGCGCTGCGCTGTGAAGCGAGATGCCAAAGGGCTGGAGAGCGCGCGGGTTGCGAACCTTGCCGAGGACGTGGTTGGCGATCGAAGGCTCGCCGCCGAAAGGATTAACGGCAAAAACGTGCACCGAGCCGCTTCGAGTGCCGATGGCGATCCACTGAGCGTCGGGGCTCCACTCTGCACGGACCACGTCTGCGAGGGTGATGCCGCGCAGGAGCTTGTAGCGATGGAGGAGCGTGGAAGTCGAAGGATGGCCGGCGCCTGCGAACGCACCGACGAGTGGCAGTTCGAATACGTTGAAGGCGTGTCCAAGCACGTCGGCGGTGAGGATCATACGGCCGCAGGGGCTAAATGCGACCAGGGCGACTGCATTGGTGGCGGGAGCAAAAGCACAGACGGTGCGCGCGTCGGTGCCAAGGTCAACGATGCGAACGCATGCATTGTTGGGATTGGAACCTGAAGCCTGTGCATTGACCTCCGACTTTGTGAGCGGGGCGACAGTGGAGCCCGACGAGAGGCGCTTGTTGGCACGGGCCGAGTCTAGGGCGTGCAGGCTGGGCGAGCTGGAGGCGGAGGAAGCGGGACGAGGTGGGTGAGGGTTGTGAGGAGCCGATTGGGAGAGCAGACTGGGCTGGGAGGGCGAGAAGGCGGCGTTGTTGGGCGGACTGCCCGGGTTGGGCCAGTAGGAGCTGCCCCACTCGCCGAGGGTGCGAACGCCGCTCATGACGCCGCCGCGGATGCGGCGAGCCGCATCGCCGACGTGTGCCGAGGTGTCGAAGAGGTTGTCGCGCATCTCGCCGACGCGAGCGGATGTATTCGGTTGAGGAGCGGCATACGATCGCGTTGGGTCTTGGAAGGAAGCGTTGGAGGTCTTGCGTGCATCGAAGCGAATGGGCGAGAGGTGTTGGGGAGACGTGCATGCATATGCAAGCAAGCGATCAGACAGAGAGACGGGCGTGGAACGTCCTTGGGTGGGAGAAGCGGCATCGAGCAGAGGAGGCTGAAGGTATTCGAGAGTGGCGGCCGAGAGGATGTGAAGTGAAGGCGGCGAAGCGAAGGAGAGGACGAGGTAGCGGTGGTTGATCTGCGCGTCGACGTGGTCGACAGTGGTGGCTGATTGGTCGGATCGAGGCGAGAAGTGATGCTGGAGCTGGACCGAGGATTGTACCTGGTGGGTGGCGAGAGAGTAGGCGAGCAAGTGGGTTGATCCGCTTTGGTGTTGGACGACGAGCAGAAGCTGGGTGTCTGTTGAGTTCGGGAGAGGATGACGGGCGAAAGCGGTGAGGAGATGTGCATGTGCGGATGGCTCGAGCGCGTCAGGCGGCTGTAGTGCTTGGGATGCATTCGGAATGCAGAGCAGCTCGGAGATGTTGCGGTCCTGGACGAGGAGCGCCTGGAGGCAGCCGTCGTCAAAGTAAGAGATGAGGAGGGGCAGCCAAGCGTGAGGATGGTGAGGATGCGGCAAGCGATCCCAACGCGACCAGAGCACGGCGGGTGCGGGCTTGCGGGGTGCGGGGTGGTCCGGGTGGATGTGGCTGAGTGCCGCCTGTACGCGCGCGGGGTCTACGGAGATTCCGGCATTGTGGAAGGCGTCGTAGATGGGCGATACGGATCCGTCTGTGCGGAGGGGAGTGGATGTTGCGGTGGACGATGCGGCGAGTTGGGGGGATGTGGCGTCGTGAGCGGCGGTGGAGTGGGCAGCGATGAGGCTGGAGATGCCGCGGTTTGCGTGGTGGGAGATGGTCGAGATGGTGGATGTGACGGTATCGATGGCGGATACGGGCTTGAGAGCGGAAGCCACAAAGACGCGCGGCTGTGGGCGTGCGGATGTGGACACTGCGGGAGGAGCGGCAGTTGGAGCCAGGGCTGGGGTGGAAGGAGGAGAAGATTGATCTACGGGAGGCGAGGGTGCGGGAGGGTTGGATTCGACCTGCTTCTTCTTTTGCTTTGATGAGGTAGCATTGGAGTCGGCGGAGCGAGGGCTCATGGACGACGCGCTTGGCGGTTGGAGCGGGTGCGATGCTGTACAGAAGGAGCAGGGGTTTGAGGCGGTCGAGAAGCGAGAATGAGAGCTGAGAGCTGAGATGGATCCGGACGGAGGGCAGAGGCAGGGTGGGACAAGGAGGGTGGAGAGTTGGACTTGGTGTGCAGTGTGTTGCGGTGGATGCGAATTGACAGATTGGTGCTTTGGTGTTGCGGTTGATGTGGCTGGCGATGGTGTTCGGGTGTTGATGATAGCGATTTGAGATGGTGATTGGGAGGGAGGATGGACGGGGAGAGTGGATGTGTACAGAGAGAGGGCAACGGCGAGTCAGAGCTGACAGGCACGGCTGCAGGGTGCTGCAGCTCGTTGCTGGGCTGGCTGGTGCGACGCTGCGTGTGGCAGTGGAGTGGCAGTCAAGGCGCCGGCTGATCCGCTATCGCCAGCCCGAGCTGACGCGACCCACAAACCTCGACGCGGGCCTCAACTGAACCCTGAATTGCCGCTCGCCTTTCAACGACGCGTTGGTGGCAACACTGCTGTGGAGCCGTTCCGTTGCCATCCGGCTGCCTCCGCGCCGCATCCCAACGCATGGACCCTGACGTCGACCTGACGCGATCCAGCCGCGCCTATCGCGCTCCAAACCTCCACATCGCCGGTTTAGACTCTGCGATCGGGGCCCGAGCTCGTCGACCGGCCTCGCCGGGTCCCGCTCCGTCTCATCTGGACGCGGCTACGATCGCATCGGGGCGACAACGCGCCCCGAATCGCAGATTCAAATCGCAGCTCGCCCAGCATCGCCGCGGATCAACGCCTAGATCAGGTTACCGCCAACTCTTCGCCTGAATGCAGCCGCTTCCCCGCCACTCCTGACGCCCTCCATACACAAGCCCATGCTATATAGACTGCCGCGTCGGTGATCCTGCCCATTTGGCTCCGTTCCACTCCTCCCTTCCCACTGGCAAGCAAGCAAGCAAAAGCGCAACGCGTGTCGACTCGAGCAAATATGGTCTCCGCATCGGCTGTCGCGCAGGAGCGGCTTCACGACTGGAGCCTGCGTTACCTGCGTCTCAAGATCATGGTGCTCGTCTTGCGATCGCTCAACTCGCTGCGTCCGCTCGTTCATCGCAATCGCCCGCCGTTGCCGCACGCATTCGAGCGCCACATCGTAGACATCCCCTCGCGCGACCCCAACCGCACCATCCGAGCACACATCTACCGCTCCAAGCGCGTCGCTCCCTCCTCGGACGGCGTAGCGGCCCCGCTGCCCGTCCACATCACCTGGCACGGCTCCGGCTTTGTGCTGCCCAACCTTGGCGACGACTACGCCTTTATCGCGCATGTGCTCGAGCAGCTCGGTCCGGACTGCATCCTCATCGATGCCGACTATCGCAAGGCGCCCGAACATCCCTTCCCGGCCGCCAGCCACGATGCACAGGACGTGGTCAACTACGTTCTTGCCCAGCCCCAGGTCTACGATCTGCACCGCATCACACTCGGTGGCTTTTCGGCAGGCGGCAACCTCAGCCTCGTCGTAGCCTCGCAGCTGGGCCCTGCGCGCATTGCTGGCGTTGCGGCGCTCTATCCTGCCGTCGACTTTACCGTCAAGCCCGGTGCACGCACGGCTCCCTCCAAACACCGCCCGGACAGCGGCTTCGCCCTGCCCAACTGGATGAGCAACATGTTTCTCGACTCGTACTTTGTTCGCGATCAGGACAAGAACCATCCGCTCTGCAGCGTCTACTTTCAGGACGCGAATCGATTTCCACCCGTCTTGCTTGCTTGTGGAAAGGGCGATACGCTCCACTATGCGTCGGAAAAGCTGGTTCGCAAGCTCACGGACGCAGGCAGGAAAGACGCGCGCTTCATCAGCGTCGACAACGAAGGCCATGGCTTTGACAAGCTCCCGCGCGGCCCAACCTCGCTCCAACGCAGAGACCACGTCTACTCGGAGTTTGCAAACTTCATTCGCAATGCTTGGGACCACCACAACGCTCAGCTCAGGGCCCAGCTCTAGACTAGCCGTTCAGTCCTCGCTCTTCACTAGGATACCCATGGAATGCATGGCATACATTGGACCTGCACTACAATAGCCCTCCGCATGCGTGAATTCGCTTAGTCGGATCCAAAGACTCTCCCGCCCCCCGGAAGAGTCGGTCCGATACCCGTAACTTCGATGCAGCCGAGTCCAACCAGTAGTGTCCGACCGAGTCCGAATCGAATCCAAGCTCATTGCCGCACCGGCAAAAGCAGTGGCTCACCTTTGCGGAAGAGTGTGGTTCAGACTCGGCTGCGCGGTCGGTGCATCGGCAATCTCTTCGCGTCCGTTTCCAAGCCGCGTAAAATCGGCGGCTTCGGCGTTCGGACGTCGGCTAGCGCAGCGATGTGGGGTAACGCCCCCACACCCACGCTGTACCTCATACAGCGCAACCCAACAGGCTTGCCCGAACGAAACAGGCGCCTGGCTAGCATATAAGAACGAAGCGAGCCTTCGCCGAGACTGTCGCTTCCAACCAGCAACCCTTTTGATACAGCAACAAGATGGTCAAGAGCATGCTTACTCTGCAAGCGGCCGTAGTGGGTGCGCTCGTCCTGGCGTACGACGCCAGCACGATTGCACAAGCCTCCCCCGTCGACAGGCGCAGCGAGCCGTGCAGCTCGAAAGTGCACCGTCTCTCGCCACCCGCAGGTGGAGCAGCGGGGGCATCGATCGCGCACACGTCGTCGTTTGCATCCTTCTCGTTCGAGCCTGCATTCTGGGTCGAGTTCTTTGGCACATACGCTGCGCCCAACTCGCTCACCTTTTCGCTGCTCGATCGCATCTACGAACGCGGTGGTCGACCCATCATTCGGCCAGGGGGCATCACCATGGACTCGATGATCTTCGATACCAATGCCACCGATCCCGTGCGTGACACAAGCCCCACAGGTGGCGTTTACCGCACCACGGTGGGACCCGAATACTACAAGTCGTGGAGCCACTTTCCCGAGGAACTGCGGTTTGTATCGACGCTCAACTTTGGCAATGACAGCGTCGAGATTGCGAGGGGGATGGCAGAGGCGTCGGTCAAGTACCAGCCTCAACGCGTCGAGTATCTGGAGCTGGGCAACGAGCCTACCAACTATCCGTCGGCCAGGTGGGGGGATTCGACCGAGGCGTATGTGGCGCAGTGGAAGAACTGGACCCAGAGCATCGATGCAGCTGTCAACACCACGCTTTCGACCGCAAGAGTCGCGGGAGAGGTGGGGCTGGCGGGAAAGAGGAGGTGGTGGGCAAGTTCAGCGACTACGGACAAGTCTGGGTTGAACGTTCGACCTGTCGACGTGATTCCTGCGGGGATTGATGCAGAGGGGAGTGTGGCGCAGTACTCGATCCATTCGTATCCGTTTGCGACGTGCGATCCTGCACGTGCGGCGGTGGCAACGCTGCCGAATCTGCTCAACCATACGCGGTTGAGCGCCTACGCGGACGACGAGATCATGCCCTCTGCCCAAGCCGCACTCGACAGTGGGAGCGAGTGGATCATTGGCGAGTTCAACTCGGTCGCCTGTTCGGGTCAGCCCAACGTCACCGACACCTTTGCCCAGGCGCTGTGGGTGGTTGATTCCGAACTCATCTACGCCGTTCGAAACGCCTCCTCCGTCCACCTCCACCAGGGAGCCACGCTGGTCTTTCAATCGAGCCAACAGACCAATTCGGCTGCAGATGATGGCAAACCCGGCTTCTCGACGTACGACTTTGTCTATCCGGTCAACTCGACCAAGCGCGGAGAGGCACGTGCACTGCCCTCGTTTGTCGCCCAACTCTTCCTCGCCGAAACCTTTGCTGAGCCCGTTCGAGCCGCCGAAATCCCCCCTCCAAAAGGTGTCAATCCCGACTCATTCGCCGCTTATGCTTTCTATCATCCGGCATCCGGGAAGTTGTCCAAACTCGCCCTGCTCAACTTGGAGCCAATGTACAACGCCACCGCCGAGATCAGCCTGGATCTTTCGGGTCTCATCCCGCGCGGTGCCAGGCCCGCAGTCAAGCGCATGACCGCACCCGCTGTCAACGAAGCCGACTCAGACAAGGTCACCTGGGCAGGCCAGTCTTACACCACCGGCCAACCGCACGGCCATCTGCACATCGAATCGCTCCACTCGCCTGCCCACTTTAAGCTGCGAAATAGCCAAGCAGCCCTCATCCTCATCGACCCCGCCTCGGCCTACTCCTCCTGAACCCCTTCTCTCAACGACGCACAGAAAAGCAAAAAAGACATGGATGACTGCGGAAAAACAAAGACTGGATTTTTGTGTAGGGTGGTATGGTACAGCACGGATGCGTGCGGCAAAGACGAATGAGGCACTTAGTCGATCGACTCCATGGCCGACTCGCCAGCCACCTCCTCGGTGGCCGCCTCGACCTTGTCGTCAGCAGCGTCGGCCTCGAGGCCGGCGTCGTCGATGGAAAGGCCGAGCGAGATGAGCTTGTAGAGGCGGTTGGCAAAGTCGTGGGGCTGCTCGAGGGTGAAGCCCGAGGTGAGCAGCGCGGTCTCGTAGAGGAGCACGGTGAGGTCGCGGACGGTGGTGTCGTTCTTGTCCTGGCTCGACTTGGCGGCGAGCTCCTTGACAATCGGGTTGGACGGGTTGAGCTCGAGCGTCTTCTTGGCAGCCATGTACTGCGACATGCTCGAGTCGCGCAGCGCCTGCGCCTTCATAATGCGCTCCATGTTGGCCGACCAGCCAAAGGTGTTGGTGACGAGCACGCAGGGCGAGCCGACGATGCGGTTCGACACAACCACCTTCTCGACCTTGTCGCCGAGGATCTCCTTGACCGTCTTGCACAGGTCCTCGCAGTTCTTGGTGTCCTCCTCGCGCTGCTTCTTCTCGTCGTCCGACTCCTCGAGCTCGAGCCCTTCCTTGGAGACGCAGACGAGCTTCTTGCCCTCAAACTCCTTGAGCTGCGTCACGGCGTACTCGTCGATGGGGTCGACCATGAGCAGCACCTCGAGGCCCTTCTTCTTGAGACGCTCCAGGAAGGGCGAGTCGCGGATCGAGGCGAGCGACTCGCCGGTGAGGTAGAAGATCTGGTTGTTCTTGCCGTCCTGGGGCATGCGGGTGATGTAGTCCTTGAGCGAGGTCTGCTCCTCGCCCGACTTGGTCGAGTGGAAGCGGAGGAACTCGGCGAGCTTGGCGCGGTTGGTGGCGTCCTCGTGGATGCCGAGCTTGAGGTTCTTTCCGAAGGCCTCGTAGAACTTGGCAAAGTTGTCCTTGTCCTCTGCGATCTCGGAGATCATGTCGAGGGTCTTCTTGACGACGTTCTTGCGGATGACCTTGAGGATCTTGTTCTGCTGGAGCGTCTCGCGCGAGATGTTGAGCGGAAGGTCCTCCGAGTCGACGATGCCCTTGACAAAGTTGAGGTATTCGGGGATGATGTCCTCGCAGTCGTCCATGATGAAGACGCGGCGGACGTAGAGCTTGATGTTGTTGCGCTTCTTCTTGGTCTCGAAGAGGTCGAAGGGGGCGCGCTTGGGGATGAAGAGGAGCGCCTTGAACTCGAGCTGGCCCTCGACGGAGAAGTGCTTGACGGCGAGGTGGTCTTCCCAGTCGTTGGAGAGCGACTTGTAGAAGGCCGAGTACTCGTCGGCGGAGATCTGCTTGGGGTCGCGCGTCCAGAGGGGCTTGGTCTTGTTGAGCTCCTCCTGCTCGGTCTTGAGCTCCTTGACCTTCTTCTTGGGCTTGTCCTTCTTGGCGTCCTCGTCGTCGACCTCCTCGATCTTGGCCTTCTTCTCGGCGTCGTCGGCGGTGTCGTCGTGCTGCTCCTCCTCGACATCGACCTCGACCTCCTTGGTGACGACGAGCTGGATGGGGTAGGAGATGAACTCGGAGTGCTTCTTGACGATCTCGCGGATGCGCTTGTCCTCGAGGTACTCCTGCTGGTCCTCCTTGAGGAAGAGGCGCATCTCGGTACCGCGGCCGATGCTAGGGTTGACGGTGTCCTGGGTGATGGTGAAGGTGCCTCCTGCGGCGGACTCCCAGATGTACTGCTCGTCGTCGTTGTTCTTGGTGATGATCTGTACCTTTTCGGCGACGAGGTAGGCCGAGTAGAAGCCGACGCCGAACTGTCCGATCATGGAGATGTCGGCGCCGGAGCTGAGAGCCTCCATGAAGGCCTTGGTGCCGGACTTGGCGATGGTGCCGATGTTGTTGACGAGGTCGGCCTTGGTCATGCCGATACCGGTGTCGCGGATGGTGAGGCAGTTGTTCTCCTTGTCCGGGGTGATGCGGATGTAGAGCTCCTTTTCGGAGTCGAGCACCGAGGGGTCGGTGAGCGCGTTGTAGCGCACCTTGTCGAGCGCATCGGACGAGTTGGAGATGAGCTCACGCAGGAAGATCTCCTTGTTGGAGTAGAAGGTGTTGATGATGAGGTCGAGCAGCTGGCTGATGTCGGCGGCCTGTCGAATGCAAAGGGGAGGATTGCAGGGTCAGTACAGTGGACGGTGGCGAGGAGGGCATGGCTAGCATGAGGGACGAAGCTACTACTTACGAAGCCGAAGGTCTCTGTGTTGCCGGACATGGTGAATACGATGTGCAACAGACACTGGGGGTTGAGAGAGGGTGTGGTGTGGGGAGAGGAAGAGGACGTGGTGGCTAGGGCGTGTTGGGAATAAATGGCTTTGCGTCGACTGCGGTGCGGAGGCAAAAGTGTTGAGCGAATTTCCGCCCAGCAGAGCGCGACTCAGCAGAGATAGAGAGAGCCAGAAATGTCGAGATTCTAGAAGAATTCCAACTCGCGCGGCCGGCTGAGCGCAAAGGCGCGTAGCTTCCATGCGCTTCTTTTCCGCCTGCTCAACGGGCCGTCACCACAATCCAAGGTGGCAAGCAGTCGACTTGGGTCGAATCCAGTGCTCTGTGCTATGAGCTAGTATCGACAGGCGTCGTGTGTGTTGCAGCATGGAAAGGCCATCGTCGGAGGGTAGTGGCGAGGGAGAATGTCTGCTGGACGGAGACGCTGAGTCGCAGTCTGTTAGGTCGAGGAGCAGACTGGCTGGCGGGGCGTGGAATTCGATGGAAGGCTTATGTAAGCTGATGGTCGACGTGACGGTGTAACATGCGTCTGTCGTTTTGATGTAAAGATGTGAGAGCGATATCGGCTTACAGTTTAGTAAGGAGCCGCCGATCACCAGACGGGCTCCACAGCTCGGCGGCTGGAATTCGGATTTGGGGATGCGAATATGCAGCGCGCCTCGACAGCGGCCAAGCGCCCCAAAGCGCGACGCTGCAGTTGAGCCGCTGCAGCAGTGCCGCTCTCTCCAGCAGCAGAGAGTCACCTCTCGCGCGACTCGTTGGCGCGATCGCACGTTTCAGCTGCTGCTGCTGCTCCTCCTCCTCCGCAATCATCACCATCGCCTTTGCTACCGTCACCATCATCACAGCCAACAACGCCAGCACAAGCAAGCAAGCCGCTCTACTCTACTCGGCGCCACTACGTCTCGCGCACACGCTCGCTTTCTGCTTTGGCGCTCCCATGCTCGGCGACGGCGTGCTCCTGCTCCACCTTCTCAATCCACTCGCCATCTAGATCGCTGCCCTAGCTGTCTTTCTCCATCTCTCTCCCCCTCTCCCAGGAACATGCAATCGCCCCGCTCCGACTTCAAAGCCCCTTTGCCTTCGATCTCGTCTACTTCTGCTGCGACTCGGCCCTTTTCAACGCGCACACACAGCTATCCCGCACACCCGCAACCACCGCCCTTGCCGCTGAAACACCAACACCAACACGCTCGCTACCTTCCAACAACCTCCTCGACCTAGACACTCCCGCCCACCGCCGCGCGGATCCGCACATCCCTCATACATGTATCCCTCCCCGTCGCCTTCCCCGGCCCCCTCGCCTCCAGCATACCTCTACCTCAACTCCCACCACCACCCATCAGGTAGTCATGGAGGCGGTCCGCTCTCCCAGCCTGGCGGCCAGGCTTCCGCTCAGAATCACAACAACGGCTACAACGGCTCCTTCACTCCCGTAGGCCGCTTCCCCTTGCCCAACGCCGCGTGGCCACAACGCTCCCACCAGCATCCGCACCACTCGCACCAGCAGAACCCCTCGCTCTCCTCCTTGCCAGGCTCCATCGGTCACTCGAGCGCTGCCTCCATCTCCGCAGGCGGTCCCTCGTCCCCCGGCTACGCCAACCTCGCCGCGCATCACCACCACCACCATGGCGGTCACGGCCCCTCCGGTCTCTCCCACATGGCCTCCCCCGGCGGCATCCACTCCTCCGGTCACCTCGGCTCCTCCTCAGCACGCTCCGATGCAGCCGCAGCCGCAGCAGCCGCAGCCGCAGCTTCCGGTTCGCCGCACTGGCAGCAGCAGATCCTAAAGGCAGAGATCTCACGCCAGTCCGCCTCTCCACACCACCACGCACGCGCAGCCGCACTCGCCGCCCGCTCCGCAACCAGCTCCGCCATCGCCATCCAAGACCCCAACAAGGGCATCGTGCCCCCGCAGGTAGCAGCAAACGGCCTCTTTGTCGCAAAGAAAGAGTCGAGCGCAGCCAACGGCGGCGGAGGCGACGGTGACAAGGGAAGCGGCGCAGCCGATGCAACGCCAGGCACACCCAACGTCACACCCGCCACCACCACCTCATCACCAACCGCAGCCAAGGACAAGCAGACGTGGTCCACCATCGACATGGGCGGCCTCGCGCTCAAGAACATCGCCAACGAAGTCTACCGCTACTCGTTCCTCACCTCGCTCTTCATCAACCACAACGCCCTCACCACCATCTCGTCCGACATTGTCAAGCTCCGCCACCTCACCGTCCTCGACGCATCAGGCAACAAGCTCAACGCCGTCCCCGCCGAGCTCGGCATGCTCACCAGCCTGCGCGAGCTCTTCCTCTTTGACAACAACCTCGTCACGCTGCCGCCCGAGCTCGGCACGCTCCACCAGCTCGAGATGCTCGGCATCGAGGGCAACCCGCTCCAGGACAACCTGCGCACGCTCTTCCAGCGCGACGGCACCGCCGCCGTCATCGCCTACCTCCGCGACTCGTGCCCCGTCCCGCTGCCGCCGCCAGAGCGAGAGTGGATCATGATCGACCCGGACCTGCCGGACCTCGACGCCGAAAAGCACGCGCCCGACGCGCCGCAGGAATCCTTCAACGTGCTCTCGTACAACATCCTCTGCGACCGATACGCCACCGCGCAGATGTACGGCTACACGCCCTCCTGGGCGCTCACCTGGGACTACCGCAAGGAGTTTATCCTGCAGGAGGTCATGTCGTACAGCGCCGACGTGTGCTGCCTGCAAGAGGTCGACATGGAGCAGTACGAGGACTACTTCCTCCACCACCTCTCGCAGCAGGACTACGAGGGCGTCTTCTACCCCAAGTCGCGCGCGCGCACCATGCGCGACGAGGAGAAGCGGCGCGTGGACGGATGCGCCATCTTCTACAAGGCGACCAAGTACCAGCTCATCGAGAAGCAGCTCGTCGAGTTCAACCAGATCGCGCTGCAGCGGCCCGACCTCAAAAAGTCGGAGGACATGTACAACCGCGTGATGACCAAGGACAACATTGCGGTGATTGCGCTGCTGGAGAACAAGCAGAGCGGCTCGCGGCTGGTGGTGACCAACGTGCACACGCACTGGGATCCGCAGTTCCGCGACGTCAAGCTCGTCCAGGTGGGCATGCTCATGGAGGAGGTCGAAAAGGCCGGGAGTCGGTTTGCCAAGCTGCCGCCCAAGCTGAGTGTGGCCGAGGGCTACCCGCCGGCGCCCAAGTATACGCACGGTACGCAGATCCCCACCATCGTGTGTGGCGACTTCAACTCGGTGCCCGAGACGGGCGTGTACGACTTTTTGGCGAGCAGCAGTGTGCCGGGTGATCACGAGGATTTCATGGACCATGTCTATGGCAACTACACCGCGCACGGGCTGCAGCACAACTATCGACTCGAGTCGTCGTATGCGCCCATTGGCGAGCTGACGTTCACCAACTACACGCCCGGATACGAGGGTGGGATCGACTATATTTTCTACTCGAAGAACTCGCTGAGTGTGACGGGCGTGTTGGGCGAGGTGGACAAGCAGTACCTCTCCAAGGTGGTCGGCTTCCCCAATGCGCATTTCCCCAGCGACCATATCTGCATCATGGGCGAGTACAAGGTGAAGCGCCTCGAGCATGTGCAGCCGTCCAGCACGGCGCGCGAGGTCCATCATCCTTCGTCCGGTCCTGCTGCCAGGAGGTGATCCGACATCTTTGTTGGCCCCAACCTCGTTTTTGTAAATGCATTCGAAACTGTACCACTCTCGCTTTGCGATCCTCTCTGCATCTTTTTTTTGTCACAACAGCGTTGTTCTTTGTATTGCCCTCTCCTTTTCTCTTCTCTCCTCCATCCCCTTTTTCTTCACTTCTTTGCGCTTTGCCTTGTTTCACCTTTTATAACCTTCCGCCTATACTTTCCCCCCCTTTTTTTTCAACTTTCTTCCAGTTTTTGTTGACACTCTCCATGACGAGGTGCACATGCGCATGCGCGGGTGTGCACTCTCGGCTTGTTTCATGTGCACGTCGCCGCCGCTGTTGTTGGAATATCCATCTCTCGCTCTCTCTCTCTCCCTCTTCACTCGATTGTGTTGTTGCTCTTTGATCGAAAGCCCCCTGGGGGCTCTCTGTCACATTTGCAGGCCGTGTGATTTTTGGGGCCGACTTTTTGATGCCTCAAAATACTGCGATGCGCAACAAGAGATGGTGCCAAAAAACTTTGGCAACGGCTTTGGATTAGATCCGCTGACGCTTGCGCTGGTTGTTGCGCGTGGCGGTAGCAACGAGCGTACTTCTAGCCGAACTAGCCGGTGGCGAATCGTCCGTCCCGCTCTGCAAGCTATGCGTACTCCTCACCGTCGGCGTCGACGATGGCGGATGTGCAATCGTGATGAGCGGAGGATTGGGCTGTAAAGAGGGCGCGGTACTTGGCGCCGAAGTTTGCATGCCCACCGTGCCCAATGCGGGAGGAGCAGCTGGTCCAGTCGACCCTACCGAGGCCTTTCCCGCATCGCCCACCGAGCCCTGCTGCGACAGATGCTGCTGACGGTGTAGCAGCTGGGCAAGTCGAATGGGATGCGCGCTGTTCAAATTGGCCTGCTGAACTGCCGGCAAATGATGCGCGTCGATGGGCGGTTGATAGTTGCTCTTCATCTTGGGATCCAGATCGTCGTGGATCACGCGTCGGTTTGGGTACGTGCCCACGGGTTTGGCGAGGCTGGCAAAGGCGTTGAGCGTAATTTGCGGTTCGTGTGCGAACCAGCCATGCGCAAGCGCCTGATTGGCCGTCAGACGCTGCTCCGGATCGTACTGCAAGAGATCATCAAAGAGGTCGTAGCCATCCTCGCTCTTGTGTCTCGAGGTGTACCAGCGCGAGAGCGTCTTGGGATAGTTGTCGAGCCTCAGATGTGGCCACCAGCCCTTGTAGTCGGGCATGCTCTCGATGGCTGGCCACCGCTCCTTGTTGGGCGTCCCCAGCACCTCGACGATGCGCTTAAGCTGGTCCGTCTGAAACGGAGCCGCCTTGGTCTTGGGATCCATCTTGGCCTCTTCACCCTTGAACATCGGTCGCAGCGCCAGCAGTTCGCCCCAAATACATCCCACACTCCACATGTCGATCGCCGTCGTGTAGTGGCGTGCGCCAAGGAGCAGCTCGGGCGCACGGTACCAGATGGTCACCACCACCTTGTCGCCATTGTACAGGCTCTGCAGCGGCGACGAGTAGAGCCTGGCCAAACCGAGATCGCCGATCTTCACCACGCCGTTGGAGGTGACCAGAATGTTGGCCGGCTTCAGGTCGCGGTGCAGGATCCAGTTGGCGTGCAGGTACGCCACGCCGTTGACCAGCTGCCACATGAGACTCTTGAGCACAGCCGTGGGGATCGGGGTGCGCAGCGCGGTGGAGTGGTAGTGGATGATCTGCAGCAGATCGTGCTCGGCATACTCGAAGACCATGTAGATCGCCTTGTCTTCGAGCATCACTTGGCGCAGCGTCACAATGTTGACGTGGCTCAGTTCGCGGTTGAGCGAGATCTCGCGCATGGCACTCTGCGAGATGCCCGTGTAGACCGAGGCGTCGGTCTCCTTGGTGTCTGGCTTGAATTTTTTGATCGCAAAGATCTGGCCGTCGCCGCCGCCGAGCGCACTTGTGGCCGACAAGTTGTCGGCTGTTCGGGCGTTTGTCGCTCCCGCCGTGGCGGCGGCAGCGGCGGCTCCCACGCCAGGCGAGTCGGTCCGAGTGCGTCCCGGCGTAGCATTGGCAGGCACGGTCGAATCAATGACCGACTTGGGCGTGCCGTGAAGCGACGACGCTGCGCTGGGCGAATCGAGCAGCTGATGCTGCTGCAGCAGTCCGCCTCGTTTCTTGGCCGCCGCTGTGGCCACATTGGCAGCGCCGGACGCAGTCGGCGTAGCGAGTCCTGCGGCCGCCGAGCCGCTGGTCGGAGGCAGCTGCGGGGCACTGCGCAGACGCGCCTTGTAGACGCGTCCGTACGTGCCGGAGCTGAGGAAGCCGAGGATGGTGTAAGTCGCGAGCACGGGCTTGCGCACGCGGTCGCGGTACTCGCGATACGCCTTCATCGTGGCGGCGGGCGACGAGTCGAGGGGCACATGGCGTGCAGCGAGGTGGTGCGGCTGGCCAAAGTGCGACCAGAAGGCGCCGGCGTATGGATCGTCGAGGTTGTCGTAGTAGTAGCCGTGCGGCTGGGTCGAGGATGCATCCGACGTTGACGCTGCCCCAGCCGCGGTGGGTGCGGGGTCGTGCGTGTTCATGCTGCGCTTACGGCCATGTGCGATGGCTGCAGGGGTTGGTGGTGATGGTGCGCCATGGCGGCGAAGGAGACGATGGTGGTGGTGGTGAACGAAAGACGAAGCTTCAGGGTCCAAAGCCAACTCAAAGTCAAGTCGGCGGCGTCCCGACGAAGCGGCGTTCGGAAGTCGGAATGGCGCCCGAAGACCAACACTTTTTGGGGCGCCGCTTCGACCGTCCTTCCTCTCCTCCTTCCTTCCCTTCCACTTCCACGATCATCAACCTCCTCGGCCAGCACGATCGCCATGCCGGTACATCTTCTTGCATCGGCAGTGTCGTCCGCCGTGCCCACCGAGTACTGGGCCTCAATCGCCGCCTCGCTCGTCGCCATCTCCTTCCTCAAGACCTGGTCGCAGGGCGTCAAGCTGCTCGACCCGCCCCCGCCGCCCACATCCTCCTCAACCAACTCTGCGCCTATTTCGCCCTCGCTCGATGCACACTTGAACGACCTGCACGGCCGCGTCGTGCTCGTCGCCTCGGGCGCCTTTACGCCGCTGGGCGTCGTCACCATCTCGGCACTCGCCCATCGAGGAGCACAGATCATCGCGCTCGCGCCGGATATCTCGTCGCCGGACGTGGTGCAGCTCGTGCACCTCATCCGCGACTCGACGCAGTCCGAGCTGGTGTACGCCGAGCAGTGCGACATTGCGAGCCTCGAGAGCGTCTCGGCGTTTGCGGCGCTCTGGAATGCAGGCGACAAGAAGCAGCAGCAGGGTATACGCAGACTCGACTCGCTCATCTTTCTCCCGCCGTCGAGGGAGGAGGTGCGCACATTGCAGGCAACAGGTGTGGGGATGGCGCAGGCGATCTATCAGCTGCACGTGCTCGCACGGTTTCACCTGGTGAATTCGTTGCTGAGCAGTCTGCTTGTGCTGCCGCCCGAGCGCGAGGTGCGCATCGTGTCGGTGGTGTCGCCGTTCTACGCGGCGGGTGCGAATCACTTTGACCTGCTCACCACCGGCACTGCTACAAAGCCCAAGGGAAAGCGCAAGGCTACGCCGACAATCAAGACGCTGGCGGAGGGGAGCTATTCGGCGCTGGTGGGTGCGGCGTCTCTGCGATGGTACGCACTGAGCATCGAGCTGCAGCGTCGCCTCGATCTGCTCGCCGAAGCCGATCCGCGTCCACGCACCAAGCTTCCCGGCATCGACGTTTCCTCTGCCCGACCCACTGCCTCAACGCCGCACACGCATAGCAACATTGCCGTCATCAATGTATGCCCGGGCTTTGAACGCAATGCCGACATCATCGACACCTTCCTGCCCCCTCCCTCCCCATCCTCCTTCCCACCGCTGTACTTTGCGAGAGCTGCGTTGCGCATGGTGTTGGTGTTGGTGGTGTGGCCAGTGGTGTGGCTGTTGGCCAAGTCTGCAGCAACCGCAGCGAATAGTGTCGTGTGGGCAACAGCGCGAAAGCTTGATGGACAGGCACGCACCCATCCCATCCTCAACAACGCCTCACCAGCCCATGCGAGGTTTGGCCTGTACGAACCCCTCGTACCGGCGGAGCTGTACAGAGAGGCAAGGATCGTTCGTCCCACCCTACCGGCGAGACTCGATCCCAACAGCAAAGATGCACGTCACAATTGGGCCCAATTGTGGCAGCACGAGGAACACCTCTTGGAGCACAAGGTCAAGGCCAAGGGTGGAAAGATCAAACGTCCCCAAGTCTAGACACAACAGCCTTTTTTTGGATACAACAATCCCTTTCAACGGCTACAAATACAACTCTGTCTTCTTGCCACATCAATGATTCGCCGGGGTGGGAGTGGCAAGCGTGGCCGAGACGCTCCTCTTGGCCGCATTGCCGAACGCAGGTGGTTTGCTGATCTTGGACTTGTCCGCGAGCGCATTGTGCATCCTGGAGCGCTGCAGCACCGATCCGGGTGTCTTGCCCACCGCGGGCGTCATGAGCCTGTTGAGATCCAGCTGCGACGCCTGTGCCCCTGGCGCCGGCGTCCTGGGCACCATCCTCGCCATCCCCGGCCTCGGCGTAGCGGCCACCATATGCTGCGACGGCGTTGCCATGGGTGAAGCCGGTATCGCCAGACTTGCGCGAGACTGCGTTGCCACCGGCACCGGCGCCGGTGCAGGAGGCGCGGCGAGCAGCTCGGTATTGTCGATGGTGAGCGACTTTGTACAGTTGGCCGTCTTGTACACGCCAATCAGGCGCGACGACAACTCAAACATGTTGTTGCGCAGCGAAATGATGATAAACTGGCCACCCTTGGTGCGCTCCCGGATGAGGTTGGCCACAATCGACACGTTGCGGAAGTCGAGCGCCGCATCGATCTCGTCCATCACATAGACGGGCGTCGGCTTGTACGCGTGCAGCGCAAACACGAGCGCCAGCGACGACAGCGTCTTCTCGCCGCCCGACAGATTCGAAATGTTCTTCCACGACTTCTTGGGCGGCATGACCGAAAACAGAATCCCCTCCGCAAACGGATCCAGCGAATCCACCAACTCCAACTCCGCATTCCCGCCCAGCGTGATCGTCTGGTACATCTCCTTGAGCTTCGAAGAGATCACGCTGAACCCGGCCATGAAGTTTTCGAGGCGCTGCTTGCGAAGGTCGTCGTACCGCTGCTTGGCCGAGTCGCGCTCCGCCGTCGTGGCTTCCAGGTCCTTGGCACGTGCGACGAACTCGGCTTCGCGCTTGCGGTACTCGGCAAGCACAGACATGTTGGCGGAGCCCTTGGACACTTTCTCCTCGTAGAAGACGATTTGCGCCTTGACCGACTCCTTGTCGATCGCGCGCAGCTCGTCCTCGGGATACTCGGGCAGCGCAAGCGTCTCGTCCTCGTCTGAGTCCGACTCTTCAGCGATCGCGTCATCGTCGCCACCCTCGGCTTTGACAGCACGCTTCTTGCCCGCCGATTTGGACTGCTTTGCGGCGCCATCGGTCTCTGCGTCCTCATCGCCTTCTGGCTTGTCGGCTTCCTCGTCGTCTTCGTCGTCGTCGTCGACGTGGTGCAGCACCAGACCCGCCAGCTTCTCCTGCCAGTGCTTGAGACGCTTGTCGTTCTCGTTCTGCAGCCGCTCGTTGTCCTCGAGCTTCTGCTTGATCTCCATCTCGAGCGCGCGGAACGAGTTGGCCGACTCGGAGCGTTCGTCGAGCTGCGCCTTGATCTCGTCGCGCTCCTCGGCCTTGGCATCCATGAGGTGCTGCGCCTCGTCCACTTTAGCGCGCACGCTCTCGGCCTCGTTGGCCTTGGCGCTGATCTCGTCGCGCAGCTGCTCGAGCTCGCCATCGAGCTCGGCCAGCTGCGCCTCGTTCCTCTCAAGCGACTTGGCGAGCTTCACCACGTCCTTCTCCGCCTTGGACTTGGCCACCTCCGCCTTGGTGGTGAGTTCGGACGAGAGCTCCATCTTGTCCTTGATGCTGTCCACCTTGCTCTTCTGCGTGCGCAGCTCCACACCGCCCGCCTCGAGGATCTTCTCCTGCAGCGCCTCGATGTCGCGCTCGATCGCCGAGCTCTTTTCGGTGAGCTTGGCGATCTCCTTGTCGAGCGAGCCCATCTGGCGGTCGAGCTCGGCGATGCGCGAGGCGTCGCCCGCATCCGGCTTGCTCTCGGCCGCCAGCTCGGCGACGCGCCGCTGGCCCTCTTTGACGCGCTGGTCGCCGCTCTCGAGGTCCATGCGGATCTTGTCGAGCGCCACCTCGATCTGCGGCGCACGCCCGCGGTGGCCGTCGAGCAGCGACTCGACCGTCTTGATCGAGGCGACGTGCCCCCGCAGCGACTCTTCGACCGCATCCCGATCGCGCTCGAGCCGCTGCAGCTGCTCGGGCGACACCTCGTCGGCGGCGAACCGGGAGCTCATGGCGCCGCGCGACACCTTGTTGCCACCGCCGGACATGGTGCCGCTCTTGTCGATGAGCTGGCCATCGAGCGTCACCACACGCCAGCGCTTGGCGCCGTACGCGATGCGGTTGGCGTGCGCGAGGTCCTTGGCGACGAGCGTGTCGCGCAGCTGGTGGTAGAAGGCGGCGGCAAACCGCGGCTCGCGCGGCTTGACCAGGTCGAAGAGGCGCGGCACGTTTTCAGGCGTCTCGATGGGCGCGACTTGCGCCGCGCTGATGCCGAGGCTGTTGAGCAGCACAAAGTTGGCTCGGCCCAGGTTGTTCTTGCGCAGATGCTCGATGCACGCCTGGCCGCAGTCGACCGAGTCGACGACAATGTTGTTGAGACCCGGGCAGGCGGTGCTGATGGCCACGTCGTACTTGTCGTCGATGACGCCCAGATTGCCCAGACGGCCGTGGAAGCCCTTGATCATGCCGAGTTCGGCCTGGCGCGAGAGGCTCGAGAGGACGTCGCCGCGCGAGCGGCTGGCACTCACGCTGGCGCGTGCCTCGTCGGCCTTGGACCTTGCCGAGACCACCTTGGCGCGCATGGCGTGTTCCTGCTGCTTCATCTCGTCGAGCTGCTTCTGGCACGAGGCGATCTTCTTTTCGAGATCGCGGCGCTCCTGGTTGAGGCTCTGCACCTCGTCGTGCTTAGACTGGTTGTCGAGCTCGAGGTTGCGCAGCGCCTCTTTGGCCTCGGCGATGCTCGCCTCCACCTGGGCACCGCGGCTGGCGAGCAGGTCGCGTTCCTCTTGCGCGACGTTCTTGGCGGCGACCTTTTCGCTGATCTTGGCCGTCCAGGGCTGGAGCTCGCGCTGCTTGAGCTCGATGGCGCGGCTGAACTTTTCGGTCTTGCCCTTGAGCGAGTCGCGGATCTTTTCGAGCTCGGCCTCTTCGGTTTCGAGCGACGCCTCGAGCTTGCGCAGCGCAGCCTCCTCCTTTTCGATCCTGTGCGCCGAATCCGAGGCGGTGGTTTTGGCCTCGGAGGCGGCGTGGCGGTCGTCGGCGATCGCCTTTGCGAGCTTCTTCTTTTTGGACTCGAGATGCTTGCGCTTCTCCTGGAGCTGTACGTCGTCCTTTTCGAAGCGCGCCAGCTCCTTGACCACCTTTTCGCTGCTGCGGGCGATGTTGTCAAAGTCCTTGGCGAGCGACTTGTATTCTGCCTCGAGCGCTTCGATCTCGGCCTTGGAGCCCGAGTGCTTTTCGACCTCGTCGGCGAGGCGCTTGTTGAGCTTGGCGATGGCGTCTGCGGCGACCTTGATGTTGTCGCGGCACTCGAGGCTGTAGACCTGCCAGAGCGCCGACTGTCGCTGCGAGAGCTCGTTCTGGTCGCGGAGGAACTCCTCTGCCTGGCGCTTCTTGGCCTCGAGCGCGTCCTTTTCCTTTTGGACGATCTTGAGACGGCCGAGCTTTTCGGCTCGCTTCTCGTTGGCCTCGTCGACGAGCTTGGCGTGTTGCTCGATGGGCGTCTTGAAGCAGCTGGTGCCGATGATGTCTTCGAGGTACTCGAGCAGGCCTTCCTCGTGCTCGTTCTTTGCGCGCGGTGGCATCTGTGCGATGGACTCGACCTCGCCCTGGAGGATGAGGAAGCGCTTGTGGTCGAGGTCGATGCCCTTTGCCTTGAGGAGCGTAGTGGCTTCGGTGAAGGTGGACTTGCGTGCGTTGATAAAGTACTGCGAGGTGTTGTTGCGGTAGGCGGTGCGCGAGACGACGAGCTTGCTGCCGGGGACGACGGTGAATGCGTCGTTGGGCCCGTCGATGATCTCGCGGAACCAGACCTCGACGCTGCAGTGGGGCAGGTTTTCCTTGCCGGCCGAGTTGTGGATGAGCTCGCTGAGCTTGCCCTGGCGCATCTTGGAGGCTCTCCAGCCGAAGACAAAGAGGAGCGAGTCGATGACGTTGCTCTTTCCGCTTCCGTTGGGGCCGACGACGCTGGAGAAGGACTTGTGGAAGGGACCGATCTCCTGGCGACCTGCGTAGGACTTGAAGTCGATGAGGACCATCTTGTGGATGACGAGACGCTTGGCGGGGCCGGCGGGAGGCGCGGGACGTGCGGGTGTTGCGATCTGCTTGAGCAGGTTTGACGAAGGGGTACGAGGCTGGCTGAGGGCCGATGCCGAGGCTTCGGTGGGCTCCGGTGTGCCGGTGCGTGCCTCCTTGAAGGAGGTTTCGGATGCGTCCGAGTCCGGATGCTGCTCTTCTTCCTCCTCATCCTGCTCGGCGACACGGGTCTTGGTTCGAGAGGACGAAGGTTTGGCCGCCTTGGACACGCGACGTGCCGAGGGCGACTGAACTTCGTCTGCTTCCTCATCGTCATCCTCTTCATCCTCCGAATCATGATTCGCGGAAGCAGGACTGATTGAGTCGTCGACGACATCCTCCTCTTCGTCCTCCTCTTCGTCTTCGCTCTCTACGACCTGTTTGGCGCGCGATCTGGAGGTCTTTGTCGGCTGAACCGCAGGCTTTGCTGCTGGAGCACGAGCGCGTCCAGTCGAGGCGCGGGAGGCTGTTGTCGCCGCTGCACCCTTCTGCGCCCGCGACCGAGGTGCCGGCTTTACCGGTGTGTCTGGCTCGTCGCTGTCTTGCTCGTCCTCATCCTCGCTGTCGTCTTGCTCCTCCTCGCTCTCGTCGTCCTCGTCTTCATCGTCTGAGCTCTGGATGCGTCTTCGGGAGCGCGGTGCTGCTGTGACTTTGGGCTTGGCAGCAGCTGTGGAGGAGCGAGAGGATCGTGAGGCGCGCGCCTGAATCATAGGGGAAGCGGAGGCCGAGGTTGTGGACGAAGCGTTGGATGCGATCGAGTCGCGTGCCTTTGCGGCTGCCGCGCGACGGGGCGGCATGGCGGCGATGTGTGTGTGTGTGTGTGTGTGTGTGTGAGTGTATTTGTGGTGGTGGTGGTGGTGTTGGTGGTGATGCGATGGATGCGTGGCGGTGGAAAGGTAACGAGGCGCGTGACGGATGGAGTTGCAGAGGTGAATGTCGACGCTGGCTCAGCCTCGGCGGTGTTGCTCTCTCTCTCCTCTCTCTTTCCCCTCTCTCTCTCTCTCTCGCTCTCTCTCTCTGAGTTGGAGCCGCTGCCCAAAAAAAAGTGTTGCTCTCTCTGCCGCCCTCTCTCTCTCGGTCGCCCTTTCCGAGCCAACGCGCGGATACGCGTCTGCGAGGCCGCGCATTTCTCTCTTTCGCCCGGCAGTTGTGTTTTTCCGCTTCCAACGCGCGCCCTTCCCAGCGCATCGAGAGGGCGCGCCAATTTCACATCACGTGCCTCCCCCTCCTCCTCCACATTCTTCCTCACTCGCACGACACACTCACACTCGCCTCCGCCGCTCACCACCACCATCTTCCCCTCGCCATCCATTCCTACACAATGTCGAGCGCCTCACGTCCGCATCGCCAGGGAGACCGCACCCGTAGCGCGCTCAACATCTACTACTGTCTGTGCGGCGAGTTTGCGCTCGTGTGCGACCGGCCGCTGTCCACGCTGCCCGTACGGCCGCTCGACCAGTCGCGCGTGCTGCGCTGCCTCGACTCGCCACCCTACTCGACCACGGGCGCGCCGCAGAAGGTGCGCCCCGCACGCGTGTGCAAGATCAGCGCCCAGCAGGCTCCGTCCAAACTCATCAGAAGGTACGTCCCCACCCAACTCTCCCCACTTGCTAATAGATGTAGAAGGTGAGCTGACGATGATTGCGCCATGCAGGTCGGACGGGACACTCGAGAAGCAGTATCCGTACGAGTGCGCCAGGTGCCACCTCCAGCTGGGGTACGAACACACTCCACCACCACTCAAGAGCGGAGGCAGGTTTACCTTCGTCCTCCCAGGTGCACTCACGTAAGTCGCAACCACCATCACAAACTGCCATGGCAATAACGCTGACTCCCTGATCGTATGTAGAGATCGACAAGGCGTTGCACCACCAGACGCATTCTTGGAAGAGCTGCTTTCATCGATGTTAGATGCATCGCACGACGCACAACCGCACAGCGCAAAACGAGGACAAAGAATCGATTAAAAATTCGAGAGAAAAAGTACGAGCTACGAAGACGAAAGAAATTTGGTATGCAGTTGCGGCTGGAGAACTTTGGGATATCTGAATGAGCATAGGTACGAAAAGCTATGGTATCATCGAGAGGCGGCCATGATTCGATGCGAAATTAGACAACGGCGGGGGTGTTGCGCGCATCGACAGTCGAGGTGAGGGTGGGCTTGACACCGAGTTCGCGCTCGAGCTTCTCGGCGAGGCCATCGACCTTGCGGTCGCACTTGCCCGTGTTGAGCAGCTTGGCATCGTGGATCGATCGGATCGAGTTGGTAAGGTTGCCACCACCCGACAGGAACTCGTCCTTGGAGACGGCCTTGTGGTGGGTGGACTCGTGCACGATGGGTGCCTCGTGGGTCACCACGTGCGTGGGGATGGTGGTCTGGATGCGGTGGTACTCGTGCGTGTCCTTCTCAATGATAGGCTGGACGACGTTGTGAATGTGGTGGTGGATGTGCTCCTTAACCACCTCGCCCTTGTCGATCACCTGGCGGTGCAGAGGGGCCTCGGCGTACTTGTCCGCATGCTGACCCGCCACGCTCGTAAGCAGCGTAGCGTCCTTGTCGGTCGAAGCGTGCGTCTCGTGCACCTTGGTCACGGGGTGGATCTTGTTGTGCACCTGCTCAGCCGCGTGCTCCGAGTCGAGAACGGGCTGGGTGTGGTGCTGGATGTGGTGCACATGACGGTGGTGCTCCTTCTGACGCAGAACCTCCTCCACCTCGTGGCGCTGGTGAGTCTGGTGCGTCACGGGTGCAAGGTGCTGCACGTCCTGCACAACCTCGCCGTTGGACAGGTCGAGGTGCTTGTTGGCCAGCACATCGTGGCCGTGCTTGTGACGGATGCTGCCGTCCTTGGCGTGCACGTCGGCAGATCGGCCAAGTCCGTGCTCGATCTTGTCCTTGATCTTGTCGCCCGTGGTCTCGCGGGTGTGGGTGCCGTTGGTGGTGGCCGTGGTGGCACCAACACCGGCGGCACCAACACCAGCACCGGTCAGAGTGCCCATCTCCTTCTGGCGCTGAACGGGCGAGCCGGGGTTGGAGGTGGGGGCAGTCGACGACGACAGACGACCATCGTCCGACGAGTCATCGCCCGAGTGCGAGCGGCGCGAAAGGACCTTCTTGACAGAGTTCATGTTGAGTGTGAGTGGATGGAGAAGAGAGTATGCTGTGAATGTTCAAAGCAATGGTATCGATGAGGAAAGAAGACGATGAACGGCTGAAGAGGTCGATGCTTATAACCCTTTTTGCGATGCGAAGCTTTGGCTGTTGGGACAAGCAGCGTAGCGAGCTGTCTCCAGCGATGCCCCCAGGGTCATGGCAAAGCTTCTACGCCTGCCTTCTGTCTTCGCAATGCCGTGCAGCCAAGCCGCGCTGAATGTCGTCACCTCGTGCTGGGAGCGAGTCGTTGGTGGGTGTTCCGAGCTTTGGCAGGCGAGCCTCTGCTCGCGGTGGGGCCAATGACGCATGCCTTGGAATGCTGAGGCCGCGCTGACTGACCGCGTATCCAGGGCGCGAGCGTCGCCATGATGTCAGAGCGACCCAACGGGCGGCGGCACGAACTGGCGGACAAGCTCTAAATCCCGCCACGGGAGCCTAAAGCGGCAGCATGGCCGCCAAATAAGGCTCACGGCTGACAGCTGCGAACGGTCAACCTTCCCCTCCGGGCAGGAGCGCGTGCATGACTCCAAGGTCGCCGATGCCCTCGCTGCATCGTTGCCGGGTGGAGGTGCTACCTCCAGTCATCCTTCATGCTTGGCTCGAGCTCGGTGCGGGCAACGACGTCAGGTCATTCCGCTGCACGAAAGCTGTCTAGCAGCTTCTCGGCAGCCGTAGGCGACTTGGCGAGACCGCGCGCGCGCGCTACGCAAGCCGCTTGGGCTGGATTGGACATCTGACAGCAGTTCTGGCCCCCCGGGGGAAAGGCGAAAGTGAGACACCGAAGCGAGAGTCTAGCTTTTCCGGACCAAAGGTCCAAGGCGAGCCGAGGATGCGGTGCTTGCGGTGCGAGAACCGCCTGCAACTTCGTAAGCGGAACGGAGGCTCCAAGCCGGGCGTGACGTCGCGAGCACAGCTTGACAGCTCGAGAGCCGGTGGCTTTTTTTGGGAGGAATCCAGTGACAGCCTGCCAAAACCGCGCGCCGAAATTATGGCGATTGCCAAAAATACCGCCTTCTTCCCCAACGGCCCAAAGAAATCGCACTGCACTGTCCAGGCGCGATGAGCAAGAACAAGGCATGCTGCTGTGCTGAGGCTGTGAGGAATCATCTTCCCCTCCATCGCCCTACGGTCCGTACGCACGGTCCAGCACATCTTTGGCTTTCCGCTGCACGTCCCGGGCTTGTACTTCACCGAGCCGCCGGCATTGTTCCCACTAGTCGCACGATAGACATCGCTACTCCCTCGCACTCGATTTCGATATCTAGCATGCTTTTGCATCTTGGCACGAGGTCAATCGCAGATACTGGCGTCATCATGTCTAGCTTTCATCACATCACCACGCACATTCTCGCACGCCAAGTATGTAGCACCTTAAAGGCTAGCGAGACTTTGGTACGGCGAACGTTCGCTTACCCGGTATGACATCTCGCTATACTGCCCATTGTCTGGATGCGGTCTTCGATGCATGTGATCAACCCCCAACCTTCCCGGACCCATAGTACCCACACCTGCACATAGCTGTAGGCAAGCACAGGAAGGTGCGAACACAGATGCCACAGGGTGAGACAACAATGACGGCAAAAAAAGAACCGCAAAGAAAGCGACGTTCGTTAGGCGGCTTCCTCAACGCGTCTGCCAGCTCGGATTCTTTATCCCTGCCGAGACACTCTACAAAAATGCCGAATTTGCCGCTCAGTTTTCTCCAACCCATCGACGTAGCGTCTGGAATGTGGAGCCTTCCATCCCCCACCACACCTCCGCGTCATCAACCCTCGTCCATCCTCAGACTCATCCTGTATCGCACAATCACATCCGGCTCGCACGTTCCGGAAACCCCGACCTTAAACAGACAGCAGCCCGACGTCAATCGCGACCATGTGTGAAACAATCTCCAATAACAAGAAAACCAATACAGCAGCATTTTCAGCCGCACGTGTGTGTGTATATACAGAGTGGGAAAGCACGACGACAATTCCATAGTCAAGTCTGCACGATGATGATCCAAATGAACGAAAACTACGCCTCGGCCGTGCCCGAATTGCGTCTGCTCTCGCTGCCGCTGCCTGTGCCGCTGCCGTGGTTGGAGCCGTCCTTCTCCGATGTGTCGCCCGACGTCGTCGTGGTGGCCGCCGTCTCGTCCGACGCATCGCCCGAGCCCGACCGACGGTCGTTGGGCGCGCGCTCGGCGAACGGCGAGATCTCGGAGCCAGAGCTGCTGCTGCTGCCCCGGTCCGTGCTGCTGCCCGCGTGCAGATACGCCAGCGTCGCCGACGGTCGCAGATGCTGCCGGTGGCCGTGGCCGTGGTCCGGACGCCGCTTGATCGGGCTCGGCGTCTGGATGTGCGGGACCGCAGACGCCTGACCGTTGCTGAACGACATCGACTCCATGTGTGCGCTGCGTCGCCGTCCATCCGCCATCGCCGACGTCGGGCTCTGCGGATTCGAGAGCTGCACGCCGTGCTTCGCCACGCCGCCCGCCGCACCGCCAAAGTGGTCGCGCGACTGGCGGCGCAACGCCCGGATCTCGTCCTTGAGTCGTCGGTTGACATTCTTGAGCTGATGCATCTCAAACACCCACGACGAGCTGCGGTACGTCGAGAGCTCGGCAAACACCGACGTGAGCGAGTCGACGCTCGTGCCCGTCGCATCGAATGCAGGCTGCGGCCCGCCCTTGGGATACGCCACGTTGGGGATCATCCACGAGCTTTCCGCCGACGCGCGCTGCACGTGCACAAACACCGTCGACAGCGCCGGACCCGCGGCGGCCGAGGATGGGTAGAACGACGTAAACACGGGCGTCGTGTTGGTGGCGCCGTCGCCCATAAAGTGCGACACGCTCATCGCCTGGCTGCTGCGCAGCGCCTGGAGCAGCGACGGCGCCGCCTCGTAGTTGGTCACCTCGAGCAGATGACGCCCAAAGATGTCCTTGCTGTCGCAGTTGAGCACCTCGGCGGTGGGGCCCGTCGTGCTGAGAAAGATGCCGTCGATCGAGAGCTTGGACCAGAACGACGGCTGCGCCGACTCGGCGCCGCGGCGCACGTGCTCCCACGCCAGGTTGTACACGGGGCGCGGCCGGCCGCTCGAGATGACCACCTTGCGGCCCTTGCCCTGCTCGAGGTGCAGCTTGCCCGTGCTCTCGATCCAGCGGTGTCCGTCGTGCTTGTGGCGCATGCGCATGATGAGATTGACGCGCGGGCCCGCCTGGCCTCCGCCGCCCTTGGTGAGCGGGTTGGCGACGCCTTCGGTGCGGATGTTGCGCGAGGCGGCGGCGGCGATGCTGGCGTTGCTCGTCGAGTCCTTGAGCTCGCGGAAGACGGGCACGACGTCGCTCGGATGGCAGAACTCCGAGATGGACTTGCCGATCACCTCTTCGGCGGTGAAGCCGAGGATGCGCTCGATCGACGGCGATACGTAGAGGAAGGTACCCTTGAGCGAGAGCACGTAGATGAGGTCGTGCGAATTTTCGAGCAGCACGCGCGACCACTGCTTGGCATCGCACGGGCCGACGCCATGCATGAGGTCGAGGATGTCGGCAGCGATGGCGGCCTGCTTCGACGCTTCGGCGTCGGCGTCCTTGACCATCTCGTCCGAGCTCAAGATGGCCGAAGGCGGCGGATCGTTGATGGAACGGTAGTTGACCAGGTACGAGCCGTCCTCCTTGCGCTCGAGGATGGCGCCGGGCTGCTCGACCAGGTCGACCTGGAAGCCGACGAGGAAGTCGACCTGGCTCGGGTCGGACCACGAGACGGGAACGACGGTGACGAGGTTGATGAACGGACTGCCGTCCTTGCGATAATTGATGAGGCTCGCCTGGCATTCGCGGAAACCGGTCAGATGCCTTTTGAGGTGCTCGACGGCGCGGTTGTCCGTGTGCTGACGTTCTGCGCCCGCCTCGAGCGCGGCGCCGGGGGTCTGCAGGAAACGGCAATTTTTGCCGAGGATCTCGTGGAGCGTGTAACCGGTGAGGTGGCAGAAGGTCTCGCTGGCATAGATGAGCGGCTGCTCGGGATGGCGCGCGTCCGAGATGGCAAACGAGCACGAGAGGTCGACGGGGCCCAGCGCGATGCTCGGGTTGGGACGGGTGATAGCACGCGAGAGGATGCCGAGCACGTCGACGCCCGAGGTCGAGTACTTGTTGGCGGTGGCGACGGCCTCGCCCGACGTCGTGTTGAAGTTGCCTTGGTACACGGACGACGGAGCCTGGTCCAGACCACCTGCAAGCGGGCCGAGCGGGCCGGCGCCGTTGTGCATGAAGCTCGAGGCACGGCTGTCGAGCATCTTTTGGGGCGAGAGGCCGGTGGACGAGACCGACGAGCCCGACGAGTCGTTCATGAACGAGACGGTGCGCGTGGGCGGGGCTGGCATGGGCTGGAGCGGACTGCTGGAGATGTGGCCATCGTCGCTGTTCATGCCGCGCTTGGCACCTCGACCGGCCATGGGCGTGAAGGACGTGGGCGCACCCGGAGCCATTGCATTGTTGGCGTGCTGGGCGTGTGCGGAATGCATGCCCTGCTGCTTGGCAGCCTGACGCGAGAGGCGACGACGTTCCTGCAGGCTCAGGTTGGCCCTGGCAGCGTTGGGAGCCGTGACGCCGCGGTGGATGGGCGGCTGTGCGCGCTTGAAGGTGGTGACGCGTGGGATGGACGAGGTGCTTCGGCTACCGCCGCCGTGGAGACCAGAATCGGTGCTGGTGCTCATGAGCTGCGAGTGGTGAGCGGCGATCTGGTCGCGGTACGACGAGGTGACGTCGCGGGCGGTCTTGGCGCCGTTGGCAGCAGCGGGACTGGGAGCCGCAGCAACGGATGCCATAGGCATGGGAGCCTGACCGTTTCGAGCGCGGGGCGCGAATGGGGAAGCATTAAGACCGTTGAGGGCATCGCCGGACTGAGCGACCAAGTCCGGGGCATTGGCCGAGCCAAAGTCGAAGGCCGACGAGGGGTTGGCGGCGTTGGCTGGGTTGTTCATGTCCCACGAGTCCATGAGGTCGTTTCCAAACGACTCGGAATAGTCGGTGGCGTACATCATGGAGTCGGATTGACCCATGAGGGATGAGGCGGGCCTCATGTCGATGCCACCGTTCAGGCCTTGGTCGGAGAAGGACGATGACATGTCGTTGGAAGGGGCGCCCAGAAGCGAGGCGTCCGGGGCCGTGCCATTGATCTTGAACACATCGGAGGCAGGGTTGGCAGCGTTGGTGTTGGTGGGTGCGACAGGAGGAGGAGGAGGAGGAGCGACGACGTCTGCCTGGGAGGGCGACGAGATGAAGGCGTCGAAATCGAAAGTGTCGGCCATCATCGATACGAGAAGAGCTGCCTACGAGATATGTGGCAGCGATCGAACAAAGAAAGAATAAAAAAGGAGAACGGAGTCCGTCCGTGCGAAGAGGCAGGTATATGGGAAAAGGTATAGGGTTGTTGAAATGGGGTGAGGGAGAGTCTTGTGCTTGCGAACAAGTGAGCGCTGGCGTAGCGAATCGGACGCCGTTAAAGTGGGAGGACGACTGAGAGAGACGAAGATAGCCCGGAGGGAGACTAGCGTTTTCTCAAAGACGTGAAGGAGAAGCTAGAGTGTGTATGAAACTGGCTTTCCTTGGCTCGGATGGACGATGGCGCGGAGTCGGTGTTGGTGAGGAAGAAGGCGGGGTTAAAAAAGGACTGCGAGGTTGAGATGCGAAGAGAGTCGCGAGGGAGCAGTTGAGAAGGCAGAGCGATGTCGGCTGCCGAGAAAGAAGGAGGGTGAAGGGGCGTAGAGGACTACGTGGTGATGGTCGCGTGGTGCGCGACAGGCGCTAAGGTTGTCGGTGAGCCTTTCGCCTGCAACCTACTCTTAGCTGCTGTTGAGCGCAGAAGAGGAGGAGGTTGGGTTGGCTGAGGCTGCGACGCTTAGGACCTTGTTGTGGTCGCGCAGGCGGTAAGAGGTGAAGAGTGGAAGACGAAGCGTGATGTGGCTGAGCGTGTGCGGTGTCTGTGCCGATCTAGAGCCAGAGATGCTGTAGCTGCGGAGGCTGTTGTGGTTGAATGGTGTTTGGTGGCGATTCTTGGATCGATGCCAACATCAAAGCCAGCCTAGCAGACAAACACGAGGCGAAGACAGAGACGAGACTGCACGGAAAAGCTAGCGGTGTAGATCAATCGCTTTGATGGGATGGTGGTGCTGCGGCGATGGTAGTGGTGGCTGCAACGAAGGATGAGTGGATGGTCGGTTGGTTGGTTATACGTGTGATGGTGTTGACGAGTGAAGAGCTGAATGGAGCTGTGTGGGAATCCAAGAGACGGTAGCCTAGCGATATCGGAGGCTGTGTGGGATGGATGCCCAGAGAGGGGCGAGTGTCGACGAAGAGGTCGGTGAGTGAGAAGCAGTGACCGAAGGAATCTAGCTCTGAGGCAACGATGGTGGTGAGAGTGGAAGGCGTGCGGCCGCAGCCAGGGCGCAGGCATAGGCTCTGCTGTGCTCTGCTGTGCTCTGCTGTGCCCTGCTGGCTCTGCTTGCGCGCCCCGGGTGTGGATGGGGAGGGGCGAGGCAAGAGAGGGCTGCTGCAGTGCCTGGGGCGCGCGAAAAGGCTCAGTTGCGGGAGCGGTGGAAATTTTTGTTGGAGAGCGTCTGCTGCCCTTCGGAATCCGAGTTGCGACGGTCAACGAGCGGTCGTCGACCCGCCTTGGAGAGCCGCCTTGAAGAGCCGCCTTGAGCCGGAGGGAGCGAGACGAGAGAAGCCACAACACGCGCGCGCCCTCAGCTGCACGCGGACATGTCGGCATCAGAGCACGAGAGGCACGCGCCGATGGTCGTGGAAACAATGCATCCGACACTGCTCCCACGCCCCGCCTCGAGAAAATGCGCGTTCCCAGTCATGGCGTCGGCGTCGCGTCAAGTATCTGCCCAACTTTGGCCATCCCATCTAGCCCTGACGCACACACCTCGACAGAGCCATTCCCATCACGCTTCCTCACTGAATGCCACCCCATCATCCTGTTCCGCTGGCCCAGTGAAGAGTCAAAGGAGTAAGCGAGTCATCGAAGCCTAATCACAGCCGTTCATCTGCCAGATTGCCCACTCTGAGAAGCAAGAAGGAGGACGAGGAGGCCCGGACATTTCACGGCCAACGCGGAGAAGTCGCCAATACTGCGTCATCTCAACTGCGGCAGACGTAATCCAGGATCGAGACCCGTGCCGAGCCGCCTGTGTGCCGTACGGTATGAGACGCCAGAAATCTACGGTACGCTGTGGGATTTGTTTTGTTGGTGGACCCCAGGGTTCAGGTTCGCACGTCGACGCTCAACGCCACACCGCTCGTCCGCCCGACAGCGCGCGGGGCCCGTGTGCGCGTTGTCGATGTTCGGCTGTGGCCGGTGATCAATGTTACGTTTGGGGTGCAGCGCCCGTGTGAAATCCAATTTCGGCCGTCCCGTGCGGCAGCGTTCCGCGCGCGATCAACGCGATTGCAACCTCCTCGCCTTTACCTGCAGCTGCTGCTGCTGCTGTACGCGACTCCGGATCAGCCGACTGACAAGTCGGCCATGGTGCCGAGCACAGCCGATGTCACTGCCAGGCTAGCCAACCGAGCCTTCGTCGACGGCTGTTGACTCGGCAGTGCGGCTAGTAGAAGGCCGCTTCGACTTGTCGTGCGTGTAAGATCGCCGATTTCCTAACCCCGATTTGAGCCCATGCCGATGGGAACGCGCGCGCCCGTGTGACGGGAAAATCGGAAGAGCGCAGAGGCCTCAACACGACCTCGAGGCTTCGTCGCTCTCCACCTGCACATCGCACCTTCCTCAGCAAAAGACTCGCTAGAGCATCGCCCGCCAGCATGGAGGACGACGACGACGCTTTCCTGTACGGCGACGAGCCTGCTCCGGCCCCCGCTGCCGCCTCCAAGCCACACGCCGCTCCAGCCAATGGCGCCACTTCTTCCGCCGACGCTGTTGCCAACACGACAGAATCAACCACGACAGCGCCGACCAACGCCGGTCAAAAGGATCAAGAGGACGAAGACGACGACGACGATGGCGATGACGACGACGCCGACGACGACGACAGCGACTCGGACATCGAATTCATCATCGATGCTACCCAGGAAGCACAGCCTCCAGCGCGTCCTGGCGCACGACCCGCCGTTCCAGGCGCACGTCCTCTGCCCACACAGAGCACGCCGCAGCGTCCACAATCCACGCTCACCTCCGAATACACGCCGCTCTCCCGCTCCCAGCTTCTCGCCAATGCCAGTCCAGCATCCGCAGCACCAGCGGGTGCACCGGGTGCGCCACCACCTCCGCCCGGCGCGCCTCCCGTCAAGCCCCAACTGGCGAGCGACACGCTCGGTCCTGAGGGTGGCCCTCCTGCCGTGCCATCCACAGCACCCAGACTCAACCTCTCCCCCGGTCCCGACGAGCGAGCCTACCCGAAACCAGACGACGTGGTCGAGGAGGAAGAAAGCTCGGCGCGCGACATTTTCGACATTGACCTCGAGAGCCTTGCGGACAAACCCTGGCGGCGGTACGGAGCCGATCTGACCGACTACTTCAACTACGGCTTCAACGAGGACTCGTGGAGCGTGTGGCGCGCCAAGAAGGAGCACATGACCGGCGCGCGCAAGCAGACCCAAGCCAGCCTGTTTGGCGGTGCTGGAGGCGAGATGCCCAACATGCAGCAGATGATGGCCATGATGCCCCCGCCGCCGCAAGCCATGCAGGCCATGATGTCGCAGATGGGCGCATCCAACGGCGGGGCTGGGCCTATGGGTATGCCTCCCATGCCGCCCGACCAGATGATGGCCATGATGGCCAGCATGTCCGGCATGCCTCCCATGCCCGGCATGCCGCCGCCCATGATGATGCCTGGCATGTTTGGCCAGCCGTTCAACGGCGACCAGACTCAGCCTCGGCAGGACGGGCAGCACTCGCCTTACCCACCGCAGGATCAGGACCAGGGGCGGGACGGCGGTGCACGCGGCTGGGATGCGCCTGCAAGCCCACGACGCGGCGGCGAGGCGTCAGAATCCAACGATCGCCGCGGCGAGGACGAAGCCAGCGATGCGCCGCTCGGCCCGTTGCCGCCCAGCGTGCCCATGAAGCCGATGTCCGGTGCGGACATGTCGGCGTTCTTTGGCGCGTCGGGCGTCGACGCCTCGCAAGTAGCAGCGGCAGGCATCCCCGTTCCGCCCAACGGTGCCGAAGCCTCAGACGCCGGCGGAGCGCCGTCCAAGAAGGGCGGTGCCAACACCAAGCCGGGACACTCGTCTCGGGCGCCTCCACCCGGTGCAGCGCCTAGTGCGCCCAAGGGCACCTCGATCCGCGGGCGGGCGGCAGCAGCTGCGGCGGGGGCGGGGGGCAGCTCACGCGGTGGACGGGCACACTCGCCGCTGCCCGCCAACGTGCCCTCGGGCCCACGCAATCCGGGCAAGCGGTACAACGACCGCGACACGGGTGCCGGTGCTGGCGACGCGCTCGACTACGGTGCCACCGCCGGTGAAGATGATCGCGATCGTCGTCATGATGATGAGTGGGATCGTGGCCGGGATCACGGCCGCGATGCGAGTGGGTGGGACATGTCGCCTCGCGATGATGACCGTCGACGCGGTGGTCGAAGTGGCCGTAGTCGCCGCGAAGGCACGTACGACTCTGCGTCCGCAAATGGCCGTGCAGAAGACGATGGATATTCGCGTCGGGGTGGATCTAGGTCCAAGCGCGACGAGTGGGATGACGATACTGCCTCGCAAACCTCGGCGAGCGGTAGAAGAAGGAGGGGAGGAGGATCGCGCGATCATCGGTCGGAGCCAAGGGAGAGGGAACGCGAGAGGGATAGGGATGTCCATCGATCGGACCGCGACCGTGACCGCGAGCGTGAGAGGGAGCGCGAGCGCGAAGTTCGCAGCCAAGCCCGTTCTGAACGTCGAGCCGGCCGAGACCTCGACGATCCAGCCATCCCCACAGGTCCAGCGGCTCAAAACGCCAGGGCGGGTCGAAAGCGAAGTGCACCCGAAGATCGGGATGACGACGAGCACGATGCGCCCAAGAGCTCAACCAGAAGCCGAGGCGGCCGCAAAAAGCGCTAAACCTCATCCTCCTCCTGAACTCAAATGGATTCTTTCTCTCAGTTTTTCCCCATCCATCGCAGTTGTGAAAAGTTTGTGTGCAGCAGGGGTATATTGCAGGTCAAGTGAGAGTGGGCAGGGGGGGGGGATTATCGCAGGTGCGCCTGTCTATCGGGATGAACGAATCGCGATGGTCTGACTTGATCCGAACTTTGCCTTGTTGGAGTGGGATCTGGGGTGGGAATTGAGGTGATTCGGATGTAGTGACCATCGATTTGGCCGCCAGTCAGGTAGAGTGTGGCTTTGGCAGCTTGTTCTTCGGTCTCCATCTGCACGACTGCCTCGTCGTTGCGCAGATCAATGTGCAGCACTCGACCATACCACGCTAGGATATCGGCGAGGTGTGTGCGTCGGATGTTGGTGGTAAGCCCACTGATTCGTACGGCGGTTTTGGCCGCCAATCCACCGTTGCGAGCAAGAGGAGGCGATGCCGACATCATGGTGGATGCTCAAGACATGGAGGGAGACCAGCAAGATGCGAATGCCAAAAATAAAATCCGTGCGCACAGCAAATTTCAACGTGGAAACAGCCCACCCGAACAACAACACACACAAAAGGTCGGCAGTCAAACTGGATTCTGATCATTGCAGGTTAGATGGCCTTGAGCACGTTCTCAGCGGCAGTGACGGTGACATCAGGCGCATTGTCCTCGACGAAAGCCTTGCGGACCACACCGCCCTCGACGACAAACGCGTACCTCTTGGATCGGTGTCCACCCAGCAGTCCCGTAGCATCAAAGCTCTGTCCCACCGCCTTGGTGAACGCACCCGTGTCGTCGGCGAGGAAGTGGACGTTGGCCGCCGAGGCGCCGTTGAGCTTCTCCTTCCATGCGGCCACGGTGAACTGGTCGTTGACAGCCACAATGTAGATCGCCTGCACGCCCTTCTGCGCAAACTCGCCCGCGTGCGAAAGGTAGCCCGGAACCTGCGACGAACAAGGCCTAACAACAACCAACAACACCCCATCAGTATCGTGCAAAACAGGAATGGGTGAGAGAGGGAGGGGGGGTGGACTTACGGGGTGAAGGCACCGGGGACACCGACGATGATCGTCTTGCCCGTGAGATTGTCGAGCGAGACATCGGCGTTTTCGGGGTTGTTCTCCTTGAGCTTGATACCCGTCTCGAGCTTGGCGCCCTCCTTAACGTCGCCCTTGATTGCGGCCTTGATCTTGTCGGTGAATGACATGTTGAATAGATGTACGGGTGTTTGTGAACAGCGACAACTAGCGGTTGGTCGAAGGGGAGGAGGCTATATATGTGATGATCTCGGTGGAGGGCAGGATGAGGTGCTTGGATGCAGGGCCGCACGCAACTTTGCATCACCTTCGCTGCGCCACCCCTCTTTGCCGCGCTCACGGCGGCGAATCGGAGGCAACGCCGAGGATGCAACGGGCCAAAAGTGGCGGGCTTCGACAGTCATCTGTTGCGGCAGGAGCTGGATCGACAAGGCGAGGGGTGGCGAGCCTTGACCCGCACCGGCCACTCAAATTTCAAAGTGGAGGCCGAAGTGCGAAGTGGCTCTTCGTCATCGGAGGCACCGATGCAGCCATGCCGCCGTCTTTTGCTTGGCTCGCCTGGACTGGGCTCGCCTTGCCTTGGCTCGAATGGGGTCTGTGCGGCCAGCACGCCTCGGCCTCGCCGGTGCTCGAGCTCAAGATGATTCACAGATCGGATCAGTCCCGCTGCCGATAGGATTGCGTTGATGTCAAGTCGGCGAAATTGCACTCTGCTTTCCTGCGGCTCGCGCGTGGAGGTTGCGCACCGACGCTCGGACGCTCGGGCCAGTCTCGAGTGTGTGCAGCGGTGGTTCTTCTCGAAGAGCCGCTCTCGATCCGACCAATTGCAATCTTGCTCGCCCGACTGGCACCCGCACTCTCCGCCTCCAACCGCCGATCCCCTATATCTGTCCTTCTCGCTGGTGCTGCACGGCGATGGCGACGCGCAAGCTGCGGGTGGGCGTGGTGGGCGCGGGCGAGGTGACGCAGGTGGTGCATCTACCCACGCTCCAGCTGCTGCACGACCACTACACCGTCACAGCGATCTGCGATGTGTCTCGTGCGGCGGCCGAACACGCTGCTGCCAAATGGTCGATTCCGAACTTTGGCACCTCGAGCGCCGAGATGGTGCGGCGCGACGATGTCGACGTGGTGCTCATCGCCAATAGCGACGAGTACCACACGCAGTGTGCATGCGAGGCCGCCGATGCGGGCAAGCACGTGCTGGTCGAAAAGCCCATGGCACTCACGCGCTCCGACGCCGCTGCCATCCAGCAAGCTGCCGAGCGCAACGGCGTCAAGGTGTTTGTCGGCTACATGCGTCGATATGCTCCGGCGTTCCAGCTGTTCCAGAAGCTGCTCGCCGAGTCGGGGCCCATTCGACACGCCATCGTCAAGGACATTATCGGTCCCAACAGCTTCTTTGTCGCACAGTCCGGGACGCAGCCGCGCACCTTTGGTGGTGATATCCCCCAGAGTCTCGGCGCAGACAAGGCCAGCCGTGCCCAGGCGATCCTCGAGCAGGCCATCGGCAAGGACAAGGCGTCGGACGCACGACTCGGCGCCGTGTACCGCTTGCTTGGTTCCTTGGGAAGCCATGACCTGAGCTTCATGCGCGAGGCGCTCGGCGGCAAACCAGACCGCTGCCTGTCTTCATTCGCCAGCCACGACGGCCAGTTTATCTCGGCATCGTTCGAGTACACCAACGCTGGCGGACGCAAGGGCGCCGACAAATACAACGTCTTTTACACCACCGGCATCCACAACGTCGGCGTCTTCGAGTCGTTCCTCGAAGTGTTCACGGACGACCGTGTGCTGCGCATCGATATCGACACACCCTACGTCAAGGGTCTCCCTATCAATGTGACCGTCAAGGAGAACGACGCGCAGGGACACTACTCGGAAAGAATCGTTCGCCCAACGTACCAAGATGCATACACCACCCAGTTCCTCGAGCTACACCAAGCGCTCACGGGAGGTAGCGACCTCAAGACCACACCGCAAGACGCTGCCGACGATCTGGACGTGTTTGAGATGATCATGGCCCAGCTCGACCGCTGAGGGGCGCGCGTCTCCGCCTGCTGCACTGGTATCGGCAATGCGAAGGCTGCCGATTTCATTTTCGGACGTCAATCTGCAACCTGCATTTCACGCTCCAAATTTCCAATCCTCCCCTCAGCCGCCAAAAAGTTGCATAACCTTTGCCTCTTTCTCTCTCTCTCTTTCTCTCTCGCTCTCGCTTTGATTCTCCGCGCGGCAATCTGCGTCAAATAGAGCGCATGAATGACGGCAGTGACGCTTCTTTGATCTGGGCATGGAGCGCGGATGGATGCGCGGCAAGGCACGGAGCGAGCGCGGCCGGCGTCTGGTTGGCAAGCTTGGCATGTGGACACGGGTAGCTGTCGGTGCGCCTCGGCTGGGGGGGGCGCGGCTGCGGAAGCGATGCAGCTGCGAATCGAACGCAAAATCGACGCGGTGCGCATAGCAGGAGCGCAAAGGCGTAAATGAGCTGATGCGCAAACACCCAAGCTGGCAGACGGGCAGACGGGCAGCAGCGCCAAGTTGCCATCCGCACATCTTCTGCAGGCCATGTGCCCCGGCTCGCTCTCGGATTCACAGATTGGCCGGCTTCCGAGACGGTCTTTCTCCACACCACGGCCCTTCCTCGTTGATTTCCCCTTCCTCCTCCCCCACTCCCGCGGCTTGGCCTCTTCATCCTCCGACCGTCACGACCAAACCCTCCATCCAATCGCGCCAACATCATCTCGCAATTCCATCCGCGTTCACAATCATGCACTCGTAACAGCTCAGAGCGTGCTCGGCCCCCTCGAGGGCAACACCTCAGAAGCCACTCTTCCCACCATGCAGTCGTCCGCCGCCGTTGCTGATGCCTTGACGGCCGAGGCAAAGCTTGGCGCCCGTCACAACATCTTCTATACCCGCGACATCTGGGCGCGCGCAACCGCAACACGCGTCTCCGCCTGCCTCAGCGCTGCGTTCGTGCTCGCGCTCTGGTATGTCGCCTACCATGCGCTCGTCGGCACGCGCGCATCCTCACGCGGGGCCAAGCCGCTCTGGCAGCTCTCCACCATGCTCGCCGACGACGCCAACATCGACCGCCTCGACACCGAGCTCGACAGCGACGAGTACGAGGACGAGCACGAGTCGCGCGCCTCCGGCTTCTTGGCCAATGCTCGCGAGCGCCACGCGCTCCGCAGGATGCTCGCCCGCAACGAGGGCAAGCGCTCGAGCATCGTGCGCATCACCTCGTCCGATCCATCCAGCTCGCTCAGCGACCATCCCATGCAGGTCGACCTCGAACCGCCCACGCGCCGATCCTTCTGGCCCGCACCCGCCTCCTCCACGCCCCCCTCCGACTCGGCGGCGAGCTCACCGACCTCCTCGACACCCCCACCTGCCTCGGCGAGGCGTCGCAAGGAGAGCGGCAGGCTTGCAGCAGCCGAACCCGGGCGCAGACAGCATACGGCCAGCCCCAGCCGCTCTCCTACGCTCTTGTCCGGATCGCTCCCCGTGCGTCCGACGCGCATCCGCCCCGTCGAACGCTCGCCCCTCGGCCGCGTCGCATCCCGAAACAAGCGCAACGGCTCCCCCAGCCTCGCCACCGACGCGGCGGATGCCAGAGATGCCTCGCCCAGCCCCACCTCGCCCCTCGCCGAAGACTGGGCAGACGAGTCGCAGCTCTCCCCCACCGCCGCTGCGCCCGCCGACCACGACGCGCTGCTCACCACACCCAGTCTGGCGTCGGAAGCGTCGTTCACTTCAGCGATACCTGCGTCGCCCGCATCGAGCACGTTTTCGCTGCGCGCACCCTCCATCCTCAAGCGCCGCCCGCAGAGCTTCCGCACCGCCTCGCTGCGCGACATCGACATCTCGTACAGCCTCATGCAGCGCAAAGCCTCGCTGCCCGCGCTCCCGCTCGCCGACATCCAGCAGCAGCAGCAGCACGACTTTTGGCACCACGCTGCCATGCACTCGTCGCCCGCTCCACCGCCGTACCAGCCTGCGAGTCCCGATGCAATCCATGCTGTCGAGCGCAGCGTGAAGCTCATCGAGCCCGACTGGCGGCCGCATCTGGACTCGCACGTGCGTGCGCAGGAGCGGCTCGAGGCCGCCACGCGCTTTGCCACTGCCCAGGGCGCCGACGGCGACTTTTGGTTCGAGCGCTTTACGCAAAGCACCGCGGCGGCGGGGCGCGATTGGGACTGGCGTAAGCGCCGCGCGCGACTTCAGCGTGCTGCTGCGCTCGGCATGGCGCTGGGGCAGAGCGGGCTCGCGAGTCCCGCCAGTCCGATGCCGGGTAATGTGGGTAAGACCGATGTGCAGCTGCAGCATCAGCTGGGTACACAGCCGACGCCCGCGGCTCAAGCTGCATCGCCGGTGCGCAAGGTGTTGCCCGCCGCTCCGCTGATCACGTTCAGCGAGCACGAACTCAAGTCGGCCCCCGTGCTCAAGGTGGATACCGAGAGCGGACGCAGGCCTGCGCGCGGTAGTGTCGACGCTACCAGCCCCACGTACAGCGCTACACCGCTCAGTCCCACGCCGAGTGGAACGGGCACGCCGCTCGGCGGCATCTTTGGCGCAGTGTTGCCGTCGGCCGAGTCGGTGAGTGCCGTCATGGCCGCGCGCATGGCGCAGCGCCGGCGCGCGAGCGACGACGCCACCGCCTCGAGCGCCTTGCCCGCCGCGGACGATGCCAACACGATGCGCAGGGGCGTCGTGGACAAGGCGATGCGACGCAGGCTCTCGGCGTCTACAAGCTCAGCGGTACCCAGCTCGCCCGGTGCGTCTCCCGCCGCCTCGCCGTCGATCGAGGGCCGTGGCTCGCCGCTGCGCGATTCGTCGCCGTTCCCTTCCGACGCGGGGAGAACCAGCATGGATGCGCCCAGCTCGCCGCCCGGTGCGTCGGCGATGAGCGTGCCCGGCAGACTCAGCAGCCTCGGCACGGCGGGCAAGAAGGTGTCGCTCACCAACCTGCGTGCGGGCTTACGGCGCGGCTCGGGCAGCACCGACTTTATGCACGACGCAAGTGGCATTGAGCTTGTGCCCCACTCGCCGGATCTGTCCGAGGGCGATACGCACGTCGACGCAGCGGCAACACCTTCGCCCGAAGGCCCACGGAGCAGTGCCGATGCGTACAGCGCGCACGATCCTCTGCAGGGCATTGTTCTTTCGCGCACCGACTCGCAGCTGCGCCATGTCGAGGGCGGCGGAGACGGTGGGCCCAAGCAGCGCATGCGGAGCGAGTCGCCTCAGGCCACGCCGCAGTTCCGCGGCGGTTCACGTGTGACGAAGCTCGGCTCGGCGCCGGCGGCGGTGTTGAATCCGCCGTACGATGTGGTGGAGGAGCTGCGGGATCGGGGCGGCGAGCGCGATTCGATCTCGCAGGGTTCGTCGGACTCGGACTCGTTGCGACGCCGGCTCCGTTCGCAGACCGATTCGGCCACACGTGCGCGCATGGACTTGGTCCTCAACAGCACTTTGCGTCGCGACGGACTGTCCCTCTCGCCAGGAACGGCTTCTTCGCCACCCATAGCCAAGGCACGCGCACGCGGCGGCTCGCGCTCGAGCATCGTCAAGAGCGCCTCGGGTGCCAGCCATCATCTCGACCGCTCGGCTATGCGGCGTTCCTCGATGCGCAGTGGGTCGGATTCGGGTTCGCTTGCCAGCAGCACGTCGCTACCTAGCATGGCGAGAAGGAGGGCGAAGGACGCGACGCCCGATCCGCAGCTGCAGCCCGAACCGGCACCGAGGGGCATGGCCCAGAGAGCGCGTTCGGCTAGCATCAGCAGCAATGCTAGCAGCTTGGCGTCCGGTAGCAGGAAGTCGAGTAGGAGCAATAGTTTCAGGGAGGCAGCAGGGTTGGGGATGACCAGTAATCCGGGCACCCCGGGATCGCCGGAGGAGAGAAGGGGCGACCCGTTTAGCTTGACGCCGCTTCATGCCCAGCAGCAAGTGTGAGCGATCCGATAATGCGAACTGATCGAACAGTGCTTGCTTTGTGTGTGATTCAAGTTTGGGCGGTGAGAGTGTGAGGGAGGCTGAGTTGAGCTGTGGGGTAAGGTTGGTGGTGGGGCGAAAAGTTCGGAATTCGGGGCGCTTGACATTTTTTGGGAGCGCCCGACGTCTTCCGACGTTGCCTTTCTTCCCACCCTCCGCACCCACCCCCCGACCGTCCACCACCACACATCACAATGACGCACTCTTTACGGGCCCCTCTGCGCATCCTTGCGCAGCATAGTGTTGGTGCAGCACGATGTTTCAGCGTTTCAGCCATCGCCCATTCCAAACCGACATCCAAGGAGGTGGCATCGAAAGAGGCTGTATCGAAGGGTAGTTCGAAGCCGCTTGTTCGCGAGACATCCGAATCTCCCGAAGAGCTCAACTCGCGACCTCTTCCCTATCTCAGCTTTGCGCTTGGAGTGCCTACGCCTCCGTCGGCGGCAAAGCCTACGTGGTCGGAACGTCGAGAGAAGTTGGTTTCGCAGGATCATCGTATGGCCTCGCGCAAGGCGATTGTAAAGGAAGCGACGAGAGGATACTTTCACGACTTTCATGCGATCAAATCGCACGGCGGTAAGACTTGGCGCGCACCCAATACTCTCATCAAAGACGAAAGAGCGCTATGGTTCCCAAGAGTGGAGGGGACGAGGTTGAGCGATAAAAAGAAGGTCAATACCGTAGACATGCTAAGGGGAAAGGTTAGCATCATCGCATTGCTCGGCAGCAAGATCAGTGAAGAACACACAAGGTCGACGTACAAAGATGCACTCGAAACTTTCGCCACCCACCCAGCATTTCAACTCGTACAAGTAAGTCAAACCCCACCCAACAACCAATAAAGAACGTAGGAAAGCTGACATGCGAGCGATGGACAGATCAACTTGCAAACCAACCCGCTCAAGTCCTACCTCGTCTCACTCTTCCTCTCGTCCCTACGAACACAAATCCCCCCCGAACTTCACGCCACCTACATGCTTAGCTCGCAAGACCTCGAACTGGAAAAAGACCTCCTGGGGCTGCACAACAAACACGTAGGCTACACCTACCTCATCGACCACCAGGGTCGCATCCGTTGGGCCGCAGGCGCCTTTGCCGAACCCGCCGAATCCACAGCCCTCAAAACTTGCACCGCCATCCTCCTAGACCGCGCGCTCGAGGCCAAGAAACCCAAAAAGTAATCCATTCGATTCTACAGCACCACACACTCGTCGCGCTTCGACGGCTTTTGTGGCGCAAACCCCATCTCGGCAAACGTGTTGTACGCCTTCTTGGAGTCGTCCGACGCGGTCGCGTACGTCGTGCCTGAGGTGTTGCTGGGTGTGACGGAGGATGCGGGCGGGTGTGATGGTGCAGAGTAGTCCGTAGCGGCGGGTCGAGGCGCTGGCGCGGATGCAACAGGCTTGACGGCAGCAGGCGGTCGCGCAGCCGTTGGAGCAGAGGCTGCGTTTGCGGTCGGAGCTGCAGCGACTTCCGAACGCCCCCCACGCTCGTAGCCACGCTGGTGCCTGCGTCGACCCGCCGCGGTCTCCTCGACCATCTTCATGGTTTTTTTGCGCGACAGCTCCAGCTGATTGCCCGTATTGCCACCTGGCGCCGCCAGACGGCCGCCGGTGCTCGGAGCCGGAGTTGGACCGGCCTGTCGGCGCGGCGATGTGCCCAGCGGTGCGTCCGGTGCGGGCGCGGTGGGGCTCCTACCCTCGCGGTCGCTGAGCATCTTGGCCTGCGTGCGTCTGCGCACGAGTTTGTCGTCCATGACCGCCTCGTGCTCGTGCCTCGACAATCCCGTCGCCTGTGGCGCCTGCAACGCACGCAGCCTCTCCTTGGCATCCGCATTGTCCTTGCCCGCCGCCTTGGTGTACCACTTGCGCGCCGCATCGACGTTCCTCTCCGTGCCGACGCCCACTTCGTGATAGTAGCCGAGCGCAAATTCGGCCGACGCCAGCCCGCGCCGCGCCGCCTTGTCGGCAAACGTGTAGGCGAGCGTCTCGTTCTTTTCGAAAAACTGGTCGGCGCCGCAGAGGAACCACTTGGAGAGCGCCATGTCCGCCTCGGTCTCGCCGCCCTGCGACGCAAGGCTGTAGTACTGCACGCTCAGCAGCGGGTCGAACGCACATCCGAGCTGCGCGTACTCGAACAGCCAGCCGCACTTGTACTGCGCCGGTGCAAACCCGAGCCACGCCGCCTTCTGGATGCGCCGCCGCGCCTCGTCCTCGACACTCCCGCCGGCCTGTGCAGGCGCCAGAAGGTGCGGCGCGATTTCGACATGCGCAAACTCGCCCGCCAGCAGCATGCCGTAGATGTACGCCGGCTGTGGCGTGTCGACGTCCGCCTTGTCGGCTGCATCGCGCAGCATCGCGATCGCACGCGCATGGTTGACACCCACCTCGAGTTGTTCCAACAGGTTGGCCATGCCGAGTCGATAGATGCATCCGACGTCGCCGGCGTGCACGCCGCGGTCGTACGCGTCGCGCGCGCGCGCATGGTCGCCCAGCACCTCGTAGTCGCGTCCGATGCGGAACCAGCTGGGCGCCCAGCCCATGCGTGCCGAGAGCTCAAAGTCGTTGAACGCCTCCTTGAGGTTCTTGGGCAGATACGCCGGGAAGGCGCCCGACGCCTGCAGGTCGCCGCGCAGGTACAGAGCCTCGGGCTCGGGCCGCGCCGCCGACGCGCTCTGCTGCACGATCGCGATGGCATCGTCTGTCCACTTGACCAGGAAGGGCTCGCTGATCTTGGTGCCGTCGGCAAAATTGCGCTCGACGTACTTGAAGAGCTGCTTGGCCCACGCGATGCGCTGCTTGTCGTCGCGCGCTCGCTCTCGCTGCGACGCCAGCGCCGCGATATCCGGCAATGGCGCCGACAAGCTCGGCGGGCCAGAAGCTTGTGATGATGACGAGTTGGGGCCGTAGACGTCGTTGGCACTCGCTCGACGCGCTGCCGAGGCGTGCTGCTGGTGTGAACTAGCGCTGTTGTTGCCTATCGACATGTTGTGCATGCCGTTGGAAAGCTGCTGCGAGTGTGAGTGTGATGATATGGGTGCGGGTGCAGCTGGCGGTGGCGGGAGCACGCGACCCGGTGCTGGCATTGTGGATGTGGATGTGGATGGCTGCATGTGTGGTGGAGGTGGGGTTGCGAATCCTCCAACAAAGTGATTCTGAGATGAGGGCGGTGGTGGTGTGGGTGCATGGACGAACTGGCCTGGCCTGAGACCCGAAGAGGGCGGAATGGCAGAGGACGAATAGCTGGCTGACTGGTGTCTACGTCGTTCCTGCTCGAGCGCGCCAGGTGGAAGCGGCGGCAGCGGTGGGCCTGTGGGGCGGTAGGTGGGGCCGGAGGGTGCTGATGGACGCGGCAGCGGTGCTGGTGCCGGCACGACCGACGGTCTGGGCTGAGAGGCGGTGACGCGCGTGCTGCCGGGGATGGGTGGATAGGAGGAGTCGGTGCCGAAGCCAGCCGGCAACACGGGCAGATGCGGTGGTGATCCTGGCATGGTGCCGTTCGTATGTGATGCAACCGGTCGAGCTGATAGTCGGGTCCTTTTCGATAGTTGCTGCCGGCGGGTGCTCCGACGAGATGATAAGCGTGATCCTTTCCGTATTTGTATACGTGATGTAGATGGGCAGCAGCTCGAGAGCGGGCTGTGCAGCAGTAGATGCGCGAGACCGGATGGGTGAAGTGGGGTGGTGGTGAGAAGCGTGGTTCGTGGGGGCGGAGGCGGTGCTCGCGGCGCTTCCGATGCTGCTCTCCGCTCGGCTCGCCCACGTCAAAAGCAGCTGCCGTGCATGAAATGCAAATTGCCACGGGTAGCAACACGGCGTCATCGCGGTCGAGCGCTTCTGCCCAGCGCCCTGCTCTGCCCTTTGTTTTGAGATCGGATGCGACACAGATCCTCGACGTGCATTTTCGTGCATGCGCGCCCTTCCGCACCACGCTGCGTCTCCCTTGGCCCATCGATACGAATTTTCGGGAAAAAGGAAATCTCGAAAAATCCGTCGAAGAAATGCGGTCACAAAAAGGGCCGCCGCTTGTCTTCAGGGTCACTTGGCGAGAATCTCGGAAGATGTGTTCAGTTCAGCCGATGCAGCAGCTGAGCTGCACGCGCAGAGACCAACACCTCAGCCGAAACGCGCTCAAAAATCTCATGCACCCTGACTCACCAGACTCTCGGAATCACCGGTGCACTGACGAGACAGCTTCAGCTCAGCTCGACTCTGCTCTCGACCACCAAATTGGCTTCGACGGGCTGCATCGGAACCTCCGTCGCCCCAACACTTGCTTCGCTTATCTCTATCAAGCATGGTCGCGCCATCACAAGCGCCCGTCTCGGACGCGACCGTGATCCCACGCGTCGGCGTCGCCGTCTTTGTGCTCAACGAGCAGGGCCACGTACTGGTCGGGAAGCGCACGGGAAGCCACGGTGCAGGCACAATCGCCCTTCCGGGGGGTCACCTCGAGCTCCACGAGTCTTTCTACGAGTGTGCTGCCCGCGAAACATATGAAGAGACTGGCCTCGTTCTGCAGCTGCCTGATGCGCTGCCTCCCTCGCAGCTGCTGTCACCATCGTCACCAGTGCACTCGCGACCTTCCCGGGAAACCTCCACTCTACCAGCTCCTGCAAGCCGACCACCAACGCCATTACAGTTTGTCACCGCACAGAACTCGGTGTACATGAAGGACCAGGGCGAAAGAGGCGACGGCAAGCACTACGTCACCATCTTCATGAAGGCCAGCGTCAAGCCCGATCCCGCAAACCCAGTCGCCGAGGCCAAGATCATGGAGCCCAACAAGTGTCTCGGCTGGGCATGGGTCCCCATCTCCTACCTCCGCAATACGGCGAATCGCCAGCAAGAACTGCAGATGCTCCAAATGAACGCCGCCTCCGAAGGTCGCTCGCTGCCCGTGTCCATCGACAAGCTCCTCGAGGCGGACAGTCTGGCTCAGGCTCTGCAAGAGGCGGACGAGACAAATCTCAGCCCCGGCGTCGACTCGCCCCTCAGCCCTTCATTGCAAAACAACCAAAAATTGCCTGCGCAGCATCCTGCACTCGACCAAGCAGAGGCTTTGGCTTGGGCGCAAGCAGACGACTTTATGCGCGGCGCTCCACTCTTCCAACCCCTCGTCAACGTGCTCATCGACAACCCGGCCTTACCGCTCGCATGATATAGGTCGTCAGTACAACACAACTAGGAATCCAGCTGCTCTTGTCATGGAATTGATCGGCCGAATGAGCTGATCGAGATGCGTTCAGCCCGATCGACAATGCTCCTACATTCCTTTGGAGCACTCTTCGGAGCGATACAGGCCACCAATGAGCGCTCAGCTCGTACCTGCCAGGCAACTGTCCGCCTGCATCGGACGGCATTGTCCGCTTAGCTTCAGTGGACTAGTGCGGCTAACTTAGCGCGGCGAGCGCTTGTGCGAGATGAAGCGAGGCAGGTCTGGCGTCGAAACACCACACAGCCACATATGAGGTCACAGCCCATGATACGGGAGCAACACACACGTTCGTCCAGCTTGGCATCGGATACCCCGTCAGCCGCGCGGGCACTTCGGACAGTGCGGTCTACCCGGTCCAAGCACTCGGAGAATCGCTTAGAGCATCCTCAGGCTCAGCTGCACGGCCGGGATCGACGAGGCCATGGCGTCTGCTTTGAATGGGTGGAACCGAATGGCGACGAACGGCTCGTGCTTCCGGCTCGACCGCCACCAGCTCGATAGGGACTGTCAGGCGGCATGTGTGGTCTCAGGAGATGTGGCCCGTCGCGCATGCCAGCTGCTTCATATGAGGTGGGGCCTCCTCGTATGCCGGGCATTGGTGGGATCCTATTCTTTTGCGGCGTGCGCTCGGGTCACGAAGCTAGATTTGGATCAAATCTACGCCGCTCGGCTGCTCATCGAGACTAAGCACACAATGATCGTGTCGGCAACCGAGCATGAGCAAGCATGGCGACAGGTCCGAGCATTTGCATTGTCGAGCTGCCAGGAGGGCTTACCGGTCCCACCGGAGGAGGCAGAGACCTGGATGGGGCGTGGAAAAGGCACGGGAAGCATGCTTTGTTTGCGGATCAACCTGCATCCGCCTACACACGCCGCATGCCCCGAGTCGCCGTCCGCAGCTGTCAAAAACCTCATCACAGATGTCCAACAATGGCATCGTCGCGTGTCGCTGCGCGGGGCTTTCCCCCGCACCTCGCCAAAACTCGAATCGAATTCCGGACTCGGGCCTCGTTCAACGCTCGCCACAGCGTTTACAAGTGGAACTGATGCACTGCTTTGCCTTTGACAGTGCAAATTGCAAACAAGCGGCTGGACCGCCTACTGTGCAGCAACCTAGCGCAAGACTAGCAGCTCGAGCGATCCGCCAGTACGGGTCTTCATCTCGCAGCTTTTTGCCGTGGCGAAAACCAAGCATGTGCTCCCGATCGCACCAACAAAACATGGTCAGCTTATCGACTCGGACTAGGCCGACGGACGGAGCAGACAAGCGACTTCATCTCGCGCCGATACAGGCTCAGCGACGGCTAGTCCGGGTTGCGATGTGGGCTGGCAAGGCGACTTGCCGTGGCAGAAACCATGCGTTCTTTTACCGCTCTTCTTCTCATCTCGGCTTCCCTTGGCTTGGCTTGGCTTCCCTAACGGCTTCGAGGATGCCATGGCCCAGACTAGACCCAGACTTTCGGAACAGGTCCGAGAGCAGCCAACGGCCGTTTTGGTTTTTGGCGGCGAGGTCGGTGCGTAGGGCAAGGACGAGCGCAGTGTTGCGGCATGCCAAGTGCATGTGTCAATACCCTAATCCATCCGCCACACCGAGATCGACGCCTCAAACTCCCGACTCCGCCTCCTCTTCACCGACCAAAGTCTGGCCCCATCGGCTCCCGACCCCGTGTGAATCCAGTCTGACATGAATGGCTCAGCCCGCTCACGCCTCTTGTCTCAGTCGAGCATTTCATAACTGCAGCACGGGTCGTCGACAGGTGTCGACACCACGTTCGCTTCGCCACTCCCGGATGGCTTTGTCCGCGCGATTGTCAGCAATGCTCGGACAGAGTTTGCTGCACATTGATGGTCCCTGCGAGACGAATACCAGGGGCTCGCTGCAGCGCTCACGACAAAGCCCAGCCGAAGATCTGCATGACACTTGGTGGCGCGCACTTAGCACTCGCTTCACCATCGCAAGAAATTGTGACGGTGGCGCCAGCCGGCTTTTCTCACCCCTTCTCCACGCTCGGTGGTATTCAGCCCCGTCTGCAGCCTCCGATTGATACCGAGTGATCGCATGATCCCATGAAGGGCGGTTTGTCACGTTGGTTGCTCGGACTGGACGCTTGGTCCCGCCTGCGACGAGTCTCACGACCCTGCTCGTGGCCGCATCGGTTCCTTTCGGGTCACAGCGGATATTTTCATGCAAAGCCCCTTGCACTCCTCTCGGAATCATATGGACACACGCTAGCGGCTGTGTATGATGAGCGGCTGGACGATGAGGGCTTTGACAGGCCACCTCGCTCGCTACAGTGCGTGACACCTTTTTTTTCCGGCGTCGGCCCTTTATGGCCACGTCGAACGCGAACGCAAATTCCACAGCAGGCGGAGTGGAAGGCTGAATTTCGCCTTATCCCTTTGATTCCTTACACTGCCGGTTTTCGGGCACAACGGCTTGGCTCGATTCGACTACGGCAGAGCACAGCTATCGAGCCAGAGCGAACGGGCGGGTGACTTTAGGAGGTGTGCCCCGAAGGGCGGATCCAGATCTCGCATTCGCATCACAATCATGGGGCCATTGTTGTCTGAGCTGGACCGGGCGAGTCGCTACAAGCCTCGCTGGGCCCGGAGCGTGTGCGCTCTTCTCGCGGGCGCTGCCTGCGGGCTGCGGGTTCGCGGGCTTTGGCACCGGCTCGGATTTTCTGGGTCGAGCCCAACCGAAACGCCCACCAACCATGGTCGCTGTATGCCGTCACTGCCTTTAGTGCCGCTCTGCCGTGGCTCCTGCCGTGGCTCGAGCTCGCTCAGCTGCAAGTGGGCTGAGCTCAGCGTATTGTCCGCTAGCACTGTATGCTTCCACCTCGGCTTGGATGCAGCTCCGCGCCACTCACCTGTCACAACGTGATCACTGTCGGATCGACGGTAGACTTGCCAAGCACAGCCGTACTGCCTGATGCATTGCTCCCGCTCAGCTCCGGTTTCCGCTGTCGCTCTGCAGCCTCGGCAGCGAAGTTCGCTCGCCACTCAACACTGACCAGGGCTCCCTTGATGGGCAACCGGCGACGTGCTCCCGTAGCGCCTATCTGCCACCAGCCTAGTCGACGGCAGAAGCAGCTTCAAATCGAGCAGCATCCATGTTGCCATCGGCCGCTCTCTGTGCGTGCAATCCTGGGCCTTGACTCTCAGCTCCCCTTTGACCGTGTGCCGCTTGGCCTTTGCTGGAGAACGGTCCCTGGCTCGGTCTGAGCCCCAATCCCTTCCGCTTCTCATGCCTTGTCCTTGGCTCTTCGACTTGCCGCCCACGCGCTTCCGCTTGTTTGCCAACAGCTCTGTCCTCCACTCATACATAAGCGCGCCAGATTCCATCTGTTGTCCTCCCCTTCCAAGCTCATCTCTCCGTCTCCACATCTTCCTCTCCTCTCCTCGGCCATCTCTCACCTGGGAACCTCATATACACTCGCCATCATGGATATCCTCGGTAAGCTCACGGCACTGTCCACAGGATGTGAAGCAGCTGTGGGGAGATCTTGACTAACACTTCCTGTTCTCTGCTGCTTGTATGGTGGCCATTTCACCTCGGCGTCAACGTATGCAGAGCTCGTTCACGAAGATCAGCGCAAGGAGAGCAGGCCGTTCGACTGCCAGCACCCTGGCTGCCCCAAGGCATTCTCTAGGTAGGTGACATCGACATCACACACACACACCTCTCAACACATCGAGCTGACCTTGACCGCTTCTTTGTTCGTCCAATTCCGCTTTGCCTGGCGCCAACTTGCAATACCCTCCGACAGACGTTCTGACCTGGCTCGGTAAGTACCTTTTTCTCCTGGACTCCGCGCTGTCATCATGCAGCTTGCAAAGGAACGACAAAGGGATGCTGTGGTTGGATGCAGCCGTGGCACAGGATTTCGGCTCAGGGTGCATACAGCTGGAAGCCAGCGCGGCTCGTTTTCGGCGGCACCAAGCAGTATGCGAGCTGTCCAAATCCAGAGCCACGTGGAAATTTCAGCCCCGACCGCCACCTTTGGAAGCTCGGAATCAGGTCCCCTTTCATGCACACTCCGGACTCGGAGCTAACCTTGTCCCTCTTCGTTCCTTCGCGTCCCTTTGTCTCGTGCAACCAACAGACACGCTCGCATCCACAGTCAGGAGCGTCCCTTCAGCTGCCACTTTCGCAGCTGCGGCAAAACCTTCATCCAACGCTCCGCCCTCACCGTCCACATCCGTGTGCACACGGGAGAGCGTCCGCATGTCTGCGAGTCGTGCAGCAAGGCATTGTAAGTTGCACAACGCATACAGTGCAGCAACATCGTGGCCATCTGATTCGGAAGCTGACGTGACTTGATGATTCGCTCCTTGAAGCTCGGATTCGAGCTCGCTCGCACGCCACAGGAGGATCCACACCGGTCGACGCCCATACAAGTGTCTAGTGCCAGTAGGTCTTTGAAGCGAGGTTGCATATCGAATCGCAACGGCAGGAGTCTGACTTGGTCTTGATTGCTATTGATACAGGGCTGTGGAAAGTCGTTCTGCCGCAAGACTACACTCACCAAGCACACGCGTCGCAACCACGCCGACGCCGAAGGCACATACATGGGCACCGGCCGCACAGCGAGCATCCTCAGCAACTCGTTCTCGGTCGCGCGCAGTGCGCTCCCGCCGCACGCACGCTCCACATTCCCGCAAGGACTCGAGCACCACTATTTCGCCGGCGTCAAGGTCGAGGACGATGGTGTCCGCGGCGGCCACGCGTACGGCTACGCCATGCCGCACGGCGAGTACGCGGCAACGTCGTACAGCGCGCCTCCGATGTCGTCGTGCGCTTCCTCCAACACGAGCTCGGATGGCTTTGATCTGACGCGCCGATCGAGCCTCGTCATGTCGAACTGCATGACTGGCAGCTCGATGACCAGCTTCTACAGTCCGAACGGCAACATGGCTCGCGTCTGCTCGACGCCCAACACGCTCACGCCGGCGTCGGAGATGTCGCACTTCCCGCGCACGCCCGACCACCGCGACTCGCATGCGTTCGATGCACACATGCCGGCGCGCCCGCACTTCGAGCACGTGTCGGTGGCCAACATGGCGTATGGAGAGCCGCACGGCCCGTCGAGCTTTGGCAGCTCGATGATGCCGGCGCCCGCGTCGTTCTCGGTGCTGTCGAATGGCTGTGTCATCACCAGCCAGTCGAACGGCAACATTGACCCAGGACTTTGGGAGGGCGAGTGCGCGCCTGCCTCGAGCATGGGCTCGCACTTCTACGCCAACGACTCGACTATGCAGATGCAGCAGATGCAGTCGCTCCAGCCTCACCACGCCGCACGCTCCGCGCCGTACATGCTCCGATCGGCCACCCAGCCCAACCCGATCCCCTCGTCGAGCTAGCCCTGGCTCTCGACTATACAAAGATACCCTCGTCTACCTCCAACATACTATGCAGCTCTCTGGACCCGACTCGCTTTTTTTTTTTCAATACCCCCTCACTGCTCTCGTCGCCGTACCTGGATCCGCGACATTTGGAACTTTCTCGCTCTCGCATATCTTCTCGCGCTCTCTTCGCCACTCCGTATCGTATAGACTCGTTCGCTGGCTTCCATCCCTTGCTTATCTGTCTCTATTGTACCCGCGCACAAACACAGGAATCGTTAATTGACTTGTTGCTTTCTTACGCCGGGTGCATGTGTGCCTCATGAGACTTCGAGTGGCTCCATGCCGTGGCATTGGGGACTGCAAGAGGACCAAGACGTCGAAGTTGGTTGTTGATTCTCGCTCGTGTGTATTTTTCACCTCTCTAGCTAGCGAGATCGTTGGATACCTGTATGCTGGATGCGATCAGGTGCTTGTTTTGTCTCTCTTGCACGTCGAAGGGGATTGTTTGATTGACTTGACTCTGTCTTTGCGTCTGGATGCGACGCATGGTTTTGGTTGTTCGCGAACCCTCGACCTGGCCTATTGTTTTCGCAATGCAAATGAAAGGAGCTTTATGAAAGTTGGACGATGGTCTTCAGATAGGGACATGTTGAATCTATTTGGACTATTCGATAGCTCGATTCTGTCGATCAATGGTAATGTGGCTTCACCGACGTCATTATCACTGCCGAAGCGGATTTGGAAGGGTTCCGTATGGTGTCTGCACACGTGTGTATGACAAATGCTGCGCATGATGTGACAGCATACACCTCGTCCCAGCCATCCAGATCAGGTTGTCGTGGATCAGAGGGCTGGATGGTGTCGAGCTCGTTTGAACTGTGTGCGTTGCCGGGGGGTTGGTGATGCCAGAGCGTCGTCATCGTCAGCGGCAGTCGACAGCTCTTCCTCGTACTTCCTTGGATGGTGTCGCTGCTTGTGCAAGAGGATGACCGGACTCGAAGTAGGGCGGCGCTTAGGATCGTCCGCTTCGCAAGTCATTCTTGCGTGGAGTCTGCGCAAACACTTTATGGGCAAGTCGGTCGGCTTGCTCACATGGTCACCGGATGCAACTGATGCCGCCGCAAGCTGTAAAGAGTCCATCCCCTTCGAAGGCGCGTGCACTCCAAGGGCGGCCCTTCTTCAGGTCGAGAAAGTGGCTCGTCGGAAGTTTTGGCGGCGTATGCGCCAACGGTGGGTCTCACAATCGCATCTATCTTCGCCCTCATGCACTCGTCTCACCCAATACCGCTGGAGAGTTCAGAATCACAGACTCGCGTCGGCTACACACGGGCGGCGGAAGTACAAGATTTACATTGTTGAAGCTGTGTGCATTGAACCGGTTCCGACTCGATCTTATCAGAACAAAGGTGGTGTGGATGGGAGAAGAGGAAGGCCCAAGATGCGCTGATGTTGCGGTTGACATGGAGATGCTGCGTGTGCATCTCTATTCGTCCAGGCTGCTAGTCCCGTCGATTGCTTGGAGCCACTCGATCGTATCCTGCCAGCTTGCGCTGACGAGTCTAGTTGCGCTTGAATCTGCGTTGAACTTGAGACAGATGCCTTTCTCCGTGAAAGCGCCGAGGATTTTACGCAGCACCACAACCGTTCCTTTCGCAAAGGGAGACTCGTCGCCATACTCGTGGTACAGATCCGTGTCGCGCATAATCTTCACCTTGGTCTCTCGGCCATCGCCAATGTCGATCGTCATGAAGCGGAACGCGCTTGTGGAGATTTTCGGGGTCGCCATGTTGCGAAGAATGCGCGCGACGATGTTCAGAGGTGTGGACTGGCCGCCTCGCCCGGCGGCCACCCTGCGAAGTAGCGAGGGAGGCATGAACTCGTCGCTGTAGACGCTGGAGTTGCCAAGACGAATCGAGTGGCGGTGGTGCAAAGATGGCTGCGGGTCTTGTGGTGTCGTGTTATAGGTGGTGATGCTGTCCTCGAGCTTGGCGTGGGCGGAAGGCGAAGGAGGGGACGATGCATGGTGCGATACAGCAGGCACCACAGCGGTCGTTGAAGCTTGCGTGCTAGCGCACGTTAGAGCCTGATTGTCGCACCACTCGGCATGGTCGGTCAGCAAGCCTGCTCATCGATACTCTGGGACTGAAGGATCAGTTGCACCGCGAATAACAAGCAATGCCTCCAAAACCTTGGCCATGCGACGGATTCTTTCCTCCCCGTCAACGCCGGCGCGGACGAGCTCGGCGGCGAGTTCCAAGCATCGGAACTCCTCACCCGTCATGTCAGAAGCCCTAGAATCCAGCCCGAGATATGCTCTTGCCTCGTCGCACAACGTCATGGCCTCGGATAATGTCAAGACTCGAGTGTCATTTGACATGATGAGCGCCTACACTCGCGAACTTGAAAGCCAGCGAGTCGAGAGAAGGCTACGATGTCGACCAAAGAGTCAAGCGCTGCAATATTCGTATTGGCACCTAGGCAGCCGTTGTGAGAATATGTACGGCGGGCATGTGAGTATGAGTGGGTTAGTATCGAGAAGGTCGTGGTGGATGAAGGACAAGACGGGGAGCGGAGGGACAAGAAGAGGAAGGATGGCCTGCTTATGTGTACGTCTGCCTTCCGCACCTGCTGCTCGCCGTCTTTGACGTTCGAGGTGCGGGTAAGTGTAATTCCGCACTTGACCAGGATGGCGCTCAAGATGAGCGAGGCGAATGTGCGGAAAGGAGCGGAGGGGGAGGAGCGTCCGCCGCGCAACGGAGGCGCTTTGCTCCCGATCGGATCGTTCGCTCGTCCTAGACAAAATCGCAAGGGTGCTCTCACAGCGTGTCATTGACCTCGTCACACTTGCCTTTTGTCACCGTGTGCCTGAAGAAGAGGAATGTGTGACAGTGTCGAGATGCACTCTTTCTGACACGCTTGGTGACGTGCTATTATTCGGGGCATACCGATCTACAATCCAATCACGACCGCTGCCGATTCCGCTCCGATTGAGCATCAATCATAGATCCAAACCAAGCTCAATGCACACGACCCACCAAAATCTGGGTGGCAACACATGCATGAATGATTGTCAACTTCGAAATGTGCATGCTAGACAGGACTTGTTTCGAGATGAATCTAAGCCTCGACGTCCTGCTGGCCCGAGTATTCGGGGAGGATCTTGCAGGCACCCTCCCAGTCGAGGCTTGCGTCGCAGAGCTGGCGGATGACGTCGATGACCTGGTCGATGGGGCCGATGCGCTGAGCGGTGGAGTCGCGCTCGCGCAGCGTCATGGTGCCCTTGCTGAGACTGGCAAAGTCGAGCGTGCAGGCAAACGGCGTACCGAGCTCGTCGTTTCGCGCATACCTCCTGCCGATACTCGCGTTGGAGTCGTCCACACGCGACGCCACACCAGCCGAACGAAGCTTACGGCTCACCTGCTTGACAAGCGGCGCCAGCTTCTCGTTGGAGCTAATGGGCACAATGAGCGCCTTGATGGGTGCCACCAGAGGAGGCAGACTCAAAACACCACGGTCCTGATCCTCGGCACGCGTCCAGAAGCTGTGCTCCAACAGCGAGTAGAAGATACGACCGATACCAAACGAGGGCTCGATCACGTTGGGCGTAAACTCGCGCACCGTCTCGCGGATCGTCTTCATCTCCACCGTCACCACATCGGTGGTCAGCTCAAACGTCTGACCCGTGCAGACCGTCAGCGGCGCCGAGCCGTTCTTGAGCTGCGACTCGAGCTCGCCCAGCTTCTTCTGATCCATCTCGAGAATCGCCTCCTCGACGATCTTGGCATCCTTCTTAAACTTGGGGCCGATGTTCTTCTTGACGATCGTCGCCACGAGCTTGTCGTACACCTTGGGCTCCTTGTGCGCCTTTTGGACCACAAGATCCTTCTTGGTCCTCTTGCTGTGCACGGTGAGGTCGTAGGCGCTGCGGTCCGCACAACCAACGCACTCGATCCAGCCGTACGAGGTGTGGATCTCGGCGTCCCAGCAGTCGCTGGCGTAGTGGGCCATCTCGTTGCTCATGTGCTGGCGGAAGCGCAGACGCGTAGGGTCGATGCCGATCTTGACGAGGAAGAGGTAGATGCGGCCGATAAAGTAGCCGAGCGTCTGGTTGTCGATGACGCCCTGTGCGACGGCGTCGCCGATGGTCTTGGTGGTGATGTCGGTCTTGCCGGACTCCTGCACGTCCTTGGCGAGCAGCGGCACCTGGATATCCTTGACCTCGTCGAAGCGCTCGTGGTTCTTGTCCTCGGGGTCGACGAAGTGCTCGATCTCGGCCATGGTGAACTCGCGCACGCGCAGCAGACCGGCGCGGGGGCTGATCTCGTTGCGGAACGACTTGCCGATCTGCGCACTGGCAAAGGGGACGCGGCCGTTGTTGAACTCGAGCAGACGCTGGAAGTTGACAAAGTGGCCCTGGGCCGTCTCGGGACGCAGGTAGCCCTTGACCTGGCCGGTGGGGCCGATGGAGGACTCGAACATGAGGTTGAACTCGATGGGTTCCGAGACCTCGTTGCCGGACTCGGGCGAGCGAATATCGTACTTGCGGATGAGCTCGCCGAGCTGCTTGCCGTCGAAGTTGTCGATCTGTGCGAGCGTCGAGGTGTATTCAGCGACGAGTGCGTCGTCGAGCTTGACGGCGCTCGACTTGACCTTCTTCTTCTTGGTCTTCTTGTCGTCGCCGGCGGCAGGCTCAGCGGGGATGGCGATGGTCTCGCCGGCCTCCTTGGCGCGCGCCTGCTTGTCGCCCTCGAGACGCGCCTCGAGCACGCCCTCGACGAGGTGGTCTGCACGGAAGATCTCGCCATTCTTGGTGTCCTTGCACATCCAGTCGGCAAACTTGTCGACGTGGCCCGAGGTCTTGAGCACGTCGGCGAGCGTCATGATGGTGGTGTCGAGCTCAAGCATCTCCTCCTCGATGATAAAGTGGTTGCGCCACTGGTTGATGATGTTGGCCTGGAGCGCGGCACCGGTGGGGCCGTAGTCGTAGAGACCGCCCACGCCGCCGTAGATCTCGAAGGCCTGGATGTAGAAGAATCGCTTGGTCATGAGGCCCTCGAGCTGGCCGCGCGAGAAGGGATGCGCATCGCGCTTGACCTCTGTGCGGTCAGACATGTTGCGAGCTGTGGATGTTGCGGAGAATGCAAGTGCGAGCGAGGCGGTTGGTAGGCAGCGAGGCGCTGTCGAAGCCGAAGGACGAACGAGAGCCGCCGAAAAGTGTCTGGAAAGGTTCGGCAGAAGGGATCGAGGCGCTACCAGCATAAACGTGGGAGCGTGTGCTCGATGGAGAGGTATGGATGAGGGTGGTGGTGAGGGAACGTTCAAAGGTCGGACGACCAGAAATCGCTGATTGGTCTTCTCGGCGGATTTTGTGAAGAAGATCTGCAGTCCAACAAGTGCCATTCGGCCAAGCAGCGGAGCAGCAGCGGAGCAGCAGCGGAGAAGCGCACTCAACGGGGAGGAGGCGGGAAGCGCTTTCTTTCCGCTTCTCCAGCTCACCGCACCAAAAGTGACTCGCGCGATTTTCCAGCCCCTAACTTGTGCTTTCATGGAAATCTCACACTCCATTTCCTGTAAAATCGTGTCGAGGGTCCAAAGTCGAGACTGGACTGTGCGCGCGTTGCTTGGGCCCTGAGCGCATGCAGGAGAATGCAGCGCACCGGCCACTCCACTGGGAAAAAAAGGGGCGCAGAAAAAGATTAAACCCGCATTCGAAGTCAGAAGTCAAAATTTCGAGAGAGAAAGGAAAATCGAGCTGGCGAGCCTCGCCGCGGCTCATGCCACAAGCCAGGTGCTCAGTCGAGGCTCGAAAAATTCGTGTTTCAATGCGGTGCTGTTCGAAAAAAATTCTCTGATACAGTAGCTTTCCTCTCGGTTTGGCCGAAGAAAGCTCAGTACTGTGTACTCTAGAGCCATAGCATCTCAATAGTCCGGTCGGCTCCCAGCTCCAACTGCAACAGACACCAATTTGCGATAATGCACGCTAGGACCCCTTGGAGGATAGAGCATGAGAGAGGGTGGTTGGTGCGCGGCGGCAATGCAGGGTACAATGGCGTGGAGTGCGAAAAAGAAAAAGTGAAATTTGCCCCTGGCTCGAGCGCCCCGGCGTTAGCCATATGGCCCGAGCTCACGGCGACCCTTTCCTCTTTCCTTTTTTTTTGCGGGCGGTGCGGGAGGAGTTCAGTTTCAGTTCTCCTGACTTTCACAGCACAGCGAGGACCCTCTCTCTCCCTCTCGGCTTACCTTCTCTCTGGCCAAAAAATTCAAAAATTCATGAGAGGAGGCATGGATCGTGCCTTTTTTTTGGAGCCTTGGCCCGCGCTCTTGGAACGGCCGGGCCCTTTCGAAAGAGAAAAAAAACGGTGAGAGAGAGGGCGGGTGGGCCTGGCCTCTGCACGGCTCAGCAGCAGCTGCGGGCGCTGAGGCCAAGCTCGTAATGCCAAGCTGCTCGTGAGCTTGCCACCCTAACCCGCTCGATCCAGCCGCTCGTCGGTGCTGCTCATACCTCCATCATCTCTACCCTCTTCTGTCATCTACCTTTGAAGCGCGTCGAAGCACGTCGCTCTGCTGAAGAGAGCATTCGGTGGCGTCGCTCTAAGCCGCTGTTCTCTGCTCGAAACGACACGGTGCCGCATTCTTCCCTTGCTGATCCGACCAGCATATCCACGGGTTCATCCAGGCAGCCCAGCACACACACCGTCTTCTCGATCGACGCAAGCTCGATATGGAGTCATTCTAAGTGCACAGCCCGCCTCCATCCTTCTCTCTCAAACAGCCTCGTTCCGACATCTTCAGCGTCCACGGCAGACGCTTGGCGGCGCTAGTGTTCACCCTGCCCGCAGCCTCCGATTCCGAGCGGACGAGTGCCTACCATCCAAACTCAACACCTTTCTCACACTCCAAGCGTATACCCAGTCATGAGCAGGGCCCCTCCTCTGATGCCGAGCTCGTCCGGCTCGCATAGCTACTCGTCGCCCAAGCTTGGCGCTGCAGCCATCTATAGCACCAGCTCCCCTACCGGCTCGCCGCGGCCGTACTTTGCGCAGCATCTGCCCGGCACTCTTTCGCCGTACCGCGATGCATCCTCGCGCTATGCTCATCTCGGTAGCCCACGCATCAGCTCGCTCAGCCGCGATGCCACCGCAGCCTTGAAGGCGAGCAGCTACCCCACATCATCTTCTCGACCCACATCTCCCACCCCCGGCTCGCGGTCACCATCGCCCAGCAGCGACAGCGATGCCTCTGATGCCTCTGTCTCTCGCGAGTCTCTTGCACCCGGCCAACACCATCACCACGACTCGCGCGAACACGCACATCCGCCGCTCAGCAGGCACGACTCGTCCGGGCGTGGCGACTCGCAATTTGCGCGACACGATGGTCACGACGAACCTGGCACTTCCGCATCGGCCAAAGGGGCGTCCGCCGATTCTCCCAACAGCCTCAGGCGTGCACATCAGCTGCAGCCAATAGATACCAAAAGTGAGTACTTGTACATCTCGACATGGCCGCCGCCGCTTTGCCCTTTTGCTCGTCATCCACCGCCCACCCCATTCAACATCGAGCCAGCTTGCTCGACAGCTTGCTCGAGATGATGATTCGTATGACCCGATCCGACTGGCTCGTTCAGTCTGCCTGTTGCGACTCGCCGTAGCCGGGCAGCTCGGTGCGGGTTGCAGCTGCGGACATCCCGCGGCTAACCGGTTCACATTGTCCGCACTCCCGCAACAAGGTTTGACCCACCGCGTTATTGGTGGCGAACCTTGCTGCTCGGACCTGGCCGTTATGCAGAGTCCGGGACAATTCGCGCGCAGAAGCGCATAGAGTGGCGCTGCAGAACCCTGCATTGCAAGCAAGCGGTGCTGTTCGGCGGAAGGCAGCATTTTGTCGGCGTTGCCGACGACGCTGTCTCTCGACTGAAGCACCCATGGCGCTGGACTGCTAGCCGGTAGGCACTCCTGCACGCCCTTCCGTGCCCGTAACGTGGCATTGCTGCTCGTGCCTTGCCGGAATGGACCGAGCCAGGTTCTCGCTGCCTCTTGGGCCCGCTCGCCCCCGACGCTGGCGCCATTGACAGACAGCCACCTTACGCCATCGAGCGGATCGGTGGCAGCGGGTTGCATGCGAGTCGAGCGACATCATATCGACCTGCACGCACTGCTGCCCCATCAGCTTGGCTGTCGTGCAGATGCGGCGTGTGATGCTCTCTCCCTCGGTCTCTCACTCGCTTCCCCGGCGATATCAAGCCCATCGGAACAGCGTTGGCTCCATGAGCAGCTACACTCGCGAGCTTGTCGTTGGCAAGCTTTGCATACAGCCGTTGTCGCTCGCTTGGCCCTGCCTGCTCAGAGATGCAAGGCTGCTGAGCGTCGGATGATGCCAAGCGCGCACGATGGTCGGCTCAGCATGTTTGGCCCGCATTCGCAGTCGCATGAAAGGCATCGTCGACGCGCTTCCAAGCCGGATCGGCTCGAAGCGTAGCGTAGCCTCGCGGATGTGATGCTAAGTTGTCCGTGCTTTCGCTCGGCTCGAGGTGAGCTTACAGTCGCTGCACGTTGTTCTTCACATCTGCACGCGTGCAGGAGGTGCGCAACGACGGCGGGAGCGCAGCCAAGTGGCCGCTCGGTTTGCTGTTGGCGCCCAGCGGGGATTTTCTAATTTGGCACGCGTCGAGCCCGCTCTGGGCTTGCGCCTGGACTCACTTGGGCCAGCTGACGCTCTCGGCCTCGGTGGCTTTTTGCGCGTGAGCCAGTTGGCGCGGCAGTGCCGAAGCAGAGCACGCCCAAAATACTGTACCCTCTGCTCCCACGCCGCTGCATCGCATCGCTTCGATGCAGCGTGACCCCTTTGGCTGCACGCGCCGCCTGCTGCGTCCCCTCGCTGCAACCTTGGCTTCGCCTTGCCTTGCCTTGCCTTGCCTTGCCTTGGCCCGCACGCTCGCTCGCTCGCCTGCCTGCCTGTCTGCCCGTGCCGCCTGCCGTCATCCTGCGGAACTACAGTAGTCTTCTCCGTCACTGGCAGTGGCAGCTGCAGCTCGAGCCCACACACCACACCGGCAGCAGCTCAGCACAGCATCCAGTCAAGGCCTTGTCTCCCGCACTTCTTCTTCCAAAGCCTTTGTCGCGCCATGCCTCGCTCCGCCTCGCCCTGCCTTTTCTGCTGCCCTCGCTGCGTCTGCATCTCACGCCCCTCCCGCGCCTTCGTCCGTTCAGAGTGCTTTGGTCGCTCAGTCCCAGCCGCGTAGCCGACTCCCCCTCTGCATCTTCCGTCTGCCTCGTCGCCTGCTTGTTTGGATCCGTGGCACTGCCCGCCGCGACGCCCTTCCAGCCTCGCTCGCCTCTGCCTGCTACTCCACCCAGACTAGCCCGCTCGCTCTGCTGCCGCTCCTTTGCCTCGCACCGACCACCTATCCTCCCACACCTTCCATACCCACCGCATCCTTCCTCCCGCTCTCTCTTTCGCCTCGCAATTACCCGTCTACCAGCTGTCTCAACCCACGACACCCTCAGAGCTACGCTGAACCCAGGCGCAAGTCAGAACGCCAAGCTCCGATCACGGCTCATCGTTCGTCTTCACGAGACTCGTTCAGGCACATCGTCTGATCAGCGGTAGCGGCGACGTGTCTGCGAGCGTCATATCGACTGCGCCTGTCTCGAGCGATCGTCCCGACGATATCTTGCGTCGCCGACCTCGGACGCGACGCCGATCGCAGCCTTGCTCGTCTTCCGTACAACCATTATCAACCTTGATCCCACTCAACCCACTCCGACCACGGGCGTGGAGCAGCATCGGGCAAAGATGGCGGCCTCTCCCGAACTCATCCGCTTCACCGACAGCCTTCTCAATACTGACAACATGCTCTCCCCCCTCCACCACACCTTCGCCGCCGCAGACGCTGCCACCCGACGAACATCCGCCGGTGAGCCTCTGAGCGCCAGTTCGCCGCGCATCGGCGAGGCATACGTCAACAGCCCCAAACGCGATCCACTTCGCGACGGCTATCGTGCCACACCACCCTCATCTGCATGGAGGCATTCCGGCTCTTATACCGGACGCGACGGCTCGCCATGGTACACCGATGCGCGCTCTTCGCCTTTTGCCTCTTCGGCCGCACGCGACTACGCCACCCTCGAGCTCGAATCGAGCCTAGGTGCGCCAACACATCCCGCCGGTGACCCCTCGATGCACTACGGCGACACCAGCAACGCCGACAACGTCGTCGCGCTCCTCCACGCCGCTGCAGCCGCAGACGAAGCCAACAAGCACGCGGATCGCTCCAACGAGAACCGGTTCCCTTCGCCGAGCGCGTTTTACCAGCAGGGCATGCCTACATACGGTATCCCTCCGTATTCGGCCGCCTACCGATCCAGCTCGTCCGGTCTCGGCTTCACCAATTCGCCCAATCTCGGCTTTGCACGACCCTACCGCGGCGTCGACGGCTCCATGGATGCCCCCTCGCCCTACGGTCAGGCAGCCGCCACCGTCCAGCCCTCGGCAACCGCATCCTCGGCGCAAGACGAAGACGTCAAGACGCAGATCAAGACCGAGCCCGCAACAGCCGAGGTTGACCCCCAGCCTGCCGCCAAAAAGCCACGCGCACGCGGTCGCAAGAAGAGCGTCGTCAAGGTCGAGAACGACGAGGCGTCGGCGAGCGTCTCGACATCCAACGCACCAACGGCGCTGGACAGCGTCGTCTCGGCCGCGCTGGCTGCTTCGGAGGCCCCCGCCGCCTATGCTAGCACTGCTTTTGCGCCATACGGATATCCCGACTACAGCGCCACCGCCATGCCTGCCACTGCCTTCTCCGCCAATCCTCTGGTCTCGCTGGCCGCGCAGGTGAGCGGAGCCCTCGCCGCGCCTGCCACTACATCGCAGGCTCTCGTCTCGTCCGAGCCAACTGCCCAAGCCGCGCCTCCAGCAGCCAAGGCTGGCTCGGCAACCTCTGCCGCCTCGCCTACTTCGCCTGGAAAGAGCAAGACCGAGAGCGACGCGGGTGGACCCAAATTGCACGAGTGCGAGACATGCGGCAAGTCCTTCAGCCGAAGGTCGGATCTTGCACGACACCGCCGCATTCACACTGGCGAGCGTCCTTACCCGTGCGACTATCCGGGCTGCGGAAAGAGCTTCATCCAGCGATCCGCACTCACCGTCCACTCGCGCGTCCACTCGGGCGAGCGTCCGCACAAGTGCGAGTTTGAAGGATGCGACAAGAGTTTCTCGGACAGCAGCTCGCTCGCACGACATCGCCGAACGCACACGGGAAGGCGACCGTACGTCTGCGACTTTCCCAAATGCGGCAAGATGTTCACGCGTCGCACCACGCTCAACCGCCACTCGCGATGTCACCAGCCCGGCTACGTCAAGCCCAAGAGCCGCGGCAAGGGTCGCGGCAAGGGAAAGAAGTCGGGCGCCGAAGGCGATGCCAATGCGGGCGACGACGACGATGACGATGATGAGGACGACGACGACGAAGATGACGAGGACGAAGACAGCGAGGACGATGAGGAGGATGAGGATTCGGAGGCCGAGTCTGGCTCCGGATCCGAGCCAGCCGAGTCGGTCACGCCGCCCGAAACCTCTGCGCAAGTGGCCAAGGGCGCCAAGCGTGCTGCTCCTGGGCGTGGACGCAAGAATTCAAACGCCAAAAAGGCCAACACTGGCAACGCCGCCGGTGTGGTCAACCGCATGAACCGCTCGGCGAGCGACGCGGAGGCTGCCATGACGCTGGCTCAGGCCGCATTGCAGGCACAGTTCAATCCCTATTACGCCGAGCAGATTAACGCTCCTGGCACAGATGCACCTTCGTCCAACGCAACCAGCAGCATGCCCTGGTCCTATCCCATGTCGGCTCAGGACGGAACGGCGGCACTGCTCGCCGCGAGCAACCACTCGAGCTTCTCGCCGGGCATGGGCTCGAACGACTCGAACGAGGCGATGGAGGCTGCCGCTGCCGTCCTCGGCGGCTTTGCCAACTCACCAAGCGCCACGAGCAACGGCGCCGATGCGGCACACGCGAGTTCGCTCTCGGAAGCACAGCTGCTGCTCGACGCCGCCATGAGCCCCGTGTCGAAGCACGCCACCATTCCGGGTACTTCGGATGCCAACAAGGGCGCCGCCGCGCGCGGTCGTGGTCGTGGACGCGGTCGTGGAGCTCAAGCTGGCGGTCGAAGCAGCCGTCCCAGCAACCTGTCGACCGCCACAGGCGCAGAGTCGTCCGAAGCGGCGTCGGATGAGACGCCCGCTGCCGAGCCGTCGTCCTGATTGCCCTTCACCTCCTTCTCCCTCTTGTCATCTTCGGGCCTCTTTCTCCAATTCCCTTGTATTCTTCCCGTAACGCTTTCCTCGCAACTGTCCCTCGACCTCCTTAACTCTCCCTCACGCGTCTTGTGTTCAAGACGGTGTACTTGTACCTGCCCTTCCCCCACTTTTCTTACTGTTTGTTCTTCTCATCGCACGAATGTCTGTCCTTTCCGCTGTTGTGGATCGGGTCAGGCCTGTAATCCATAGATTCGATTGAAGTTTGCTTTGCCGTGCAAGGTGGTGAGATGAAGGTGAGATCGCGATGCGGCGTGGGGCGGTGGGGGATCGGGCGATGCAGTCGTGTGGAGATTTTCGCGTCTGCCAACGGCGCGCGTGGAGCCGGGGGCTGAAAAGGTGTCAAGACCCTAATCGCTTCTCGTTCCTTCCTTCATCCCTCGTCGCGACACCTCGGCACTTCCTTCCTTCGTTCCTGCTGCGCCACAGACCTGCCTCGTCGCAAATCATTGCCACCCTCTGCGGAGCTACCAAAGCCTCGCATCTCCTTCTTCCTCTCCACTCTGCTGCGCCACGACCGTCTCACCACACGTCCTTTCCTTTCTGTTCACCTGACCGATTCTGTTCATCATGGCGAGCGGGAGCAAGTACGAAGAGCTCATCGCCGAGGATGTGGCATACCACAAAGCATCGACGCCGCTGGAAGACATGCCGAGCTGCACGAACATGTTTGACAAGTGGGCGCAGTGCTTTGCGCTCGGCCCGCAGATCAAGGCGGTATACCGGTACGGTGGCCTGCAGGATTGCCGAGACAAGCTGGACGACTTCAAGTTCTGTTTGACGATGAAAGGCATGTCGCCGGAAGAAAAGTACGAGACGTGGATCCGAAGAAAGGCCGAAAAGACGGCGAGCCAAAGACTGAGCAGGGAGAGCTCAGAGAACGTGTGGCAGATCAGAAGGTATGTCTCTCTTCAGCGCATCGATCATGCCATCGAGAAGTCTTGCTGACATTTGTTGGGAGTAGAGATCCAAATGCTGCGGTCAAAACGAAGGGCGAGACAGGGACGATTGTATGATTTCGCATCCTCAAGAACTTGTGTGCAGCAGACATGGCCGACCTCGACCATGTCGCTGCACTTTCTACCATGTGAGCACGAGACGGAGTGTTGAGGCTTACGCACACACCTTGCACCCGACGGGCTTGTCGATGCTACACTCGCACTTGCAGCTCACCGAGTCTGCCATCTTTGTTCTCCCGCACAGAAGGTGCCGACGACAGACCTACACACCTCGCGCTTCCTGATCTGCATTGCTAGTGCTGGCTATCCAGTGCACCTTTGCGGCTGGGGCTTGCACACGTACGATCTGGCGCACCCGAGATGGAGACGCTAGGGAAACCCGCACCAACGCCGCATCCAACCCGCCTTCGATCTTCCGCCCGCCGCTGCTCGGCCTGACCTTGACCCGCGCGTCTTTCCCGCCTGCTTCCTTCGAGAAAAAGGCAGGATGGGCGCAGTGGGGTCGGTTGCGGATGGGTAGCGGTAGTGCCTCAGGCGCTTTAAAGCGGTAGTAGACGATCCTAACCCTAAGTTGATTCGCGCCGAGCCCAGCTCTTCCCTTGTGCGACCAACCTTCGCTCACAGGTTTCCTCAGGGGGACCTAGAGAGTGTTGCTGGACTGCCAGGGGAAGGGTCGGAGTACCAGAGCCTGGTTGATCTGCTCTGTGCAGCAGAAACACTGGGGGCAAAGACAGCCGCTACGGTGGTCGCGTCTCGATCCAAGTGCCCCCGCGGTACTGTCGACTCTGGTACGCATGCTCTGGCTTACGTCGAGGACGCTGTTTTGTGCAGCGCCGTGCTCCGCAAAGTTTGTGCTTTGGTTCCGCCTGCTGGTAAAGGACGGCGGCACGGTCTTGTCTCGATTCAAACCACGGTTTTCGCAGGCTGCAGGGATTGGGTTGTTCTGTTCTTCTTACCACCCTGTTCTTTCGAAGCCTTCAAGGAAGAACGGATGCCCGTTGGTGGGTTTCCCCTCTCCAAGTCGCGCTGGATCGTTGTGCATACCCCCTCGGTTGCCTGGGTTTTGGGCAGTAGGAAAATGCGCGCGGGAGTTGTAGTTCTTGAGGCACCTGCCGTCGTTGATTGGCTCACTGCGATTAGGTTGGTGCCAGGGGAAGGGGTTGGAACACTGCTCTGAGGAGGAAGAGGTGGCGCTGGGTGAAGAACCCGCCCCCTCGAGTGTATCAGAGCTTCGTGCTCGACTAGTACCCCTTTGCCTTGCACCGATCTCGCAGTCGATTACCACCATACGACTAATTTTTCTACCTCCTTACGACGCACGAGACGGTCCAACGCGGACGCGATGGGTTCCAACAACCTATGCCTCGCTCTCGTGCGTCAGGCTCACACTGCAATGCACGCATCGACTCGTCTGAACATGGTATTGCGCATTGCTAATGGTACATTTTCTTCCCATCGTGAGCGACACTTAGTGCTGCTCATCGTCGCCGGGGATGTGGTCGAGCTGATCGAGCTGCTCGAGCGCGTTGCGAATAATCTCGACGCCCCTCTCGAGATCCTTGTCGTCAATGACCAGGGGCGGGGCGAGACGAATGATGTTAACATGCGTTGGCTTAGCCAACAAACCGAGATGCTTAAGCAGCAGACAGAGCTGCCAAGCGCTCCTGCCCTTGGTCGATTTGGTCTCGTCGATGACGATCGCGTTGAGCAGACCCCTTCCGCGCACACTGGCAAGGAGGGGGTGGTTGATCTGCATAAGCTGCTGGCGGAACTTTTCGCCAAGCTCCTCTGCACGCTCGGAAAGCTTTTCGTTGACCAGCACGTCGATGGCGGCGCTGGCGACGGCGCATCCAAGCGGGTTGCCGCCGTACGTCGAACCGTGCTCGCCCGGCTTGATGCACAGCATCACCTCGCGATCAGCCAGCACAGCCGAGACCGGGTAGACGCCGCCCGAAAGCGCCTTGCCGAGCGTGACAATGTCCGGGCGCACGCCATCGTGCTGGTGGCAAAGCATCTTGCCCGTCCTACCCAGACCGGTCTGGATCTCGTCGCAGATAAAGAGCACGTTGTGCTTGCGGCACAGCTGCTCGACGCGCTTGAGGTATCCATCGCTCGGCACAACGATGCCCGCCTCGCCCTGGATGGGCTCCACGAGGAACGCGGCGACCTCGTGGCCGTACTTGTCGAGGACCTTTTCGAGGTCGTCTGCATTGTCGTAGCGGATGTGCATGTCGTCGACGCCCGGCCCGACGCGGTCGAGGAAGGGCCCAAAGCCGGTGCGCGACTCGGGGTCGGTGGACATGGAGATGACGCCGAGGGTGCGGCCGTGGAAGTTGCCCGCAACCGAGAGCAGACGCGCCTTGCCCTCGGGAATGCCCTTCTTCATGTAACCCCACTTGCGCGCGAGCTTTAGTGCGGTCTCGACCGCCTCGGCGCCCGTGTTCATGGGGAGCACCATCTCGTATCCAAACGTCTTGGTCACCTTTTCGGCAAAGGGCGCAAACGCCGAGTTGTAGAACGCGCGCGAGCTGAGCGTGAGCTTCTGCGCCTGCGCCACGAGCGCCCCGACAATGTCCGGATGGCAGTGGCCCTGGTTGACCGCACTGTAGGCGGAGAGGAAGTCGAGGTACTGACGTCCCTCCGGGTCCCAGACGTGGGCGCCCTGCGCGCGGTCAAAGACGACGGGCAGCGGGTGGTAGTTGTGTGCGCCGTACTCGGCCTCCTTGTGGATGGTCTCCTGCGTGGAGAGCGTGTTGGCCGAGGTGGAGGCGGCCGACTGGACGGCCTTGACGGCGGTCTTGAGCGTGGCGGGGACCGCGGCCGCAGCAGCGGTGGCGGCGGCGGCAACGCCAGCAGTAGCAGTGGGTGCCATGATGTCAATTGGTGTGGGGATAAGGAGATCAGATACTTTGAGATGTATCGGATGGTCGTTGGCAGAAGAATGGGAAAGCTCCAAGGGCGGGGCTAAGCTTATATGTGTTTTGGTGCGGTATCAGCGAGGAGGGCGAGCAGCAGATTTTGCTCAGCTTGCCGGAGGGGGCGTGCGGGAGAGGCGATCCGGTTGCTTGTCCGGCAATCAAGAGTGAGGATGCTGTTGGTTTCGGGCGGCGAGGAGGAGGAGGAGGAGGAAGAGGAGGAGGACGCCAAGCATGGAGGGAGGCGCGCGCATTCTGCCACTGTAACTCAGTCTCTGAGACGGCCACGCGAAGTGAGCAGACGGCCACATGTGCAGCCAAATTGGCTCAACCCAGAGATAGCAGAGGAGCGCAAAGAGAGCGCAGCACACTGCTCGTCTGATAGCCGTTGGATTGCCAAGCAGCGCATGTGACGACGGCTGAGCGCGCGCTTTCGGCCAGCGAGCGGCAGAGGCAGCGGCCGAGGCAGCGGCACAGTGTGACGGGCTGGCTGCATTGCGTTGCTTGCGCTGCGTCGGATAGTAGCACGGCTACTCGAGCGGCTCATCCGAGAATGCACTCGCGCGCCGGACCCTTTCGGCTCCCCCCGCAAAGTCCAAACTTTACGCCAGACAACCTAGCGGAACCTCTGGCGGAAAGTCTCGACGCGTCCCGGCTACTTGTTCGGCAAGGCTGAATGTGAGATCGAATATCGAACAGCAATATGATATTGGACAAGATCGGATCGGCTTCGACGGCGTTGGGATATCGCCGATGCACTCAGGGTCTCGAGGCTGGAATTTTTCGTTGGGTGGCCGCAAAGGCAGCCGCGACACTGCCAAACTTCTCGAGGCGGTTCAAGAAAAAAAAAAAAAAAAGTGCAGTACGAGCCAGAAGGAGCTGCTCCACACGTCCAACTCGCGAAGCACACCCTCTCTTCCTCTCCCTCTCACCACCCATCGCGCGGATCTCTCTTCCATCACACACACACAAGGTGGAGCGCAGATCGCCCAACATGCCCGCGCAAACACACAAGCCGAGCCCGGCAAAGCGCAAGGCCAATGCCACCCCAGTCTCGACGCCACCGCAAAAGAAAAAGTCCGCTGCCAAGCCGTCGCCCGCCAAACGCGCCTCCAACAATGACGACGACTTTATCATGACGCTCGACTCGGACGACGAGGTGGTCGATCTCGATGCTGTCAATGCCGATGCAGATGCTGCTGACTCCGCCTCCGAGTCCGAACCCGACACACCTGCAGCCGACGAGAAGCTCACCAAGAACCAGCGCAAGCGCAAGGAGAAGGCGCATCTGGCAGGCAAGGAAAAGATCGTAGAGAGCGTCTCGGCACGCAACAACAACGGCGCTGCAGCTGCCAAGGACACAATGGCGCTCGACAAGGATTTTGAATTCGACATCTTTGGCGACGGCTCCGGCGCCGACTACCAGCGCGCCGAATCCAACGGCTGGGACATGTCCGTCAACGGCCACAGGATGCACAAGAAGCTCAACGTCGACGACATCATCGAGAAGCGAAGAAAGACGCGCCCACAGATCCAGCTGCCAGAGTCCGACGACGAAGAGTCGGATGATGCCTCGGACAATGCTTCCGACGCGCTGGACGACGACATCAAGTTCGCTGAGTTTGGCGATAGCGATGACGAAGACGACGAGGCAGACCACGACCGCTTCGGTGGCGGCAACGGCAAGATCACCGGGGACGACGAGGATGATGACGAGGCAGCCGAGATCGACAGCGAGGAGGATCCGTTGAGCACCGACGACGAAGAGGCCTCAGACGACGACGACGATGACGACAACGACCAAATCCAGAACCAGGATGACGTCGAGTCCAACTCGAGCGACGACGACTCGGACGAGGAGACCGAGCAGGAAAAGGCCAAGAAGGCCGCATTCTTCGCCGACGAACCCTCCACCTCGGCCAAGGCCAAAGCGAGCGATGCAGCCGAGTCGTCGTTTGCCAGCTTCTCGCTCTCGCGGCCGGTGCTGCGCGCTCTGTCGTCGCTCTCGTTCCACAAGCCCACGCCGATCCAGTCGCGCACCATCCCCATTGCGCTTGCCGGCAAGGACATCGTTGCGGGTGCCGTGACCGGTTCCGGTAAGACGGCGGCGTTCATGATCCCTGCCATCGAGCGTCTCACGTGGCGTGCCAAGGGTCGGGCGCAAGAGGCCAAGTCGCGCGTGCTCATCCTGGCGCCGACGCGCGAGCTGGCGATCCAGTGCTACTCGGTGGGCAAGTCGATCGCCAAGTTCACCGACATCCGCTTCTGCCTCTGCGTCGGCGGGCTCTCGGTCAAGAGCCAGGAGGCGGAGCTGAAGCTGCGCCCCGAGGTGGTCATTGCTACGCCCGGTAGGCTCATCGACCACGTGCGCAATTCGGCGAGCTTTACGCTCGATGACATCGAGATCCTGGTCATGGACGAGGCGGACCGCATGCTGGAGGACGGATTTGCGGACGAGCTCAACGAGATCGTCAAGTCGTGTCCCAAGGGTGCGCGTCAGACCATGCTCTTCTCGGCCACCATGACGGACGATGTGGAGCAGCTCGTAAGGCTGTCGCTCAAGCGGCCCGTGCGGCTGTTTGTCGACCCCAAGAGGACCACGGCCAAGAAGCTGGTGCAGGAGTTTGTGCGCGTGCGCGGCACGGGCACGGGCGGGGTTGCTGGCGCAGACGGTCTGGCTGGCGTGGGCGAAGAGGCGTCGACGTCCGCGCCTAATGGGGGGAGGAGGAGCGAGGATGCACAGCGACCGGCGCTGCTGCTCGCACTGTGCACACGCACCTTCACCAGCCAGGTCATCATCTTTGTGCGCTCCAAGAAGCTTGCGCACCAGCTCAAGATCGTATTCGGCCTGCTCGGCTTGTCGGCGGGTGAGCTGCATGGCGATCTGTCCCAGGAGCAGCGTATCGATGCGCTGACCGCCTTCCGCGATGGCAAGGTGGACTTTCTGATTGCCACCGACCTCGCCTCGCGCGGTCTCGACATCAAGGGAGTACAGACGGTGATCAACTACGATATGCCGGGCCAGTTCGAGGCGTACCTGCACCGCGTGGGTCGTACGGCGCGTGCGGGACGCAATGGTCGTGCGGTGACGCTGGTGGGCGAATCCGACCGACGCATGCTCAAGCTCGCGATCAAAAAGTCGAGTGCGGATCAGATCAAGCACCGCATCATCCCTGCCGAAGTAGCGGGCAAGATGTTGGAGACTCTGGAGGAGCTCAAGCCGGAGGTGGATGCGGTGCTGCGCGAGGAGAAGGAGGAGAAGGCGTTGCGGATCGCCGAGATGGAGCTCAAGAAGGGCGAGAATATGGTGGAGCATGCGGACGAGATCTTTGGCCGGCCCAAGCGCACGTGGTTCCAGACGGGCGCGGATAAGGATAAGGCTGCGACACTGTCCAAGGCGCAGTACGAGGCGACCATGGAGGCCAAGAAGAAGGACCAACCGGCGAGAGACAAGTATGCGGGGTTGAGCAGGAAGAAGCGTCGCAGCAAGATGATGCGCGAGGAGATGGAGCGCGAAAAGCAAGATGCGCGTGCCAGTGGCGGCGCCAAGACCGCTTCGGGTTCCAGCGTCAACGCCTCGGTCCGCGCAGCAAAGAAGGCGCAGCGTCCAACCAAGCTCGGCGTGGCTCCCGTCAAGGTCGCCAACGCCAAGGGTGCCAACGGCAAAGGCGGCAAGAAGGTCAAGAGCTCCTTTAGCCGCGATCTCACCGACAAGAAGCGTCGTTAACATCCCGCCCCCAGCAGATGTTCTTGGAGAGGGAGTTGCAGGAATGACACGCCATCTTTTTTTTCAGACAGTGTGTGTGTGTGTGTGTGTGTGTGTGTGTGTGTGTGTGTGTGCAATGTTTGTGATGCGATGGATTTTGGTCGGTGTCGGGGGGAAAGGGGGGATCTAGTCGGCTCCACCGTAGACGGCGAGGAGGGCATCGCCTACACCCGAGGGCGTGAGCACGCCCACGTCGCTAAACAAAAACGTCACCAGGTCCGGCGTAGTATAGTCGATCTATCCTCCACCATCAAAAGGGCGCTGTGAGTACTTTGTATAACGCCTCTCTCGGTGTGGGGTTGTACTTACGGCGGGGTTGAGTAGTTCCTGTGCGCGCGACATTTGCAACGATTGATGGGCGCCGAGTTTGGGGGTTGCGTGCTCTGGGTCTGTCTCGCCTGTCTTGGCGTCGGTAGGTTGGGCATCGAGATCGGGGAAGGCGAGCAGGTTTCGGTTGGTATTGTTGGTGGGCAGATCGTACTGGTTGAGCGGAAACATGCGCAAAAACTTGAAGCTCTCGGCGAGGGCGAAGAAGGGTTTGTTGCATGCCTTTGCGATAATCGCCATCCCATACGTCCCGACTGCATTCAGACACCCGCCAGACTCGACGACTCCCTCGGCACCCGTTAGGACCAAATCCACCTTGGGCATTGTATACGCCACTGCCGAGTCCAAAATCACCGTGCACGGAATACCGTAGCTGACAAGTTGGTTGTACGTCCTCAAGCCTAGGCCGTGGGGGCGGGATTCGGTGACGTAGACCGAGATGCGCTTTCGCTGGTGGAGTGCGGCGAATTTGAGCGCCTGCATGACCACGCGCGAATACGAATGCGTCAACACCACACTATCGTCGCTAATGAACGGCAGCACCAGCTCGCAGATCTTTTCGCGACACGACGGCACTGTATGCACGGCGAACTCGTGCGCCAGCGCGGCGAGCGACGCCTTGTGCGCTTCAAAGTCGTCGCCCGTATCCCACGACTTGGTCACCACAAACCGCGTAAACAGATCCAACCCCGCCGTTGCAGGCACCGGATTTTCGAGCGAAGCTTTGAGTCGATGCGAGGCTGAACGGATGTTCTCCATCAACTCCGAAGTCGTCGCCGCGCGCGATTTGGACACCAGCTCCGCAAGCGCAAAGATCGCCGCGATCGGAAACGGCAATTCGGCATCCGAAGAGAGGAGCGAGTGGTAGCACGAGATGATGTCGAACTCGTCGGTGCCAGAGCCGCTGCCGCTCGAGGGAGAGAGCAGCTTGGGTACAGAGGTGGATGATGTGGCACTTGGTGCCATCGTGTAATGCTAGTCGCAAGTGTGAGAATCGGAGGAGGAAGAGGTGGAAGGTGGACAGCATGAGGGCAGGGCGTGCGTTGCGAACAAAAATCCCGCCTGCCCTACGCCGAAATCCGAGGGTGCAATTTTCCACTCTTTGTGCCGATACCAACTCTCACACGTTTGAAAACAAAGTTCCCCCCCACCTTGCGAGTGCTCAACGCAGCCAAGCGATCATCACAGCAGCTCTCTGAAGCTGGGCAGGAACACACTGTTGCTGCGAGCATACTGCTGTACACAAGCATGCAGCTGCGGGGGCTGCTTGCGAAACTTGCACCGCGCTTTTGTACGCGCGGCAGTGGACCTCCAATGCCTCAAGCCACGAGGTCAAAGAGGATCATCGCGCCACGCCACCCAGTCAAGGGGTGTTGAGCAAGGGCATCTAATGAAAGTGGATTTCGGCAGCTGAATCTGGGTATACAATGAGAGTGAGGTGCGGCATCAAGGCGTCCAGATCTTGATGGTGAGATCGACGCTGGAGGTGGCTACGACATTGACGGTCCTGGGTTCTTGCTTGAGCGCATTGGATCCGTTGGCACCCGCGGCAGCGTCGGTGTCCTGAGCAGGTGGGATGGGCGCCTCGATCCTGGCTTTGCCCCAGGCGATGCTGGTGCAGAAGTGCGCATGCGCATCGATGGTCTTTGCGCATCTTCCCGTCTTGAGGTCCCAGACGCGCATGGTCTTGTCGTCCGACACGGAAAGCAGGTTCTTGCCGTTAGGCGAAAACGCCAGTCCTCGCACCCAGTTGTCGTGACCCGTGAGCGTCTTGAGACACTGCCCGGCGCTGTCCCAGATCTTGATCGTCTTGTCCCTCGATCCCGTCGCTGCGAATTGACCCGGCGCAGAAGCGGAGGCATCCTTGGGTGCGACCAAGCCGGCCAGCTCGCGGATTGCGGCGTACGCAGAGGCGGGCGCAAAGATGGCCACTTCCACAACATGGTCGTGGTCGCGCAGCTCGACTTTGGTCTCGCCCGTGGAAAGGTCCCAGATGCGTGCGGTTTGGTCGGTAGAGCAACTGACGAGCCACCTGCCGTCGTCGGAGGGTATTGCGGATCGAACCCATTCGGCGTGTCCATGCAGTGTGCGTGTGCAGAATCCCGTGGCGAGCTCCCAGATCTTGATGGTCTTGTCCCTGCTTGCGGACACGAGAAAGTCGTCACCCGGCAAAAAGCCGACGGAGGAAACGCTATGATCGTGCCCATGCAGCGTCTTGACGTTGCGATAGTCGTTGTTGGCATCCCACACCTTGATGGACAGGTCGGAGGAGCACGAGACGACGTAGTTGCCCTTGGAGTCAAAGTTGACATCCTGCACCGCCTTGGTGTGACCCTTGAGCGTGCGTTCGAACTCGCCCGTCTCCCAGTCCCACAGCTTGACCGTCGTGTCCTCGGATGCCGATGCGACCTGGCTGAAGACGGGGTGGAACGAGACTTTGGTGACGGGCATGCGGTGGCCCTGCATGGTGTGGCGTGCCGAGGCACGGGGCACCCAGTCGTTGAGCGATGCGGATCGCTTGGCGGACGGTGCGGCGGCGAGTTCTTCCTGAAGCTGCGACATGCGCGATTCCATCTCCATGATCTTCTTTTGGAGCCGGATGACGCTCGTCCACTTTTTCTCGAGCAGGCCTGCGTACTTGGCCTTGGGATCGGGCACGAAACCGTCCTGCCCCGCCTCGCGCATGAGGGTTGCGTAGGATTCGTGCAGACCGTTGGTCTTGAAGTAGTCGAGGATCGACTTGTGCAGTTCGTCCTTCTGGCGCTCGGAGAGCATGCTGGTGCTGCTGATGGAGCTCATGGCGGCTTGCAAGGCAGACCTGCTGCGCGGTGGGGGCCTAGCAGCAGCGCCGCGGGGCTGAACAGCGTGCGGTTGGAGCGAGCGAGCGGTCGGATCAGCTTTAGCCAGCCAAGCTCATGGTGGCTGTCGTTGGCCGCGGATTTGGTTGGTGACAAGTGGCAGGCCGAGGTGTGGAATGCAACACCTCGATGGGTAGTGGTAGAGTGAGAAGCAGGTCGGCAAGGCTTGCTGCGTGTGTGTCGATCTTTCCCCATCCGGCCGACTGAATGGGTCGAGCGGAGTAGCGAGAGGACGGTCTAACATTGCTTGAGGCGGCAAAAATGGTGCGCCTGCCCCGGCTGTGGATTGGGACTGAGCCGGTGGAGACCGCATCCCGAAATTCAGCAGCAAAGCAGCAAAAGCAGGCGTGAAACGAGTGCAAGGCGGGGTGAATCACCTCTCTCCGTCCCTCTCTGGCTCGCTTGATCGCACCGGCTGCCCCCACACTTTGTGCCGCGCAGCTCGCAATCCTCTTCATCCTCCGCAACACCATCCATCGTGCCACTATCCCATCGTCGGTCCCTGCTCTTGCACCATCTAATTTCGACACACCGGACACACATCGGATCCACACAACCTCCGCCCACGACCCATGCCATCGCCACCCAAGCCTTGGGAACGTGCAGGCGCAGGCGCGGCTGCCGATCTCTCCTCCTCTTCCACCATGTCGTCGTCGTCCGCCGCTTCGTCATCTGCGCTCGCCACCACATCCGCTGCTGCGCCCGCACTGCCCGAACGTCCATCCACACTCGGCGCCACCACATCCACCACCGGAGCATACGGTGCATCCGCCTACAACTCGCCGTACAGAAGCACCGTCGGTGGACTCGGCTCGACATACGGCGGCATGGGCTCCACATACGGCACCTCCTACGGCTCCCCTTACTCGCGCTACGGCGGCATGGGCGGCATGGGCGGCATGGGCGGCATGGGATACGGAAGCTACGGCAGCTACGGAGGATACGGAGGCTACGGAAGCTACGGCGGCTACGGAGGTTACGGTGGCATGGGCATGGGAATGGGCATGGGCATGGGCGGCATGCCAGGCATGCCGGGACAGCCCGGTGACGTCTCGCTCACCCAGCGCATGGAGGCCGGCACCCAGGCGACGTTCGAGCTCATCAGCAGCATCGTCGGCGCGTTTGGCGGCTTTGCGCAGATGCTCGAGAGCACGTTCATGGCGACGCACAGCAGCTTCTTCGCCATGGTGGGTGTGGCCGATCAGTTCGCCCACCTGCGCACCTACCTCGGCCAGGTGCTCAGCATCTTTGCACTGGCACGCTACCTCAAGAATCTCGGACTGCGCCTGGCAGGAAAGGCGCCCGCCGTCGAGCTCGATGCGCGCGAGTTCAAGGAGTTTGCCGCACACGGCGCCAACGGTCAGCCGGGCAAGGCGGCGCGGCCGAGCAAGCGTCCGCTCATCGTCTTCTTCATGGCGGTCATCGGCCTGCCCTACCTGATGGGCAAGCTGGTGCGCTTCATCACCGCCAAGCAGGAAGCCGAGCGTCAACGCCTCGAACAGCAGGGCCACAACCCGGGTCAGGCCGGTCTGCTTCCGGGCCAGCATGGTGGAGGCATGATCGCCGCCGGCGAAAACGGCGAGCCCATCGATCCGAGCAAGCTCACCTTTGTGCGCGCGCTGTACGCCTACCCTGCCACCGACCCGCTCGAGCTGAGTCTGCAGCCCAACGACATTGTAGCCGTGCTCAGCAAGCACGACCCGCAGACGGGCGCGGAGAGCGCGTGGTGGCGCGGACGCACGCGCGACGGCCGCATCGGCTGGTTCCCCAGCACCTACGTCGAGTCGCTCGAGTCGGCAAAGGAGCGCGCCACCAAGGCTTCTGCTGCCTCAACCACCACAAAGGCAGCCGACACCGCCGACAAGGTGTCCGCACAACCTGCCAAGCCGGCCACTGTCAAGGCCACCTAAGCCCCGCCTCTTGCACACTGCAAAGACCCACCCGGATGTATATTGTACTTGTACCCTTCTTTTCCCGATCCCAGTCAAACCCATGTGTCCGTTGCGGATATCATTTCTACCTTTGCTTGTGCAGTAAGCGAATGACGAATGAGTGTGCGAGGGTCCAGCCCAAAATAGCCCTTGGCGGGGGGTTGGCGTGCATGCCAGAGTGTGGGTGCGAGTCTGCCAGGTGACGTTGACTGGGCCGCGACGTGCAGTGTTGGGCGGCTCTCTTTTTTTGCCAAGCCTAACAGGCGATTTCAAGCCGCGACCCGCCAACGCTCGAACCAGCATCCAACACACACCTTCACCTCCACCAACACCCTCGCTCACTTGCAGCACGAGCAGCAGCACACGATAGCAGCCACTGCTCGGCATGCAGCGCCTCCACCATGCCGCCCGCACAACGCAGAGCCGATCGCTCGCGCATGTACAACCTCGCCGGTCACGCCCACTCGTCCGGCTCGCTGCTTCCGCGGTCGACCGACGTGCATGCCGCCTCCGCCTCCGCAGGACCGTCTTTGACTCAACCAGCTAGGGGCGTGGATGCGGCCGATGCGCCGTACCTGACCAACCTCGAGTCGCATTTCGGCAGGGTCACGCTTACGGCGCCCGACAACTTGCTGCGAAAGCAGGCCAAGGAGAAGAAGCAAAAGGTGCGACAGCGGAAGGCGCACAATGCACATGCGGCGGCGGCGGCTCTTGCGGCGCCAACGCATGCCGCGCTCTCGCCAAATACACCTCGTAATGCCGGCGTGTCTACCGGATTGCTTGACCCGGGGCGTCGGTTCCAGGCTGCGCTTGATGATGCCGCGGCGGGGAGTGGAGCGCTGCTGTCAGCTCCGGCGCAGCAGGGTGTCATGCGTCGTGCGCACAGCGGCAACCAGACGCCGACCTTGGCTTCCACCTCGTATCTCCAGACACCTCCACCCACCGCACAGACGACAGCGACCAGGTTGCGAAGACGCAGACAGTCGGTCGCACGCGAGGATGCCAGCAGACCTGCTTCCAGAGCAAGTGCGACCAGTCGACCCGACAGCGCACTTTCGTTCAACGACAACGACCCTGTACAGCCTCATCCGGGCTCTGCGCAGACGACGGAGGCTCCGCGTCGATCCCGCACCGAGAGTGCACCCGCAGCTCAGCGTCGATCTCAAAACGCTTTTGCATCGCTCGATCCTGCCCCCAGCGGTCCATCGAGCGCGCAATCACAGCCTGCGCAACAGTCTCTGCACCGCCAAAATGTATGGAACGACATTACCGAGGACGATCCAGATGACCTTCCGCCACCGTTTCCCGAGGGGGCGACGAGACCACCGACGCCGCCACAGCCACCATCGCATTCGGAAGCGGCGGCAGATGCGCAGCTCATCGCTCCACAGCCTCACGTGCGCATTCCCGATAGCCCACCACCACCCTTTGTCAGTGACGATGAAGATGAACCGGTCAACGGTCCGTCAACACAAGAGCAGACCGCCGAAGAAAGGCCGCAGAGCCGGGGGTCGACGATAAGCTCGACGTCAAGCGGAAATGACAGTGTCGAGCTCACCGAAGAGCGCAGGGCATGGGAGTCGGATTTGCGCAACGGTCTCAGCTTTGATGTCAGACTGCTCAGGGAACAGCAGCGTCGTGTGGCACGCGAACGCGCGGCGCAGTTTCGAGCAAGCGAGGGGCAGCAAGATGCCCGTGCGGAGCAAGAGGCGCCGACTTTGGACGCTACGCTCGACGGTGCGGGCTCGGAAGATGAAGCAGAAGCAGAAGTGCCAGCGTCGGAACCTGCTGCTCCTGAAGCAGAAGCTCTTGATCAGCCGCACGACGTTGATCAGGACCAAGCAAGTGCGCAGGCTCAAGAAACACCTGCTGTCGAATCATCAGAGTCGCCGATCAGCCAGCCGACAAGCGCTCCTGTCGCAGTGGAGGCTGACGTCGCCAACATCAGTGGCCGTCTGTCGTTGTCCAACGAGCCTCGTCTTGGCCTGCCGCCAATGGCGCCATCGCCAGCCTCTCAAATCTCCGACGGTCAGGATGCTATCCGTTCTCCTCGCTCGAATCACATCCTGGGCCACAGGAAGACCAATTCCGATACGCCGAACGCGGGAAGCTCCAGAGCGGACAATGCGCGTTCCAACGCTGGTGTTCGCGCATCGGTGGGAGGCGCACCTGGGCGTCGAGTAGAGCTGGCACATGCGGCGAGAACACACGGTAGCGACTCGCACCTTCCGCTCAGCCGACGACCCGAAGACACGCTGTTTGTTATTTCTGCCCCGCCGCCAGCGATCCACGCGCGCGCTGCGGGCGACGACGAGGCAAGCACATCGACTGGTCAAGTCGACAGCGCTGAGCTCGTTGGCGATGGCGAGGATTCGTCGCACGAGGAGGACGATGGAGCCGAGTCGGACTCGTCGATCGAGCAGTGGCTGGCCGAGGCAGCGGCGTTTGATGCGCTGCGCAAGCGCGAAGATGATGCGGCCGCGCGGGTGCAGCATCTGCGCGAGCAGTCGGACAGCAGCGAGAGCGAGCAAGATATGCCTGGTGCATTCAACCGAGCATCCCGACGCAGCGGAAGCAAGGTACCCGACCCGGAGAATCTCAAGCTCATGGATGAGGTGCTGCCAAAAGCTCCACCCCCGCTTGTGCTCGGTAGGTCAAGGGGTGGAGCAGCGTTCTCGGACTCCGACTCGACCGATACCGACGATGCGCTCGACCAGTACTCGTCGAGCGACGAGGATGATGACCAGCATCAAGCTTTCAGGGATGCGGCAAAGGAAGCAGAGGTGGATGCTTTCAAGGATGCGCGTAGCTCGGTGCATGCGCGGAACAGCTCTTCGGCACCTAATTTGTCCATCCTCGACGGGGATAGGCGCGATGGGCTAAGTAAGGCGGTGGAGAATGGTCCTGAACGAAAGCTCAGCGTAAAGGCTAGAGGTAAACTGCCCGAACGGCCCGAGCATCCAGCGCCAACTGGGAGCGTCGCTGGGGCATCGCACAACGACGTACTCGAGGCGAGGGCGGGAGAGTTCCAGGAAGACTCGTCGAGCAGTCGCGACGTGTCGGACGCAGACGAGACGCCACCGGTCCCACAAGTCAACGTCGTACGCGGGCGGAATGAGGCGGCGCCAGTCGTGAGATCGGGGATGGAGCCGCTGCTGCAGCCGCTGGGGTACGGGCAAAGGAGGCCGGATGTGGGCGGTCGTCTCAAGGGCCTATTCGGCCAGCCGTTGGTGGCGAGTGCTGATGGCGCGGCAACGACGGCAGTCGAGGGTGCGCGTCCGATAAACAGCTCGCGTCGCGCGTCCAACCGGAGCGTCAAGGAGCAAGAAACGGCGGGCGATGCACGCAAGGTGTCGTCGACGCAGACGCCCGAGCAAAAGGCGCGCGACGAAGCACTCGCGCAGATCGCACAGGTGAGCGCCACCCAGGCGAAGCACGACTCGCTCGCGGCGCTCGAGCGGCTCCTCGCCAAGACTGGCCGTCCCACCTCCATGCTTCCGCCCAGCGCTATGAGTCGTGCAGAGCTCGGTGGACGGTTGCATCCCCTCCCGGTCGGGGAGTCGGAGGCACCACCAGTGGGGGAGAAGAGCGTGGCTCCACCAGTTCCGCCGGCTAGGAGTAGGTTGTCTCGTCAGGGCGCTGTGCGTGGTCGAGTGGAGCCAATTGTGCCCTCGCAGTCGGGGTTGTCGCGTGCGCCGTCGACTGCTCGGCCGGTGTCGTTTGTAAACCCGCGCTCGTCGGCGGCACCACTGCCAAGGGGTAGGCTGCCGGCGATTACGGATGCCACGCGTCACTTTCCGCCGTCGGCAAGTACGGCGCAGGGTGCGACGCCGTGGCTGGCGAATATCCCGTCCGAGGAGCAAGATCGGCTGCCCGCACCGCTGGAACCGCTCAGGATCGGACGCGTCTCCGAGATGGTCTCGCGCTTCGAGGCGACGCCAAGCGCTGGTCACGACAAGCCCACATCTCCCACCAAGCGCGCGGACGCGGCAGTATTCCAGCGCTTCTCTTCCAACGACGGGGAAGGGGTGCAGAGGCGGCCACCTCCTCCGCCGCCGACGAGGCAGAGTGTGGACATGGACGCGCTGGCGCGGCAGATCGACGAGGCAGCTTCGGCGTGGACGCAAAGCCACCTTGCGGTGCCGGAAGTGAAGGGGCTGGTAAGGTCCCCGCGTACGGTGGCCATGGATACGCTCACGGGAGACGCGCGCGTGCCGTCCAAATCGCCCGTAATGACGCAGGAGCACATTGTGGCTGCTGCGAGCAGAAACGGTCTTGAGGCGTCGATCGCTGCAGCTCAGGCGGCGGCGCTGGCAAGAAGAGGAAATGGTGAGGCGGGGAGGCCGCTGCCGATGCTGCCACAGTCGGTAAGGGTGCAGGGGCTGGGCATTGATAGCGCACCCAGGAACGGGTTGCCCATGCCCCCACCGCTGCCTACACGTCCGCCACGCGAAAGGTGGATGGAAGAGTCGAGCGCGAAGTCTTTTGCGAGTGGAAAGGCAAGCGAAGGCAGCTCATCGCCGGCTATACTTATGGACCGCGCGAGCGCACCGCAGCAGCAAGGCACATCGAGCGGCAGCGTGACGATGCGATCTTCGGACCGGACTGGCGGCTCGTCGGAGGGAGAAGGGTGGGCGTCGATGCAGTCGCGAGGTTCGACACCTGCGTATCGCGGAGAAGCGGTGGGCTTGGCCAGCACGACAGAGCAGGTGCGCAGTAGCACGAGATCGGAGCAAAGAGCGGACAGCTCAGGCGCTGCTCGGCAAGGAGCCAACGGCTCCAGCTCGGCTGGCCAACGTCGACACGACAGCTCGGACGATGCGCAGTGGGCGACCGCGTCCAGCGCGGTGGGTCGTGCGAACGTGTGTCAGGGTGCAAAGCGCGCGTCTACAGATGGCCAGCGCGGAGCCGGTTCGTACTCGGCTGCTCAGCAATGGGCCACCGGTTCAAGCTCTTCTCAACCATGGGCCAACAGTTCAGACTCGGCTGGTGAGCGTGCGTCCAACAGCGGGGCCACAGCTACACGATCCGGCTCCAGCTCGACAATACCTGCTCGGCGCGAACACAGCTCAGGTCGAGATTCTTGGTCGCAGTTCGGATCGGAAACAGCTGTTCAGGCTCGGATGAATAGCTCGACGGCCTCGGCGAATCAGTCGCAGACCTCCAATTCGACGCCGTCTGCACAGGTTCGCGACACCAGCTCAACCACAGCTGCGCAGTCGCGTGCGGGCAGCTCGGGTCGAGATTCGTGGTCGCAGTTGGGCTCGATAACACCTGCTCAAGTGCCGGCCGCCAGCTCAAGCGCTGCTGCTCAGCGTGGAGACAGCTCAAGCGCAGCTACTCTGCCACAATCCAGCTCGACTCGACCCCTAGCGCAGGGCAGCAACTCGGACTCTACTTCTCCATCGCAAGATGCTTCGACCTCCACCGCACCTATCGACTCGTCTGCTTCTCGTCGCCCGGCGGCTCGGGAAGCCTCGCTGGGCCTGACGGACTTTGACCTGCTGGTGGCCCAACTCGAACGGGAGGGGGCGCACTATGAGCAGCTCTCTGCGATCGGAGCGTTCCTGGGGCCTGCGCAAGCCACGGCAGCCACGTCGGCGCAGTTGGCGTCGCTGTCGGTGGGACGGATCGAGTGCGATGCACGCCGCATCACACGCGAGGGGAGGGTGAAGCAGAAGCTGAGCTGCGTGGGTGTGCGCGTAGACAAGTGCACCATCTGCTTGGCCCAGTTCAGGCAGGATCAAAACGCCGTCATCCTACCGTGTGCACATGTCTTTCACCAAGAGTGTGCCGTGGCGTTGCTCAAGACGACCAGCACGTGTCCAACTTGTCGCCACCCAGCTTTTTAAACTCGCCATTCTCTCAGCACAAAACGCAAAGACAAAATTTGGATGAAAAAAGGGAGCGAGGATTGATGGGGTGTGAGTGTGTGGGGGGGTTTAGCGTTTTCCGAGCGAGGCTAGGGCGTCGTCGTTGAAGGCGGTGGGTTGCGAATTGGCGCCGAGAAAGTGGTCGTTGATACCGACCGAGCTGGTGGTGCGGCTCAGACGCGCCTTGAAGAACCTCTTTGCCTCGGGTTGCGCCCTTCTTGCCTGAACAGCGGTTCGGAGTGTATCGAGTGCCTGCACAGTGGTATCCCAGTTGACGCAGGCATCGGTGATGGACTGACCGTACTTGAGTGCGGTGGGACCTTGGGCGGGGATGGACTGTTTGCCCTCGACGAGGTTGCTTTCGATCATGACGCCAAAGATGTTGCAGCCGTACTCGTCGCCGCGTGCAAGCTGTTCGGCGATGCTCGCGACGACGCGCGTCTGGTTCTCGTGCTTCTTCTCCGAATTGCCGTGCGAGCAATCGATCATAATCCTCGCACCCAATCCAGCAGCCACGAGTTTGTCCGATACGGTGCGGACGTCGTCGGCAGAGTAGTTGGGGCCGGTGTTGGCACCGCGTAGGATGACGTGGCATGCATCGTTGCCGTTGGTCTCTACGATGGCCGAAATGCCCTGTTTGGTCACGGAGAGGAAGACGTGTTCGGAGCTCGCCGCCTTGATCGCATCCACCGCAATGCTGATCGACCCGTCCGTACCGTTTTTAAAGCCGATGGGCATCGACAAGCCGGAGCTGAGCTCGCGGTGAACTTGGGATTCAGTAGTGCGTGCACCGATGGCACCCCACGAAATCAGGTCCGCAGTGTACTGTGGCGAAATGGTGTCGAGGAACTCGGTCCCCGCAGGCAAGCCGAGGTTGTTGACTTCGAGCAGGAAGCCGCGCGCGAGGCGCAGACCTTTGTTGATCTGGAAGCTGCCGTTGAGATTCGGATCGTTGATCAGCCCTTTCCACCCGACCGTCGTGCGTGGCTTTTCAAAGTACACTCGCATGACGATGTGCAGGTCCTCCTTGGCGCCCTCGGCATAGGCAGCCAGCTTGCGGGCGTATTCGAGGCCGGAGCGGACATCGTGGATCGAGCACGGACCGACGACGACGAGCAGACGATCGTCTTCGTGCTTGACGATCTCCTCGGTCGCCTTGCGCCCCGAAGCAACCGTTTGGGCGGCTTGGAGGGTGAGCGGGTACTCTTCGATGAGGATCTGCGGCGGCAGAAGAGGCTTGATCGACTTGATCCGGCGATCGTCCAGCTCGTTGAGCGCGTCCTTGTACGTCAATGCGGTCATGTTACAATATCCAAGAGGAAAGGTGGTGGTGGGGAGGTGGCGAGGTGGGTAGGTGTGGTGGAAGAAGAAGTCGGGGACAAGAAGCGGATGCACGTCCATGCACGCTTGAGCCAAGTCTAGGCCTCGACTGACCGATCTTCTCGCTCCCATTGGCGGCGGCCTTTCGAGTCATTTCGATTTCACACTGCAGCTTCCACATCGATGCCGATCCTGCACTTCAGTACCCGATCGTTTCCCGATGCATCCACTCTTGCTTCGCCCGGCGCTGCCTCACACCACCAACATTCGGCACGTTTGTGGACTTGCATAGCATTGACCGCAAGCCCGAGCGCCAGCTTGGCTGTTCAAATGCGGGAGTGGCATGGTGGCATATGGCGTTGAGGTGCGCAAGATGGCGATGACGGACGTGGCCAGCGGAGCAAGGGCTGCTGAGCATTGATGGCGTGCACTCGGGCGGTGTTTTTTTGAGCGAAAATCTTTTTTCGGCGCTGAGGCGAGTTCTGGTGGACGAGAAAGCGTTGAGGCGGGGTCGGGCCAACACGTCGCAACTGGCTCTGAGCGCGCTGGGCTTGAAAGCGAGCACTTGGGCGAGACGCGTCGGTTGGGAATCGGTGGGGCGATGCACTCGTTGGTGGAAGCAATAAAAGCGAATTGGATCCGCTCACGTCCCCCCTCACCCTCGCAGCTCCTCCAAATTTCCTCCTCCTCTTCTTCCCCCCTCACCGCTTTGACTAGGGAATTTCCTCGGGCCAAGGAATTCTTTTCGGTCTAACACCCATCCGAATTTTCGCGGCGCCATGTCCGACGACGAGCATTTCGGCTCGGCAGGCGCGGCGGCAGTGGACGACGAGCTGTCGCTGCCGAAAGCAACGGTGCAGAAACTCATCTCGGAGCTGCTGCCCAAGGAGGTGACGTGCAGCAAGGAAACGCGCGACTTGCTCATCGAGTGCTGCGTCGAGTTCATCCACCTGCTCTCGTCCGAGGCCAACGAGGTGTGCGAAAAGGACTCGAAAAAGACCATCGCACCGGAACACGTGCTCAAGGCCCTCGACGATCTCGGCTTCCCAGCGTTCATCGAAGAGGCGAAGAGCGTGCTCTCCGAACACAAGGCGGCCCAGAAGGATCGAGAGCGCAAAACGACCAGGATGGAACAGTCCGGGATGAGCGAAGAGGAGCTGCAGCGTCAGCAGGAACTCCTGTTTGCCGCCAGCAAGGCTCGCTTCGAAGCGGCGAATTGAATCCTCTATCTCTCTCTCTGTTATTGCATCCACCACACGCACACACTGTACTTTTAAACCCCCCTTGGCTCGAAAACACACACGCAAACACTGTTACTCGATTGTTGATCGCTAGGCAGAGTAACAAAGACGCTACAGCTTGCTCTTGGGTGCGAGGGCGGTGGCGGCACGCAGGGATTCGGGGCCACGCGGGTACTTTGCTACGTCGGTCTGCTTCCACCACGGCCAAAAGGCGAATCGGTCAAGGTCGGCCATGGTTCCCGGGAACTGGGGCTTGCGTTTCTCGAGGAAGCTCTTTGCGCCCTCGAGGCCGTCGAGCCTGCTTGTTTCCCAGATGCCCTGGCTTTCGAGCAGATGTGCGTCTTCGGGCGAGTCGAGCTGTCTCCACATCTGCGCCTTGCACAGCGCCATGGAGACGGCGCTGTTCTGGGCGAGGGTGGCGGCGAGTTTGAGCGATTCGTCGAGCACCTTGTTCTGCGGCAGGGGGGCGCGCGTCCACAGCGCCGCATAGCTCTCATCGCTAGGAGCGCGCACTTCGCCCGTCAGGATAATGTCCATCGCCTTGGACACGCCCACCAGTCGCGGGAGGAGGTACGACGAACACGCCTCCATGGCTATACCGCGCTTGACAAACGGAATGCCCACCTTGGCGTTGTCTGCGACCAACCTGAAGTCGCACGAGAGCGTCATGGTGACGCCGATGCCGATGGCGTTTCCGTTGATCGCGGCGATGGACGGCTTGCGACACCGCAGAATGGCGAGCCCGACCTGGCCGCCTCCATCGCGATGGCCCTGCGCATGGTCAGCAATCGCCCCGAACCCCTGGGCGAGATAGGCGCCTGCGCAAAACACCTTGCCACCCGCACCGGTGATGACAGCAACTCTTACGCGGTCGTCGGCGTCGAACAGCTCAAACGCAAATACGATCGAGAACGCCATGGGCCCCGTAAAGGTGTTGTACTGCTCGGCCCTGTCGAGCCATACGATCGCGACGCCATCCGGGCGCAACTCGACCTTGATGTCCTGCCACGCATACGCGGCGTAGTCGAACCTCGCCACGTCCACGTCCGACACGCGAGGATGCGGATTGATCGCCGTCCACATGGCGTCGTTGGAAGTATGGCGGTGATGTGAATGCGGGGAAAGCAGGGGGCGAACGAGCCATGCCGGCCTTTAAAGCTTGCTCGCTCGCCGGCTACCTCGGCCCACGCATGCCGATGCGACACGATTTAGGCGATAAACGTGTTAACCACTTTGATCTGACATTGCTGGGAAAGATGAGCGCACGCGAGCCGAGCGCATCTCGCGTAGAGAAGCGCGTTGGGCGCCCTCGCAGACTGCAGCTCGCCTGACAGCTGGCGAGGCGAGGCGAGCCTAGCGCGGAAAGAGAGCGGCTCAAAGCGCAAAGGGAGCCAAAGGAGCCGGTCCAACACTTTTGCAAATTGGATTCCTTAAACCGCCTTTTTCTTGAGGCTGGGCTGCTGCTGCTGCTGCTGCTGCACCTTTGGAAGGGGTGCAGAACCGAACGCTGCGTTGGCAGAAAAGGGTCGGTTGGAAGCGGTGCAAACGCTGCAGTCGGTGAGTGCGGTGCAGTGCGTGTTGCGCAGCCCTTTCTGCCAGCCCTCTCTGGTCGCCATCAGTGCGCCCTCCTCCTCCTCCTCCTCCTCCTCCTCCTCCTCCTCCTTCTTCTCCTCGTCTTGCTTCGGCCTCGATCCAATCCGCTGCTCCGTCTTGACCACGACCACAAACATCATTCTCTACGGTCTGCGTGACCGCATCTTCGCGCCCATCATGTCCAGGACACGCGAGGCGAGCGGCGCCTCCACGCCCTCCCTTTCCCAAAACACCACCTCCGTACAGGTCGCCGTGCGCATCCGTCCTGTCACCTCGGCAGACCACAACAACATACCGCCACGATGGCAAAAGAACATCCTCACCCCCACTTCCGCCAACAGCGTCACCGTCGAACCCGGCTCAGCACCACCAGCGGCTCCATCCAGCGCAGCAACCGCCTCCTCCTCGTCCTCTTCCACCCAGTCCCGCGATAAGCGCCAGGCATTCAGCTTCGACCGCGTATTCTCCCCCGCAGATGGTCAGCCACAGATCTTCACCGTCGCAGAACCCTTGATCGACCGCTTCATGGAAGGCTACAACGTCACCATCCTCGCATACGGTCAGACCTCCAGCGGCAAGTCCTACACCATGGGCACCGCTGCAGGCGACGACATCGACTACGAACCCCTCGTCGCAGGTCGCGCTCCAGACCCGCAGATGGGCATCATCCCACGCGCAGTCGCACGCATCTTCGCCGCCATGCGCAACAACAAGTCGTCCGCCATCCAGTACACCGCCAAAGTGAGCTTCATCGAGATCTACAACGAAGACCTCATCGACCTCCTCGGCGACGCGATCGACGGCGACGCCCGTCCGCACGTACAGATCCGCGAGGGCAAGAACGGTCAGATCATCTGGAGCGGCCTCCGCGAGCTCAAGGTCAACAACGTTGCCGAGGTCATGAACCACCTCCTCCAGGGCAGCTCCGTACGCAGGACCAACGAGACCGACATGAACGCACAGTCCTCCCGCTCCCATGCCATCTTCTCCATCACTCTCACGCAAAAGAAGTGGCATGGCTCCGGCCCGCCTCCCAACTCGGCGCCCCCCTCCAGCTTCGGCGCCGGCGGAAGGAGCACCCCCGCAGGCCGCTCCGTCTCGAGCCTCTCGCGTGCCTCGGGCATCCCCATGGCCGGTCGCGTCGCCTCGCCCTCCTTTGGCCGCAGGACGCCAAGCGGCATCCCAGGCCTCAGCGGTCGCGCCTCCTCCGCCGGCCTCCGTCCTGCCAGCGTAGCCGGCGGCGATGTCGGCGCCGACGACTCGGCCACCGCTACCACAGACGGTGAGTGGATCACTGTCACCAGCAAATTCCACTTTGTCGATCTCGCAGGCTCGGAACGCCTCAAGCGCACCGCCGCACAGGGCGATCGCGTCAAGGAGGGCATCTCCATCAACTCGGGCCTCCACGCGCTCGGAAACGTCATCTCGGCGCTCGGCGACCCGGCAAAGGCAAGGCGCGCCACCCACATCCCCTACCGCGACAGCAAGCTCACCCGCCTCCTCCAGGACAGCCTCGGCGGCAACGCACATACGCTCATGATCGCCTGCGTCTCGCCAACAGAGTACAACGTCAGCGAAACCGTAAACACGCTCCAGTACGCAAACCGCGCGCGCAACATCAAGAACAAGGCAGAGCTCAACGAGGTCGAGGTCGGCTGGGACGACATCGACTACCTCCAAACCCTCGTCCAGCGTCTGCGCAAGGAGCTCAGCCTCATCAAGGGCCTCGGCAAGGGCCAAATCGACCTCGACGACCCGCGCAACAAGGACGCAACCCGCTCTACGCAGCGCGAGATTCTGGCGTGGCAGGACAAGTACGCCTCCTTGAGTCAGAAGCACTCCCAGATCACCGCAGAAGTAACCCAGCTCCGCACGCAGCTCGATCCGTCCAAACAAGACGGCACCGAGCAGGACTTCTTCCGCGCCGCAGAACCCATCATCGTCGAGTACGAAAAGTCCATCGACGCGCTCGAGGGCCAGCTCAACCTCACCAAGGCCGCGCTCGCCTACGTCGAAGACATTGCCAACGAGCGCGAGGCTCAGATCGAACAGCAGAGCTCCCAGCTCGAGATCATCGCCACCGAGCTCGAGGACAAGGAGAACTCGCTCGCAGACCTCCAGTCGCGCCTCACCAAGCTGCAGGAGCGCGAGTCGTCGGCAAACACGTATGCGCGCGAGCTCGAGGCGCGACTCGAGACCATCGGCGAGCGCGGCGACACCGACTCGGCCACGCTCGCCGAACTCAACAAGGAGATCGCGCGCCTCAGAGAGGTCGAGTCGAGTTCCGAGCAGTACATCCGCGATCTCGAGGCCAGGATCGCCGCGAGCGAAGAGTCGGCGAGCAGCCTCGCGCGCAAGGTGGCCCAGATGGAGGCCGATGCCGAGAAGCGCGACGACGAGTACCGCAACCTGCTCTCGCGCTTCGAACTGCTCGACAACGGCAAGGAGACCCAGGCCATGGCCGCAGAGCTCGAGGCAAAGCACGCAGAGCTCGCCCGCCTCGAGACGAGCCTCGCCGATGCGACCGCCAAGCATGACAGCCTTGCCGAGCGCTTCGACAGCCTTACTGGCCAGCACGACCAGCTCGCCAGGGCGGCGCACGACCACGAGCAGCAGAAGCAGTTTCTCTCGCACCAGATCAAGACGCTCCAGCTCGCAGCGGCAGCGGCAAACGCGAGCACCGACACGCCTGCCGTTAGCGAGGACACGCACAGCAGCACAGACAAGGCCGCAGCGACGCTCGAGCAGCGTCTGCTCGATCTGCACGAGGAGATGCGCGCGGTGCGCGACTCCGAGTCGAGCATCCGCGCCGAGCTCGAGCTGACCAAGCAGAAATACAACGAGTCGCTCGCCGACATCAACGAGCTCAACTCGCAGCTGACCGAGATCAAGCTCAACGGCGGTGTGCCCGCACACCTGGACGACGACTCGTTCAAGCTCGACAAGGATGCAGGTGGCGACGACGAGCAGGTCGAGGTGCTCGACTCGCGCGGCGATGAGAATCGGCCGCCACAGACGCCCGGGCGCGGCAGTAGCTCGCAACGCGGCCTCTCGAGCCGCCGAGCGAGCCTGCTGCTCGACACGACCAACCGCCAGTCGCCCAGTCCATCGAACCGCCTCACGCGCCGCTCCTCGGGCTCTTTTTTAGGCTACAACAAGAGCGACGGCACCCGGTCCACAGCCATCTCGCCGCTCGCTCACACGCGCACGCGCTCCATCTCGCAGTCTTCGTCGCTGGATTTTGCGTCGGCCTTGCCCTCGCAGCTGGCACAGACGCGCGGGCCCAGACCGCTCTCGCTCACGGGATCCGTTCCGCCCTCGCCTACCTTGCGCGCGTTCGAGCCCGATTCGGCGGCGAACTATGAGCGCAAGGTGGCGTCGCTCGAAAAGGAGACCATGCGGTTGCAGGAGGCGCTCAAGGAGCGTGATGACGAGATCCAGGCGCTCGAGTCGACGCTGCGCAGCCGAAAGGACGAGAATGGCGACCAACAGTTGTTGGAGGTGCCCGCAGCGGCGGTGGGCGTGGAGGCGGGCGCGCTCACGCCTGCGACCGAGAAGGATCTCGAGGCGATAAGACGCGTCATGGCCGAGGGGGCAGCGAGCGATACGGCGACGGCCGAGAGCGGCACGCAGATGCTCGATGATCTCATGCGCTCCATGGCGCGCAAGGAGACGCAGCACCGCGAGAGCGTCGAGACCATCTCCGCCGAGCTTGACGCGGTCAAGAAGCACAACGAGACGCTCGAGGCGCTCTCGCGCGACCAGATGGCCAACATGTCGCTCGAGATCCAGCAGCTGCGCGCACAGCTCGCCGCCAAGCATGCGGAGGTGGATGGTGGCGTGCCCACGTCGAGCGCGAGCAACCGCAGCCTCGCCGACGAGCTAGAGGCTGCCGAGCTCGAGCGTGTCCGGGAGCAACATGCTGCCGAGGTGGAAGAGCTCAAGCAGCAGCACGCCAAGAAGCTGCAGGAGGCGGCGGAGCAGCATGCGTCGGCGCTCGGCAGCAGTGCGGATGCGACGGCGGAGCTGGAAGCTGTTCGCAAGCAGCACGGTGTCGAACTCGCGCGCTCCAGGGAGGGAGCGGATGCTGCCGCCGCCCGACATGCGGCGTCGCTCAAGCAGGCGATGCAGGAGCACGCGGCGCAGATCGAGGCGCTGCACGCCAGCCATGCCAAGACGGTGGAGGCGGCGACGATGGAGCTCGAGGCGCAGCATGCGTCTGCGCTTGCGCTGGCGGTGCGCGAGGCCGAGGCGGCGGCGCTCGCGCGGCACACGGCCGAGCTCGACGCCAGGGTGTCGGCGCTGCAGAGCGAGCATGGCGCCAAGCTGGAGCGTGCGCTGCTGGATGTGCAGGTGGCGAGCGGCGACCGCGACGAGATGCGGCAGGCGTACGAGGAGCTGCACACCAAGCACGTGGCGCTGGCGAGCAAGGTTGATATCGACCCGCACGAGGTGGAGACGCTGCGTGCGGAGCTCAACGATACCAGCGATGCGCTCGTCACGCTCGAGGCGGCGTTGACCGAGGCGCAGGAGGAGCGCGACCAGCTGCTCATCGAGATCGAGACGATGCGCCAGGAGAGCGAGGCGCAGCAGGATGCGTCGGCAGTGGCGGCGACGCCAAACGGCGCGGCGGCGGATGCGGCGCTGAGGCGCGAGCTCGAGGCACACAGGTCGACGCTGAGCAAGACGCGCGGCGAGATGAGCAAGCTCAAGGCGGAGCTGGCGGCGGCGCGCGACGAGTGTGTGCGGCACGAGGCGGGGGTCAAGGAGCTGCAGCTGCGGCTGGCGACGTCCGAGACGCGCTCGGTGCGCTCGCACGGCAGCGGGAGCTTCGGGCAGCAGAGTCAGAGCGAGCACGATGCGGCGGCAGCGGCGGCGGCGGCGATTGCCATGACCAACGGCGCGCGTTCGCCGGTGAATGGCCGGCGCACCTCGGACTACGAGCCGGGCATGCTGGATCTGCGAAGCCACCGACCGAGTCTGGGGTCGGTCAAGCCTCCGCCGCCGACGCCGCCGCCCAACATGCCGCCGCCTCCGACGCCGGCAGGTGCGGCGGGGGTGCGTACGTCGGTGGGCGTGCGCACCTCGACGTCGTCGCACATGACGCGGCCCGAGTCGCCGTCCAACGCCAACGGCGGTGCGGGGATGATGACGCGCTCGTCGTCAGTGACGTCCATCCACAGCCCCGCTGCTTCGGGCCTAGGTGCGGACGTGAAGCTGACGCGGCTGTTGAGCGAGCAGGCGGACGAGATCAAGAACCTGGCCAAGCAGCTCAACCACTGCGAAGCCGACCTGCAGGCGAACATTGATCTGGTGGCGACGCTCGAGGCGGCGCTGAACGACAGCGAGCGCAATCTGCGCAAGAGCCGGGTGCAGCTGGCCGAAGTCACGCGCGAGCGCGAGCGCTACGCTGCCGAAGCGAACGCGATGCGCACGCAGCTCAACTCGGCGCAGAGCGAGGTGGAGAATGTGCGCCACAGCGTGCTGCTCGAAAAGCAGGGCTACGAGTCCAAGATCGAGGAGGAACGTCAGGCGAAAGAGCGGGCGAGGAAGGCGTTGGAGGCGAGACTGGAGGAGGTGAGCAAGCGAAAGAGCAACAAGCTGTTCTGTCTGTAAGATTTTCGGTAGCAATGTCAAGGGTTTGTTACGAGGTGCAAGTGATGATGCGTTGCCGAATGAGGGAAGGATCACCAACCCCTGAAAGCCGCCGAGGAGAGAGAGAGAGAGGGAGAGATGAGATCGCCAGCGCATGGATGACGGGCGCCCTTTTTTTTTGCCGATTTTTTATTTTTATTTTTGGCAGTGGGCCAGCACAGCGAGGCCGGGGCGGAGGTTGAAATTCACGCTAAAATATGAGTTGGGCAGTGCCTCATTTGGGCCGTCGCGCATCGGCCCAACACTGCGATCCTGGCGCCAGCTTGCCGACGCGATCGTTCTCCACCTTCCACCATCCCACCCATCCATCAACGATCATCAACGTGATCCGCACCACCACTTTTTCGACCATCGAACTTCAAGCAAACATGGCGGGCAAACGTGGAGGCGGTTTTGATATTGGGTAAGCCCCTCTTCGCATCCACCTTCCTACTTGGGGCTAGGTTGATGTCGACTGACACGCGTCTTGATTGGACAGCATGATCTTTGCGCACAAGATCCTGACGGTGCTGTTTGTGCTGAGCACGGTCGGATGGGTTGTGGCGTTTATCGGGCAGATTGCGGCCGAAGCCGGTGCGGGTGGAAGGCAGGGCTCGCTGTGGTTCGCCATCTTTCTGCAGCTCGCGGTGATCGCAGGCTACTATGCGTGCGTCATGACCGACAGCCTCGCCACGGCCCGACTGCAGCTCACCGCATTTACTGCAGTGGCGCTCGTGTTCAGCGTGACGGGCATCAACTCGGGCATCTACTCGGGTAACTCGTCCGAGCAGGCCGTGGCGGCGGGATGGTTCTTGATCACGATTACGAACATCGTCTGGCTGCTGTTTGTGACGGCCGAGGAGGAGTCGCCGTTCTATGCGATGCTCAACATTGCTAATGATGGCGTCACCCCGCCTGGGGCTGGTGCAGGACGTAGTGGAGGTGCGAGGTACGGTGGGAACCAGAACATGCGCATGGCGAACAATGCCAGTACGGGGCTCGGGTACGGCGCGGGTAATGCCAGTGCCTACTCGGGCAACTTGCAGGGAGGTGGGTACCAGCCTGCGTATGGAAACAGCCCGAGTGCAGCCGACATCACCACGGCGAACGGAACCGGACTGGGCGCACCCAAGATGTCGTCGGCCTCGATTCGCAGTCGCGGCGCAGAGGGTGCAGCCACGCAGGACGCGGCGCCGAGCGTTGCCAGCCACGCACCAGCCAGCCCTGGCGGGGCGCAAAAGTCAGACCTGCCAGACTACGGATACAAGGCACGCGCGCTGTACGCCTACCAGGCCAACGCCGACGACCCCACCGAGATCAGCTTCGCCAAGGGCGAGGTGCTCGACATCGTCGACAACTCGGGCAAGTGGTGGCAGGCCCGCAAGGCCACCGGTGAGACGGGCATCGTCCCGTCCAACTACATGCAGCTGCTCTAGGTCTGGATCCCCCCCCCCAAAAAACAACACGCTCCGTCGATACCCCTTTGCGAACTAGCTGCGCCCCCGTTGGCTGCAGCTTTCCTCCCACACCCCCGCTCTTTCCAAGGATATACGCCCTTTGATTGGAACCTCTCTCCCCCTTTTCCTTCCCTTGTTCGAATGATTGATCCCCGAACTTTCTTTTGACCGCTGTTCGAAGCGCCTCACTTTCGCTTTTGCTGTGTCTTGTTTCCCCCCTTACTTGTCCGCTTTTTGTCCGCCTTTTGGAGCTCGAAAGTGTGTAAAAGCGCGAAATGGAGCTCGTTTGCGTGGCAGGTGGAGAGAGCGACTCGTGCTCGGCGAGAGAAGTTGGTGCGCCCGGTTCTGTGGGTGGGCTGTGCGGATCGAGGTGTGGCTTTGCTGTTGAGCACGGTGGTGATGCTCAGCGCGACCCAAAGCAAGCCGGGGTTGATGGAATTTTCGATTTACTGTTAGATTGGTCTTTTGAGACGTTGGCGGATAGGGGGAAAAAAATCCGGGAGTCGGGGGAGCGTGAGGCTTGTCGTTTTTGAGCTTCTTCCAGGCCGGCAGCACATTTTTCACCATGCGCCCTATCACCACCACAGCATCAAGGATCATGTCGTATCTCAAGTCGTTCTCGCGCATTCTTCGGGGCTCACTCTCCACGAACCCCGGTGGGGTCTCTGGTACGCCGGGTTCATTCCATCTGCCGCTGCGTAAGCTTGTGCTGCGCTACTCTCAACACAACCCCTCGTCGGCGGGCACTCGAGCGTTCCTGCTCTCGTCGACATTCACCCAGCTTTCGAAAAAGTACCCCTCGGTAGAGTTCGTAGTCACCGAAGCAGGGAACGCCAAACACCCGCTCGTGACGGGATTCTATGCGGATACCAGCGCGGCGGCATTCAGGAGCGAGAAGAGGAAGGATATCAGTCTGGCCAATTTGGATGTGGGCCAGGTCGGGGCCAAGGTGCAAAGGGTCGTAGAGGCAAGTGGCGACAAGACCAAGAGTCTGAAGAGGAGAACGACGCTCTCGAGGAACGAAAGTGCAAGAGGTGTCTGGTCACAGCTGCACGACAGGAAGGTGGATATCTAACGAGCATAACGAGCAACAACGCAGCAACGCAACGCAGCAAGATTGTAGGGCTGAAGATGTGGCAATGTATCAGTACCAGAGTTGTGGCGCGTGTGGGTGTGCATGGCTGGGTGGGAGAAGGGTGAGTGGCGCATGAAGGTGGGCGCGTGGCGTAGGCCCCTTTTGCTCGCAGAGCTCGCAGGCCTGACTTGTCCCACCGAGGCATTTGTGGGTAGTAGGACAACTTCTCCCGCCTAGGAGACTCTGGTCGGAAAGCATGAAAGCGGGTGCTTCTTCGGCCCTCGCTCGTCTTTCTCCCCATCACTCGACCATGCGTCTGCCTGTCCTCTTTAGCCTGCTTTCGCTTGCTACTTGGGCAACATCTTCTCCAGCAGGAGGCGGTGCGGTCGAAGAACTAGGCGGTGCAGTTGAGCAAGCCGCCACGTCGGCATCGCCCGCAGCATGGCGACCCGAACTCGAGCAAATATCCTCCTTCGTATCACCCGGTCGAGCAGCGTGGCGCAAGTACCTCGCAACACTCTCTACACATCCCCCGCCCCCTCTCCGCTACGCCACGCGCGCGGAAATGGCCGACATCCAACACGCGCGGTTCGTCGAGCATCCATCGGTTGCTAAACTAGGCATCATTGAACCGGGACACGCGTTCATTGGCCAAACCCCCAAGGGAAGACTCGTGTTCAAGGCACCCCACATCCATGGCATCACGATGCACGTCCCCGCCAAGGGGCATATTATGGCGGACCAGCTCGTGGCGAGGAAAAGGGGCGACTGGATCGAAGTGATCAATTGGGGGCCGGTCAACACACACGGCTTCGCTCCGGAGGACTTGCACGACATCGCCATCAAGACCAACAGGGGCTATCTGGTTCGGGACGAGGTGCCCATGAATAGGGTCGCGTGGACAAGGCAGCAGGGCGAAAAGTGGGACCAAGCGGGGCCTAGCTAATCCTCCCCCCACGAAATGGGATGCGGGTGCACATCCGAAATCGCTGCGTTGACGCCGCACCGATGCTGCGAATGTATCATGGCATGCATCCAAGAGCTACGCTTTGGCTCGTGTCTCGATAGGGTCGAAATCAAGTCGCTTTCCACCCAGGCCGGACGCAGCGACATGCTCATCCTTCATCTCTTGGCCATCATAAAGAGTCTGAAAGCTTCTAATGCGCCGTATCGATCGTCGAATTGTTATCGCGTGTTAACAATGTTTTTTGCATGTACCAAGACCGTAAGAGGCGCGAGTTGCGGCTCATCATCGGGTCGATTGGACTGCAGGTGGCGTAGAAGCTGTCGCTGATTGCGTGTGACATCGGCTCGCTTGGTGGTGGGCAAAGGCAAGCAGCTGGTCCAACCTCCTCCTCTCCCCGTCTTCAGCGGCGCATCTGGACAGCCAAGGCCAGTGTCCCATCTCGGCACCGCCCAACTTTGTCTGGGTGGTCGATCCGACCGAGAAGCGAAGTCGACATGGATCTCATTCGGGTGTCTGTCGAGTCTCGAGTGGTGCTTCGAAAAAGTGTCCAAGCTTGAACCTCATCTTTCAGCTTGACCACGTGCAGAATCTCCTCGTCCACGACGAACATCGTTGAGACAGCCGCCCCTTGCACTCGCACCCATGCTTGCAATTCAATGACCATCACCACGATGAGTGGGTACCGATTCGAGTGGGAACAATAGAAACGATAGCGACGCGATCTGGACAGTGCATTCAGCCGGCTGAACGCAGCGCCTGCGATCTTGACGGTGCCTAACCGAAGCAGCCGAGACAGCCTTTCTTCTTCCTCCTTGCGCTCTGCTTGGACGACTGTCCCACCTGTCTGCTCGCACCTTGGGCCGAGGATTCGCCCACCTCGTAAGTCGTTTTGCCCATCCAGGGGCTTTTAGCCATCGCCTCGCGCAACGAGGACCTGTCCCTAACCACCGTCGCCTTGTTCTGGCGCACACGCGGATAGGCGGGAATGGGAAGCGGCTGGTCGCGTGGAGGGAGGGCGGTCCAGAGGTCAAAGCGGCCCTGTGCGCGAGGAAAGGCGACCGGTTCAACCCCGCTCACTTCGGGTCGACGCTCGACGCCACTCCAAACCTGTATAGCGTCAGTAAATTAGGGGATTACAAGGAAGGAATGGGGGAAAAGCGGAACGTACTACGTCGACGCCTTCGACGACTGGCTCGATCTCCATCCCCACCACCACGCCCACAACTAGAAACCAGAGGAAGATGCGCATCGTGGGTGTGGACAATAAGGATCCCTGCAGAAGAAAGAGGAAACGGTGGTTTATATCCCCCCACCCCCTCAAGAAGAGGTGGGTTAAGCTCGCACATTGCGCGCCGGTCAATGTGCACTCATGAAACCCGCCCACATGGCGACGTTACTCGCTCCCCCTCGTCGTATCACCAACCGGCGCAAACGCAAATGCACCGTGTGAAGGTCGTTGCCCCACAATGCTCACAACAACCATCCAATACCGCCACTCTCACAGCACGTTGCACCGTTGCCACCCCCGACCATCTTTCGCCAGCAATGTCCACACGCAACCGATGCTGGTTGAACAGAATGCATTATGAAGTGTCGTCAAACCAAACCATTCGCCGGTGATATTCTAATCGGCCGGTCTTGCGCATCGCACCAAGAGAAAGAGAGGGTTGACCTATCTCGTGACTGTCTGGGAGCTGCTCATACGCAAATAACATGGTCAGTCTCGATGTGCCTACCACAATCCACGCATGGCTACTTACTAGTCGTACTTGCTGAAGAACTTTTCCGAGTCGGTGGTTTCGTTCTGTCTGTTTGCGCCTCTCTTCCTGCCCCTCTTTGCCTCCTCGTCCGCCCTCACCACCTTGTCCTCCCTCAGCCACGCGAGCGACACATTGAGCAGCGGGGAGAGGTCGCGGTCCTTATCGGCGCTCGCGGTGGGAGGCAGTGCAGCCACATCGGCGGGGTTGGTAGCGGGCCAGTCGATGGGCAGGGTGGTAGTGGTGGTTCCGAGACGCATGTGCGCCAGATGCGTGGGGAATGACTGGAGACCGTCAAAGATGTGCGTGGCATAGATGATCGTTGCGCCCCGCTCCTCGGTCTCGAGCTGAAGGAAGTCGAGCAGATCGGCGCGCACCTGCACGTCCAGATCCACCGTCACCTCGTCCAGCAACAGCAGGTCCCAGGGCTCCATGAGACCCATGCACAGCTGGACACGACGACGCTCGCCGTCGGAAATGGCATGCATGTGCCAGGTGAGATCGACGTCCAGAATATCGAGCAGCCGATCGCGGCGCTCCTTGTGGCGGTATCCGCCCACCGAGTCGAGGAAGGTGGACACGACAATGTCCGAGCGCACCACGGGGTTCATGGCCCACTCGGTGCCGAGGTACGTGACGCCCGAGGGACTCTCGCGGAAGACATCCTTGCCAAAGACGCGAACCTTGGAGTCGCACAGCTTCTTGCCCGCCAGCAGCCGCAGCAGCGTCGACTTGCCTGCACCGTTGGCGCCGATGAGCAAGCAGCGCGAGCCGCGCTTGAGGTGCAGGTTGCAGCGCTCGAGCGAGGGCGGCAGGTGCGGATAGAAGCTGAACGTCAAGTCGGACACCTGCACCGCCAGCGTCTCGCCCTCGGCGAGCGCGATCGACTTGGAGGCTGCATTGTCGATGATGCCTCCCTCTGCCGTGCTGACGGGACCTTGAGGCTTGTTCCAATCCCAGTATCCGGATCCATTGGCGGTGATGTTGCTTGCCAGACGCACCGCTTCGGCCAGCACCGCTTCTCCGGCTGCGTCGACGTTGGAGGCGTCGCAGTCGACAAAGCTGACGAGCTCTGCACCTGCTGCACTGATGAAGCCATCTTCGACAGCGAGCTGGATCTGCTGCTTCAGGGGCGAGTAGAAGCCGTTGACGTTGAGGAGGACCATGGGTTTACGGTGGATGCCGAGCTGGGTCCAGGTGACCATCTCCATGACCTCCTCAAACGTGCCGTATCCACCGGGCAGGCCGATGAAGCCGAGGTTGCTCTCTGCGGCCATGCGCTGCTTCCTCTCGTGCATGGACTGCACCACCACCGTCTCCACATGGCCGGTACCGACGTCGGGGTTGAGGACGGTGGGGCCCGTGCCTTCTTTGGAGACGACAGTGTTGAGTTTGTGGCCCGGATGGCCGGAGGGAACGGTTGTGGCCATGACCTGCGGGATGACGCCGAGCACGTGTCCGCCGGCCTCGAACACGGCCTGAGAGACGCCGCTCATGCAGCCGCGAGAGCCACCGCCATAGACGAGGCGATAGTTGCGCTTGGCGATCGCACGACCCACGCTAGCTGCAGCGGCCATGTACTCGGGCTTGGTGCCGGGCGACGAGCCGCAAAAGACGCATATCGAGTCGGTGTATGCGGGCATCTTGGCGCAGTCTTGCTTGATGCTCTCGCGAGATGAACTAAGTGGTGGTGGAGGGGAGAAGAGATGAGGGAATGAGTGTGGGGAAGAGAGGCGAGTGCGAGTCATGGATTGGCTGAGCCTGCAGCTCCGAGAGGCTTCTTCCGACTCTCCGATGGCCCGGATTTTTGACCGGACGGTCCGACGGCTGCTCTGACGCACGTTGCCTCCAGTCGACCTTAGCCAAGCACAACTCCACACGAAATTGCAAAATCACACCATGTCACTTACATCGCCCGAACATTTTCTGACTCGGCGCTTTCGGCGGAAAGCCCGGGCTTCTCTCCTGGTCTGTGCTTGCCCTCGCCAAGCCTTGTCCATGGCCCACGGGAGACAAGGACGAGCCGCTTGACTCGCAACCACATCTTGGGACCGTACGAACGCAACAATGTCGCCAGCTATTATCTCGAGGGGTGCTGCTTCGGCCACTGCCACAGCAGCGTCACGGCTGCGTGCGCTGGGTTACGACCCCGACGAGCTGCTGCAGCACTACCGCGACCACGGCTACATCATCCTCGATGGTGTTCTCGCCTCAGACGCCTCCTCGCCCCTGCATCTAGACTCGCTGCGCCGCCTAGCAGATACGGCGACGCAGATCACGCGCGCCGGAAAGTGGCCGCACCGCCGCATCGTCGGTAACGCCTTCCCGCCCTTTACGCAGAACAACCGCGACAGCTGGGGCGTGCAGCACATCATGAACCCGCAGCTGGACACCGCCGCCTCCGCATCGGCTGGATCGATGTCGAGTGTCTTTCAGCAGTTCTATGCGAGCTCACCGCTTCTCGACGTGGCGTCTCTGCTCATCGGCTGCCAAGTCGAGGCAATGCAGATGGAGCTATTCAACCTACTCATCAACCCGGCTTCGCACCGCTTTGCACTCGGCTGGCATCGGGATGACATTCGTCCGGATGTATCGGAGCAGGAGGAAGAGCAGCGTCTTGAAACACCCACGTATGGTGTGCAGTTCAATACCGCGCTCTGGGACGACGACTGTCTGTTCATCGTGCCGGGCACACACCGCAGACTGCGCACCGCTGCTGAGGTGGTAGCCAACAATGCCAAAGCCCCACCTGCCGTCCAGGTCGACAGCGAAGGTGAGGTGGACAAGACGTTTGGTGAAGATGGCGCGTGGAACGGTGTGGACCCACCCAACACGATGCGCGTCAGGCTCAAGCCGGGACAGACGGCGTTCTACTCGCAGCGCATCCTGCACAGGGCGAGCTACCTGCCGACAGCAAAGAGGGCCACGCTGCACGGATGCTACGGCGACGCCTCGTCGGGTACAGGCGCAGCCGAACGCGCCAGGAACGTGCTCCAACACGGCGTCGAGTGGATGCGCGATGCACATTTTGGAGCGAGTTTGCCACCAGTGCTCAAGCCAAGTGAGTCTATAGCCGCATGTTCGAGCTGAACAGGAGGGTACTGACGCAATCTGGAAGCACAGTGTGGGACAACTTACTCCGCATGGACGCAGCCTATGCAGACAAGAAGCTCGGCTTCTCGCTGGATAACCATTAGAGCACCTTGCAAGCTTGTCATACGGCGCTGGTGGAGTGTGCGCGTGAATGTGTCAAAGTTCAGGGTCCAGTGCGCACTGAGATTTTGGCGCAGATGAGTGGACATCTGCGCCTCTCGCAACCTTGCTCTGCACCACCACCTCTCCTTCCTCTTGTCGAGCGTCTGCAAGCATGAGCCAATGTCCGCTGGGCTTTACAGGAACGCCCCCACCGGGTCATCCCAAGGTGGCAGGTCTCGACGCCAAGGCTTCCGAGGCAGACACGCGCGACAGGCACTGGAATCCCTGGCTCCTCCTCGCCATCGATGCGCTCTTCATCCTCGCCGCCATCTACGTCGCCAGAAACGGCCTGCCCAGAGCGATAGCCGATCCCATCGCCAACGTGTGGCGAAAGGTCCCCAAGCCAGACGCAAAGACCGAATGATCCCCTCAACACCGATCAAGCATCGAGCTCAGCCTCAAGATTTCATGCACAGTTTTGGCGATGCTAGCGATGTGCAGGGACTACGCGCACTACCGCAGCAGCAGTATTAGCTGCAAAACATGTGACGATGCGAATGTACACTTTCCTCCAGCACATCCTATGGATGAATGGACTGCCTGTGTCGAGGAGCAGCCGAGGCCGAGATGGCGGGTGTCGACATCGGGCGGCGATCGCACGCGATTTCCAAGTCGACGTGGCAGAAAGGCGTGAAATTAAATAAAGCGTTCTTGGGCTGAAATTAGCCGAAAGGCGTTCCAAAGCACAGTCTGCCAAATGCCGGCTGGGATGCACCGCTCCAAAGTGTTGGTCTCTGCTCCACAACCACCACGATCTGCCGACGAGCTCACGATGACGCTGTTTCAGCTCGGCCTGTGCGCAGGCTCCATCTACACCACGTTTTTAATATGGGGCCTGCTCCAAGAACGACTCACAAAGACGCCCTACACGGCGGCGCCCACGCTGCTCCATCCTAATCCTCAGCCCGAGTACTTTCGCTCGCCGCTCTTCCTCAACACGGTGCAGGCGATCCTGTCGTCAATCGTCGCGTGCGTCTATCTGCTCGTGCGAAATCGTGGCTCCAACAAGCCTGTCGCACACATCCTTGGCCTGCATACGCTCACACCCAACGGCATCCCACAACCATCGACCAAGGCCGACACCAACGGCGCGGCGAACGGCCACGCTGCCACTTCGTCTCGCTGGATATCGCCGCTGCTCAAGCGGTACGTGGCCATTGCGGCGCTGCAGAGCACCGCATCGCAGCTCGGATTCCTCAGCCTGCGCTACATCTCGTATCCCACACTCACGCTCGCCAAGTCGTGCAAGCTCGTGCCCGTGCTCATCATGAACGTCGTCCTCTACCGCCGCAAGTTCGCCGCATACAAGTATGCCGTCGTCGGACTCGTCACGCTCGGCATCTGGCTCTTCATGGCTTTCGCACCTTCCAAGCCGGGCAAGAAGGTAAAGGGTCCCGAGAGCAGCAGTCTGGTCGGTCTCTTGCTGTGTCTGCTCAATCTCGTTCTCGACGGTGCCACCAACAGCACCCAGGACGATGTGTTCTCCCGATTCGGCCGCAAGACCGTCTCGGCGGGCCAGATGATGCTCGTCATGAACGCCATCTCCGCCGTGCTCATGGCGCTCACCCTCACAGTGCCGTCGCCCTTTTCCTCCGGCGAGCCGAACCAGCTCACGGCTGCACTCGCATTCGCGCACAAGCATCCCGAGGTCTGGCGCGACATTGTGGCATATGCGGTGGCAGGCGCCGTAGGCCAGGTTTCCATCTTCGAAACGCTCGAGCGATTCGGAAGCCTGACACTCGTTTCGATCACCGTCACGCGCAAGCTCTTCACCATGCTCCTCTCGGTGCTCGTGTACAAGCACGAGCTCAGCAACCTCCAGTGGGTCGGTGTGGCCGTCGTCTTTGCGGGCATCGGCATCGAGGCTCGCGAAAAGAGGAGGGAGGGTCTAGCAAAGAAGGTGGTCAATGACCAAAAGAAGGCGCTGCAGAAGGATGCCTAGCTGCCGCGTCAATTTCAGTCCTTCAAGCTTGTGCGTTGCTGGGGGGTGTTGGTCATGGTCTTGAATGTGATAGAGAGAGAGAGAGAGAGAGAGAGAGAGGGCGGGTGTTGGATCGGGCAAATTGCGGCGGCCGATCGCGCGATAACGGCCCCCTTTTTTTTGGCGCGCTCGCAGAAGCAGCCGCCGCTGTATTCCTCCACCCATGACAGTAGAACGCTTCGCCAAAAACCATCATCGCCTCCGGCATCCATCGTCAGCATGAAACCGGTGCTCGCCCGAGTCGCTGCCGTGTCGCGTGCATCGCGTGTGTCGCGCGCATCGACGAGCGCGGCTCCACACGCTGTGCACACGTCGGTCCTCGCTCGCACCGCCCATCTCACACCCTTCGCAAAGACGAGGTCGACAGGCTCTAGCTTCGCACGCGGCTATTCGACGGCGCCGAACCAGCAGCAGGTACTGCAGTCGTTCGGCACGCCATTCGCACATTTCGTCTACACGCTCTCGCGCATCGCGCGCATCATCACGTTCTCCGCCGTCGGCGTAGCGACCATCGGGCTCGTCTCGTTCGAAGCGGCGCACCAGTACGTCGAGCACATCGCCATGCCTGCCGAAGCAGCGTCGGCTTCGTCCAGCGACGAATATGGTTGGAACGAGCTCGCGCTCGAAGAGTCGTGGTCCGGATCACCCGCGCATCGCGGCACAGATCCAACGCTGGGCATCAAGGGCAGACACGCCGTGCGCTCCGCCTGGATGTGTGTCAACTGGGGCGGCGGTATTGCGCCCGGCGTCCTGTTCGGTGGTGGTGCAGCGGGAAATGCAGGTCTCGGGCGTACGGCGATTACGTCCATGGCAAGCGCAAAGCAGCTGCGTGTGGACGACGGCATGCTGCTCGCAATGCAGTACCTCAACGTAGCCGTCAAGGTCGCCGCTTCCAAGGGCATCGAGCTGCCCGACACCGATGCCATCCGTGCCGGCCTCGCGCAGCCAGGTCAAACGCTGGGTGATGTCGATCCACTCGCGCTCGCGCTCGAGGCAAAGTTGGCGGCGGTCAAGGAAAGGCAGGGCTCGAAAGGCGCGATGGAGTCGGCGATCGGCAACTACGAGAAGCTGTACGATATCGCGAGCCTCGCGGACCGCGGCGATCGATCGAGTCGGCTTGTGAGGCTGGCGACCAAGCTGGGCGACTTGCATTCCGCACTGGGCCGCAATGACGACGCGCAACAGTGGCTGCAGAGGGGGATTGCGATCGCGGCCGCCGCGGGCGCGCACACACCCCACAGCCCAACTACCGCGGCTCCCGAGGCGAAGGACAAGCCCAGTGGCGGGCTGCGCGGCTGGTTCGGCTCGGCTCCTACGCCGGATCCCAGCACAGAGGCTCAGCCCGAGCCTGCACCTGCGGCTGCTGCGGGAGTGGTGGCGACGCCGGCGCTGACCCGCTCGCTCATCACGGCGCTCGTGGCATCCTCGGCGCACTATGCGCGCTCTGCATCCGGCGCTTCGCTGCAAAATGCGCTGCAGACGCAGATGTCGGCACTCCAGCTGTCCACGGCCGAACTGGAGCGTCTAGCCTCTGCGCCCGTGACGCGCGACGCAGAGCTGCATGCGCTCTGGATCACGCACCACCAGTCGATCCTCGAGCTACACGTCGCAGAGACCATGTATGCCATCTCTAAGTCCGGCTCCCTCCCGCGCTCGCTGCTGTTCGGCAAAAAGGACGCCAAGCGTCAGCCCATCCAGTGGCTCGCTCAGGCAGACGAGCGTGCGTCGGGCGTCGTTGCTGCCCTGAGCCAGGAGGGCGAACTGGCGAGCAGGTGGAAGGGAGAGAGACAGGTAGAGGCCGCAGCGGCCAGAGTGCTCAGGGACGCAAAGAGGGTTAGGGAGACCGCAAACAGGAGCAGGACCACGCTCGAGGCAAAGTGAGCCCAAGCCCAAGCTCAAGCCCAATGTCAGTTCAAACACACGGTGCGGCTGCTGCGTGGAGTGCGAACAAAGTCCATTTCGGCGCGGATTCTACAGAGCTGACAAGATTAGAGAGATTTGCGCGTGGCGAGGGCGTGGAGATGGTCGATGTTGTTGCTGAGCCTCGCAGCGGGATGCAGTCTCTCGTACGCGCGCCATTGTGCGCTCACCCACTGCGGGTCGGTGAGCATTCGGCAGAATCGCACGAGTCTCCAAACATCCATAAAGTTGGTGGGCGCACCGAGGCTGATGCGCACAATGCCCACGTCGGCTTCGGCGAGAAGCGTGGATGCAGCCAAGTCGGTGATGGTTCCGCGCTGCATTACGGCGCTGCTGGCGCCGGGATTGCACATGCACGGTCCACCGCGCAAACTGATGCGCTGGCGTGCCGCCGCCCAGATGACGAATCGATAGTTGAGCGCATCCCCCTCGGCGCTTGTTAGAACCAGCGGCAACGTCGATCCACGCGCGTCGAGGTCTTGAGGCCCACCGGTACGAACCAACCTCGCCCCACCCATGGCCGAATGCTTGTGCGAAAAAGTCGACGAGGAGCGCGGAGAGTCGGTCTTTTCAGAGCAACGCGCCGGATGATGGATCGCCTCCAGCTGCTCGATCAGCCACGCCATCAGGATGCGGTTTCGCAAAGTGTAGTGCGGCATCCAGCGCGCAGCGAACTCCAGCCCCGGCCGCACCGCCGCCATGGCAGCGAAGTTGGCCGTACCGTCTTCGAAGCGCTCGGGCCCGTCGACGAGTGTAAAGTCGAAGGTGTCCATGGTGATGCCGACGATATTGCCGCCAAAGAAGGTCGACTTCTGCGTGAGGTTGGCGTACTGCGACTTGCGCAGGATGAGCGCTCCAAGCCCCGTGGGCCATCCGACGATCTTGTACAGCGAGACGACCATAAAGTCGACGGGGAGCTGGCGCAGAGAGATGCGCGTCGAGGGGGCGAGTGCCGCCGCGTCCAGTCCGACGTCCCATCCACGCTGCTTGGCGTACTGCACGAGCGAAAGGTCAAGTTTGGCGCCCGTGATGTTGCTCTGGCCCGTCAAGAACACCAGTCCCCTGCCCTTCTCGAACGATGGCGAGGCAGTGTCAAGTGCACGGCGATAGGCCGGGGCAGAGATGGCTTCGCCAGATGGAGAGTCGAATTCGATAAACTCGAAGCGTCCACCGCCCTGCTGCGCTTTGCGCGCGAGCGAGTTGAGCGAGTTGTGCGCATCGCGTGGAATGAGCATGGTCTTGTTCGCAAAGTCGTAAGTTTCGCCAACGATGCGGAAGCCAGCAGTGGCATTGCTCGTCCACACCACATCGTACTCCGCCGGATCCGCATCGAAGAACGCCAGCAGCGCAGCGCGCGCCTCGTCGGCGGCGGCGGAAGAGTGCAGGCTCGCAGGAGACGTCGAGTGCGGGTTGCCCGCAACCGAGCTCGTCAGCCACCGCCCATGCTCCCGCACAAGCGACGCAGGATACAGTGCGGCACCCGTGTAGTCGAGGTACACCGAAGACGTCGCGTCGAGCCGCGCGAACTCGCGCTTGCGCAGCGCAGACAGCGCCGAGTCCGAATACGAAGGATTGGCGGAAACGAATGCGGATTTGCAACGGTGGTACTCGCGAGCATCGCACAGCGACAGCCCATCATGAGACGCACACGTCGCAATCGCTTTCAGCAGCGTCACCACCATGATTGTGCAAAAGGACGACGAGCGAGCGCAACGGGTGCCACTTTATAGCAGCAGCAAATGTCTTTGCTATGAAAGTGCTCGGAGTAGTATGATATCCGACTTGCAGAGGGGATCCGTTTGCGGAACGGATAATTCTTGAATGCCGGGTGGGGACTCGGAGTGCGGAAGTGGTGTATATCCGTGCTTGTCCGTGCTTGTCCGTGGGTCCTGGGTGTGTGTTGCTTCTATGACGCAGGGCGTCGATCCTTTAGGCAGCCGATGCGGCTCGCGTGGCAATGTCCAACAGTGCTTCCGGATCTTGCTGGATTGCCAGCCGACGTCGGCGAATAAAGCTTGAGCCAAATTGACTGGCTTCCGAGCGGAAGGACAAGGGCGGGGGAGGGATTCCAAAGGGGGAAGGGGGAGGGGGAGGGGCAATACAGACACTACAAAGTGTGGGATGGCGGTAGTAGCGAGTGGATGGCGTGCTCGGAAATGGACGATGGCGTGATCGTGTGCCAGAGCGATCCCTTATAACGGCTCTCCATCGGATAGCCCTTCCCGACTCTTGCGCTGTCCAAAAGCGTTGCAAACCCGCCAATGTGCTTTGCACGCACACAGCTCGTGTCGTTTTCGTTCTCATCCTGCGCCCCCTGAGAGCTGCAATGGTCTCGAGTCATCCCAGGGGCTAGGGAGGACCTTGCTCGTTATCGTCCAGTGGTCCAAGCTGGCGCAACTGGCGCGAGCTGGTGTCGAAACGGTCGAAGCACCAGAGCCCAGGGGAGAGGAGAGCGGCGGACAGAGCACGCGTGTTGATCCGGGGGCCAGCCGAAAAAATTCACCGCGCTAAAACTGATTTTTTCTCGCCAGGAGCTGTCAAAAAAATAAAATATCAATTGATTACAGAAAAGTAGCCGCGCACTATCGGAGCGGCTCGTGCCGCGACACCGCAACGCAGGCCGAGTTGGCCGGCTACTTTGCGCGTCTGCTATCTTTCACCCCGCCAAAGGCGAATTCGGTGGAATGGTCAGACCGCACGTGTCACGAGGACTTGGGACTAGGGAGATCCGAGGAGCAAGGTTCGTGTCCTGGCGCGAGCTCCCGTGTCGACACATCGACGTGGCAGGCTGAAAAGCCGAGAAAAGGCTGGCTACAAAAGAGGGGCTCTCACGGCACGCGTGCAGCTGAGCCTCTGCCGTACAGTACGCAGCTCGAGCCGGGTTGCTGGGTGCCAGAATCTGGGTGCGCAACATACACCCACCTCGTTCCCTCCCCTGTCGAAAGCATGCGATTTTGTAATGAAGAGCAAAGACAATCACAGTCTTTGTTGCTGAACAGGGCAATCGGCATAGGCATGAACAGGAAACCCACTCAGTCGATCTGCATATGCGCTGGGTAAGGAGAAGCCGAGTCCTATTCGTGCGACGGATTTTGAACGGCGAAAAACAGGGGGGCGCGTCAGGCGACCTCCGACGACACCACGGTCCAGGCCGACGCTGCCACTCCGCCAACGCCATGGCTGGTTAACAGCGGCGGGCGTATGCGCGGTTACTTTTGCTCCCACGCCAGCACGCACGCCTCCCATCCATTGGTCAGCTCATTCCATCGGGCGTTTGTATCCGGAAGCGCGTGTGGTAGGATCGAGGGTCCGGAGCGAAAGCGAGACCCAGGTTCTGGTAAAAATGCCGGCGCACAAAAATGTTGCCGCTCGTCCGCCCGGGGCCAAAGTCCGGTCGAGCTCCATGGCAGCCAGCACAGATGTACCCGCTCAGCTTCAGAATGTCAGCTCGTTATCCCCAGGGAGGAGGCCAGAGCAATGCATGCGCTCACTGTGTGTCGATCAGCCGCGAGTGCAAACATGTATATAGACTACCTTTCGTGATGGTGGTGACCTTTTTCACCTCAACAACTCAATCAAACGCATTCAACAATGAAGGATCTCGAATCACAGCAACCTGGTACACACACCGACGCGGCCGCAGCGGGCGGGCTTGTGTGGCAAGACCTCAAGCTCACGCTCCCGCTCAAGCGCTCGCTCCTCTCGTTCCGACGCGGCCTCCCCGCCAACCCAGGCACGGACAAGGTGCTGCTCGAGGGCCTTTCGGGCTCGGTGGCGCCGGGCGAGATGCTGGCCATCATGGGCCCCTCCGGTGCGGGCAAATCCACGCTACTCGATGTACTCTCGGCGCGCAAAATCCCCACCGAGGGTAGTGTAACGGTGGGCATCGGCGCCAAAGACGTTCGCAGCGTGTCGAGCTATGTGGAACAGGCCGACTCGCTGCTGGGCGTGCTCACGGTGCGCGAGACCATCTGGTACTCTGCCAAGCTCTCGCTGCCTCCCTCCACATCGAACGACGAGATCGATCGACGCACCGACCTGGTCATTGCGGATCTCGGCCTGAGCGGCGTTGCCGGCCAGAGGATCGGCACACCCATCCAGCGCGGTGTGTCCGGTGGACAGAAGAGGAGGGTCTCGATCGGATGCTCGCTCGTCACACTGCCAAGGATCCTGTTCTTGGACGAACCCACAAGCGGACTCGATACGTTTACGGCGCACGAGGTGGTCATGGCCATCAGGAATCTGGCAAAGAGGCACAACATCGCGGTGCTCGCCACCATCCACAGTCCCAACTGGGAGATCTTCAGTGCTTTCGACAAGACGCTCCTGCTGAGCAAAGGCAGGACCATCTATCAGGGCTCCACCATGGGCGTGGCAGAGTGGTTTGCAGGACTGGGTCACAAATGCCCCGAACACACGAATCCGGCAGACCACATGATCGGTCTGGTCAACGACGACTTCCTCGAGTCCACCAGGACGAATGCAGAGCACGACGCGGTGGAAAGCAAGATTGCAAAGGGCGACACAAGGGCTTTTGCGGATGCTTGGGCTAGGCATGCAGCCCAGCCTGTTACCGCAGCCGATATGCGTGCGAGATTGTCGTCCTCGTCCACTCCCTCCGCCGTAGTGAAGGATGAGGAGCAACCGACCGCAGCGGCGGCGGGGACTCCGGGGCTGGGATCGCAGTGGTCGCGAACCGTGACGCTGACGCGACGCAACTTTGTCAACTACTCGCGCAACCTGCTCGCGTACGGCGTGCGCCTCGGCATGTATATCGGCATGGGCGTCCTGCTCGCCACCGTCTGGGTCAACCTCGCCCAGACCGACACGCGCATCAACGACCGCCTCTCGGTGCACTTTTTCTCCGTCGCCTTCCTGGGCTTCATGGCGGTAGCCGGCATCCCGTCCTTCCTCGAAGAGCGCGCCGTGATGCTGCGCGAATCCAAGAACAGGCTCTACGGTCCACTCGCCTTCACGCTCGCCAACACCATCTCGACCGTCCCGCTGATGTTCGTCTGCTCGTTGCTGTTCACCGTGCTCGTCTACTGGTCCATCGGCCTGCATCCAGGAGCGGGCTACTTTTTCCGCTTCCTCGCCTTCCTCTACCTCGGCGTGCTTGCAGCCGAGTTCCAGGCGCTCCTCATCGCAGCGGCGATACCCATCTTCGTGGCAGCGTTGGCGGTGTGTGCGTTCCTCAACGGTTTCTGGATGTGCGTGCAGGGTTACTTTATCCGTGCTGCGAATCTGCCTAGATTTTGGTACTACTGGGCGCATTGGATCGACTACGAGACGTTTGCCTTCGATCTGCTCGTCAAGAACGACCTCCAGGGTCTCAAATTCGCCTGCCAGGGCAGCATCGCCGCCGGAGATTGCAACTGCTCCTTCCCAAGCTCACTGATCAGCAAGGGAATGTGCGCCGTCAGTGGAGAGGATGTCCTCGAGGCGCTCCAGATCAACTCGTTCAGCGTCGGCTTGTACGCTGCCATCCTCGTCATCATCATCGTGGTCTACCGCGTCCTCTTCTACACCGTGCTCCGCTTCCAGATGTAAACCCAGACGTAGATAGAGCGAACCTAATGCTACGCAGTCCAGACAGTCGCAGTTTCGACCCAATGTGCGGCAGTGAGCGCCAAGTCTAGTCGATGGTGACCTGGGACGCTGCGGGTTTGCTGGCCGCCTTCTTCTTCTTCACGCGCACCACCTTGGTTGGAGTCGCAGCGCCGTCGTCGTTCGGTGCATCTGCCGGGGACGCTACGGATTTGGCAGCTTTCTTGGGCTTGGGCTTGGGCTTGGGCTTGGGCACGTCAGCGGGCATCTCCTCTGCCTCGAGCACGCGCGGCTGCAGCTTGGCCGGTGCGGGCGCCGCGTCCATCAGACTGTCGAGGCGCACGATCGGAATGTCGTCCACATCATCGTCCCTCTCGCCGCCCTTGTCTGCAGCCGAGGAGGGCTGGCGCGCAGAATCGACAATGTAGAACGGGTCGTCGCGCTGCCGCTGCAGTCGGGCCTCGCGTTGCGCCTTGGACTCCTTGGCCGACGGCTTGGGCGGTTCCGGAGCTGCTGGAGCCTCGGCTATGGTCTCGTCGTCAAACTCCGCGTGCGCAGCCAGGTCGATACCGTCCAGAACGACGTAGGCGTCCGGATTGACGATCCACGCTTGCAGGTCCACATCAAACGGCGCAGCGACCCGCGCCTGAGCATTGGGTCCGAGCGGTCCGAGCGCATGGTTGAAGAACAGCGGCGACAAAAGGTCGAGACTGCGCGGCGGACGTGCGCCTTGCAGCTTGTATTCGGACACACCTTCCACCTCTGCAGCCTTGTCGGCTTCAGTCGAAGTGGGCGCATGGGCCTCGAGGTCCTTTTCGATAAGGCGGAAGAGCTGCCGGTACTCGACGGTGCGCTCCTGCACCTCGGCGTCCACAGCCATGGTCTGCACCGCCTCCAAGCGCGCCACGACCTGCTTGGTGACGACGGCGATGTCGTCAAAGTCGACCTGCGGCTTCCTGCCGTCGTCTGCCCAGCGCGAGGAGATGGACGAGGCCCAGAAGGCGTATATCTTAACAGCGCCATGAACGCACGCCGCCGACGTGGAGGCGTCGCAGATAGAGGCGTCGTACAGCGCCGGCGTGAGCAGCACAGGAATGGTGCCACCGGGCGACGACAGCTCGTAGGCGTACTCGCCCAGAATCCATGCTGCTGCATGAAGCACCTTGCGGGTCTCGCGCATGTCCTCGCCCGTGCCTGCTGAGCTGGATGCTGCGGACTTGCGAGCCGATGATGCAGCGGGCCAGTCAGATGACGGAAGCAGTCGCCCATCTCGCAGCAGAGCTACCATGGCGCGCGTGGCATGCGGACGGATGGCGCGCACCCTAGCGGTCACGTCGATGAGCTGGTCGCGGATGCGCGCACCGACATCGTTGCCGTCGGGAAGATTGGGCACGGTGGCGAGATGCAGGAGCGTGTCGATGTACCACGAGAAGTCGACAACGTTGGCGTACGTGTCGTAGCTGCCGAGTGCGAGAATGCGCTGCACGATCTCGAGGCGGTACGAGGGCGACAGCGTTGGATTGTAGGCCGACGTGATAGCAGCCAGCGAGCTAGAGGTAGGGTCTGCATCCGTGGCTGCGCCGCCGCTGGCGAGACTCGCTCTGAGAGCGGCAGCGGCAGCGCCCGTTGCATCGACGGCAGCCGAGGCGCCAGCCGAGGCGCCAGCCGAAGAAGGCGGCGAGAGATGCGAGAGCAGCTGTCTGACGATGCTTTCGAGGTTGCGACTGACGGCCATGCCGGACACGAGCTCGAGCGCACGCAGACGGATGGAAAGATCCGGATCCTCGATCGACTCAAAGATGACGTCCTGGTGGCGGGCGACCAAGTGAGGATGGCTTGGCAGGATCTTGACCAGAGCAAGCAGAGCAATGTACTTGAGGTTCTGGTCCGAGTCGGTGAGGAAGGCGGCGAGTTTCTCGACGCAGATCTCTGCGAGGTCGTCGCCGCCAGGCTGTGTGAGCATGCCGCCGATGATGATGGTGTGGATGCACTCGTAGAGGAGGCTCATGGCGGGTGTGGTGGAGATGATGGTGGATATTGGCGGCACGAGCTTCTTGACGAGGCGCGGTTCGAGCGGGGTGAGCGAGCCAAAGAGCTTGATGATCTTGATGAGCATCCAGTTGTTGGTGGAGGTGGTGAGCAGGCGGAAGAGCTGTGGGGACAGGGGCAAGAACGGTCGCGGATCGCGCCGCGCCAGCTCGCAGATGATGTTGACCGCAGCAGAGACGACGCTGAGGTCTGGGTCGTCGAGCTTCTCGCGCAGTCGATCCCATCCAGTTTCGAGGAGGTCGGGCGACTTGATGATGAGTGCATAGAGAACGAGGATGGCCTTCTTCCTGATCATCGGCTTGCTGTGTGTGAGAAGCTTGATCACGTCGGGTCCCAGATGGCGCGCGAGGTCGGGCGTCGCGATGTGTGCGAGACCATTGAGGGCGACAGCGACGTCGAGAGGGTTCGAGGCTTGCAAGTCCTTCTTGATCATGTTGGTGGAGAGGATGAGCACGTCGGTGTCGGCGGAGAAACACTGTGCTGCGGCGAGGTATCCGATGTGCTTGTGGTGGTACTTGCTCGAGGCCATGGTCTCGAGCATGTGGAAGTTGGCGCCGGAGAAGGGATAGCCGAGCATCTGGAGGTAAGTGAGCTTGAGCACCGCCTCGGCCTTGACCTCGAGGTCGCCCGAGCGCACTTCGTGGCGGATCTCGTCCATGACCTGCGCGACATACTTGGGCTCGTCCTTGCCACGATGCGAGCGCAGGCCCTTGATGAGGGCGGAGAGGGAGCGCTCGAACATGCTGAGAACGTGCAGGCAGCAAGCAGCCGCCTCAAAGCAAAGGAAAGTATTCTGAGGCGTTGAGCCGCAATCGAGGTCGAGATGTTCGGGAGCGCGCTACGCCAAACTGTACATGTTGGTGTCGATCGGGTGCTGGGCGGCGGTGAAGCGAGGATGATCGGTGTTTGAGGTTGGAGGCTGGAAGTAGGAGGTAGGAGGTTGTGGAGTACAGTCTCGAAGGTGTGTTGGTCTCTGCGCCGCGCCGCTCCCGTTCTCGTTTCTCCACCTCCTTCCACCTCCTCTCCAATCGAGATGGGTTGCCTTTTAACTCAGAAGCCATCGCCCGATCTCAACGGGAAGCTTAGTTTCCGGGACGCCTCTTTTTTTCCTGGGGTTTTTTTTTCCTTTTTTTTTTCTTCCTTTTTTGAGACATCCATTTTTCAATGGCACCACGAAGGACCTCTCCGACTCAGACAACACGCAGGGGCGATATGACCATATGAGAAAGGGGTGTATGATTGGTGGTGATCTGGCCCACATGAGGATCGACCAGCGACAGCCTAGAGCTCTTCGAGTGGTTGCGACTCGAGCTCCCTTTGGCGTTGCGCCTGCTCCTCCTTGAGCTGCTTGTCCTCGGCAGCCCGTCTCTGCTCGGCGTTCTTTTGCGCCTCGTTGCGCAGCTTCTGCTGGTGGTTGATCTGCTCCTTGGTCTCGTCGGAGAGTGTCAAGACACGAAGGCTGCCACGGAATCGCTCGTCCCACGCGACGCCGGCGCTGGGGCGGATGATCTCGAAGCCCATCTCGGCATTGCGCCACTCCTTCTCCTTCTTGAAGCGCTCCTCGCGCAGCTCGGACTCGGTCTTGCTCGGATCGTTCTTCTCGATCTTGCTAGGCTCGCGCAGTCCGCGTGCAAGGTCGCGTGCGTCCTTGAGGTGCTTGGGCAGCGCCTTGTAGTAGCTCTCGCGTGCCTCGGCGAGGTTCTTGTCCGACTTGCGGAAGTAGGGCGGGTAGCGCTGCTCGCTCTCGATGCCCCAGTCCAGATCGCCTCCCTGCGGCGGCGTGTCGGAAACCTCGCCAGCGAAGGTGCCCTCTCGGCCGGGCTGGAACTCGCGTGCGCTCTCCTTGGTGCCGTAGACGAGTGTGAGCGCGAGCTCGGCGCCGTGCTGCACCTTGTCGCGCTGGCGGAAGAACTGGTACATGCGAAGCGGGATGTTGCGCCAGCCCACAAGGTTGGTAAAGTCGACAAAGCAGATGGGCGGCTGTGCTGGGATCTGTGCAGGCGCCTCGAGCAGCTTGGGGTCGAGACGCGCGGCGACGGCCTCGGCCTCACTCTTGACGCGCTGCTTCTCGGCCTGCGCTTGCGCAGCTGGCGAAGGGCCCATGACGCCGCTGAAGGCGTTGGGTCCCGAGCCTAGCCCGTAGGGTGCAGAGCCAAACTTGTTGTTGCCGAAGTGCGAAGGCAGAGGTGCACCAGCGCCGTCCTCCTCGCCTGTCTCGGCGAGCGCAGCAATGGCCCTATCCTTCTCGTCGAGAAATTCGCTAGGCGCGGAAGCAGCCGAGGACGAGGATGCTGACGCGGAAGGCTCGGCGGGGAGCTCGTCGAAAGCGTGGTCCTCGGCGAGTTCGCGCGCAAGCTCGTCGTCGCGGTCCCTCTTAAGAACTTCGAGCGGTGTGCACCAGCCATTTTTAAGTGCCCAAGCCCATTCCTTGAGTGCCGGCCTGCCGACAAGGACGAGGCCGCCGTCGATCTCGCGCTGGAGCTCCTGCTGCGGCGTGAGCGAGAACGGGTTCTGGGACAGGGCGGTGATCTCATCCATCCAAGGCTCGAGGCCGAGCAGCTTGCGTCTCCTCTCGTGGATCTTGCTCTGAAGTTCGCGTGCGAGACCGCCGTGGCGGGTGCCGTTGGTGACTTCCCAGTCGATGCCGGCAGCCACGAGCACGGGCTTGACGTACTTTTTGAAGTATCGCAGGGCCTTGTCGTAGTCGTCGTCGCCTGGAGAGCGTGTTGCGTAGACAGTGATCTTGCGCGGCCACTCGCCGGGCTTCATGGGTTCCTTGGAGAGGTGACTGACCTTGTCGATGTAGTCCTGGCGGATGAGACGGCACTGGCGACGGTCGTCGTAGTAGAGGTAGGAGAGCGTGCCGACGGTGACGAGGAAGATGGACCAGTTGCGCGATGGCAGACGCGGTTTCCAGGCGAGGACGGATTTGGGGATGCCGACAAACTCGAGCGGACGCAGGATGGGCGGCACCTCTCGCGGTGGCAACTTGGGCTTGGCTGTGTTGCCCGTGCCTGCAGCTGGAGCCGGTGAGGGCGCGCTCGATGTGGAGGCCGAAGCGGCCGATGTGGACGGAGGTGTTGAGCTCATGGCGTGGAATGGCCCAACCAATGGAGAAGGAGGGGGGATGTAGTGGTGATGGTGGTCGAACACGAGGGTCGGTTGCCTCTCGCTCTGCACTGAGCCAACTGATTTTTCTTCGGAACTTCTCGCGTGGGCTGCGGGAAGGTCTCGGAGAGCGATTGGTGCAAAAGGCTCGGATCTCGGGCTGGCGCGCTTCCACATTTTGCAGCTGGGATTCGGCGGATTTGCCTTTTTGCATGGCCCTGCTTCTCGGCCTCCATTTCGCTCCTCGCCATCGACACGGACAATGGCTCCATCAATAGCACCGGCAACGGCAGAGTCGTCGTCGACATCCCGATCGACCGCGTCGACGGTCAAGAGGACGTCTCCAACAGCACTCCGACCTCTGTCTGCCGAGGTGGGGTTGCTGGCAAGATCGGATGCGAGCGCCTCGTTCTCTTTCGGCGCGCTCAACGTGGTTGCATCAGTGTCTGGGCCTACCGAGGTCCGTGTTCGAGACGAGCTGACGGATCGCGCGACGCTCGACGTCGTCTTTCAGCCGCAACATGGGGTGGCGGGCATTCCAAGTCAGGCGGTGTCGGATTCGCTGCTGACTGCGTTGTCGTCGGTGCTGCTGTTGCACCACCATCCTCGATCGCTCATCCAGCTGATGCTTCAGACGCTCTGCTCTCCGAGCCTACCGCAGTCGTCGGAACACACGTTGCCGTCGGACCTGGCTTCGCATCAGAGATGCGTGCCGCGACAGCCGCTGCTGTTGGGCCCGGACGCGCCGCCGAGCGTAACGGAGCAGGCTGCGTTGATCAATGCAGCGAGCTTGGCGCTTCTCGATGCAGGCATTCCAGCAAGAGGCAGCGTGACGGCGTGTGCGTGTGCCATTCTGCCGGCGACGCAGGGCACGGTGCTGAGGCAGAACAGCCACCTTGACGAGATTTCCGAGTCGCAGCTGGCAGGTCTCGTACGCCAGTACAAGCAAGACCACGCTCAAGAGGACATGGATGAAGAGGACGACGACGAGCGCACCAATGGCACCGCATCCAAGAGATACACTGGCGAGTAAGTGTGACAACTGCGATCGGCATTCCAAACTGCAAAAGAGATATACTGACGTGCACCCGTTTTTTTTTTTCGCTTGGGATGCAGGACGATTGTTCTGCTCGACCCGACGCCAGTGGAGATCGACTACGCGCTCAGCACGCACGTGTTTGCCTTCTCCTTTTCGCAGGTGCTCGAGGGCGAGGGCGACGAGGCAAAGGCGCGACAGGTGTCGGAGCAGGTGCTGGCCGAGTCGCAAGGCGCCGTGGATCTCGAGGACCTGGGTCGGGCTCGCGAACTGTGCCTGACAGCATGCTCCGCGGTGCTCGACTTTGTGCGCGCCACGCTCACCAAGCGAATCGCTTCACAAGTTGAATGATGGAGCACCACACCGCATGCATCGTGTTCGCAATCATACAGTCTTTGCCTCCGTCGGTAGAAAGCAGCGGCAAGTATAGTGCGAAGCTTGTTCGGCGTGCAGCAGGAGGGCGAGAGGACAAATTTGAATTTGTTAGACCGCATCGCGACGACGTGAGCGCAGGCTGGCTTAAGCGCAGTGTTGGCTTCCTATTCCCGCCCCAGCAGCGCGTCGGTCTCGGCATTCGGCTCGAGCAGCGGCTTCGAACAAAGGGCGGCGCAGCCAACCAAGAGAAGAGAGAGAGAGAGGACTGTGCGGGTGTGTGAGTGTGGAGAGAGGGGCTTCCCACTCCCACGAAGCCTAACCAGCTCAACCCCACCTCCCCTTTCCTCCACGCCCCTTTGTTCGTCACCACCAGATACCAGCACGTCCGGTGTGCCCCCCTTTGTGCGACCGCCCTCTCCGCATCCGCGCCTCATTCCGACCAGGTACATGCGTCTCGCACAGCTCACTCTCACGCAGTGAGACTCAGACGAGAGCGAGCACTCGCTCTGTTCGACCTCCGCGGGCATATAAACCGTCGCATCAATCCCCCTTCTTCAAGGGACGACCGCCCTCCCGCCATGATCTCGGCCTTCTTCATCTTCAACCAAAAGGGCGAGGTGCTCATCTCGCGTCTCTTCCGCAACGACCTGCGTCGCAGCATCGCCGACATCTTCCGCATCCAGGTCGTCTCCAATCCAGACGTGCGCTCGCCCATCATCACGCTCGGCTCCACCTCCTTCTTCCACGTGCGCCACGAAAACCTCTACATCGTCGCCGTCACAAAGTGCAACGCCAACGCAGCGATCGTCTTCGAGTTCTGCTACCGCGTCATCAGCATCGGCCGCTCCTACTTTGGCGCCAAGTTCGACGAAGAGGCGGTCAAGAACAACTTTGTCCTCATCTACGAGCTCCTCGACGAGATCCTCGACTTTGGCTACCCGCAAAACTCCGAAATCGACACGCTCAAGATGTACATCACCACCGAAGGCGTCAAGTCCGAACAGGCGGTCAGGGAGGATTCGAGCAAGATCACCATCCAGGCAACGGGTGCCACCAGCTGGAGAAGGGCAGACGTCAAGTACAGGAAGAACGAGGCATTCGTCGACGTCGTCGAGACCGTCAATCTCCTCATGAGCAGCAAGGGCACCATCCTCCGTGCCGATGTCGACGGTGCCATCCTCATGCGTGCCTACCTCACAGGCATGCCAGAGTGCAGGTTTGGGCTCAACGACAAGCTCGTGCTCGAAAAGAACGACAAGAACCGCGGAAAGGTGGATGCCGTCGAGCTCGACGATTGCCAGTTCCACCAGTGCGTCAAGCTGTCCAAGTACGACACGGACCGCAGCATCTCCTTCATCCCTCCAGACGGCGAGTTCGAGCTCATGCGCTACCGCTCCACCACCAACGTCAACCTCCCCTTCAAAGTGCACGCCATCGTCGAAGAGGTGAGCAAGAGCAAGGTCGAATACACGCTCAACCTCAAGGCCAACTTTGACGCCAAGTTGAACGCCACCAACGTGGTGCTGCGCATTCCGACGCCGCTCAACGCATCCACGGTCAAGTGTCAGGTGAGCCTGGGCAAGGCCAAGTACGTGCCTGCAGAGAACCACATTGTGTGGAAGATCGCGCGCATCCAGGGCGGAGGCGAGGCGAGCTTTGGCGCCGATGCCGAGCTCAGCTCGACCACCGTGCGAAAGGCGTGGAGCCGGCCGCCGATCGAGGTCGACTTCCAGGTGCTCATGTTCACCAGCTCCGGCCTGCTCGTGCGCTACCTCAAGGTGTTTGAAAAGAGCAACTACCAGAGCGTAAAGTGGGTGCGCTACCTCACCAGGAGCAACGGAAGCTACCTCATCCGCTTCTAGCTTGCGCGTCCGTAATCTGTACACTATTATCTTCACGGCCGGGTCCAGTACTATTTTGCATCGCATCGCATATCTGCACGCTGGGCTTCGTTTCATGCATGCATCGACATAGAAGAGCTTCGTGAGAGGTTGGAGACTGCAGAGCGAAAGCGGTAGCAAGGTCAGCATGCGATTCGCGCTGAAAGACTGCGGTTTTGCGGGTTGGAGCGTCCGTGATTCATGATTAAACAAACTCTCCGCAAGTACGCCTGGTGTTCCAGGGTATCGGAGGATTGACAGATTATAAAAGTTGTTTTGGATTGTCGTCATTCGCATCGCAGCCCGGTTGAGGGCAGGGGTGAGAAAAGTCGATTGGTAGGAGGATACTTACAAAGATGGTTGGATGTGGTGAGAAGGAACGTCGATTGCCAGCCGAAAAACCGGTAAAATAGAATGGGCTCGGGAAAGAAGAACTGCTGGGGGGAGTGCGGCGGGTCTCGGCCGGCTTGTGGTGAGGCGAGATGGGCAGGGTCCATGTTGCTCTCCACCGCCATCTGTTCTGTTTGATCAAGTCTAGCGCGTACCGAGACCATGACGGCATCCAGCGGGGTTGAAGATCGGGCGGCGTTCCACCTGCTGGGTCATCCGCTGCCGGCATTGATCGACCTGGTCACGACGAGCGGCACGGTGGATCTGTTCACGCTGTCGCTGCGCCAACCGATCATGCTCTTTGTCTATCCCTCCACCGCCTCTCCGCTCCGACCCACGCCCGCAGGCTGGTCTTCGATTCCAGGTGCCACCGGATGCACGCCCCACCTAGGAGCTGTCAATTCCCACCTCGCGCAGCTGCTCGCCAAGGAACCCGAGCTCAAGATCTTTGGCCTCTCCACCCAAGCCCATGCCGAGCAGGTAGAAGCGAAGCAACGACTCGGCCTCAACTTTGACCTCATCTCGGACGACAAGGAGGAGCTCACGACCGCGCTGGACATTCCGACCTTCGAGGTGGAAGGCAAGAGGTATCTGAAGAGAATGACGCTATTGCTGCGAGGAGGACAGATCACGAGGGTGGATTATCCGATCCAGGTGCCTGCCGAGGCAGCAAAGAGAGCCGAGGATCTGCTGAGATCCGAACAGGACCTCATGGATGAAGTGCATGCACGAGATGCGGCTGCTGCTCAGGCGCAAGCCTCAGCGTAGATTGGGGGAGACGATGCGAAAAATAAGATTGGATGGCAACAGTGCGTGCGTGTGAAGCTGCGTTAAAGAAGGTGTTGTTTTGTATTGAGACAGTAAAAGTACAGAGATGCGTATGGCGAGAAGAGCTTTGGCGGGGGGATCAACGGCCTCGACCACGTCCGCCGCGCATGCCTCCCCTACCTCTCCCCCTTCCCCTGTCCATGCCCGCGCCTCCGCGTGCTCCGCGGCTGGCCGGGTCCTTGCGCTTGCCCTTGGGCTTGGGTGCATCGTCCACCAGCAGCATGTCGAGCGGCAGCGCATCTGGCAGGATCCAGTACCGGATGTTGTTGCCGCGGATCGAAAGCGTGTCGAGCGTCACCGCGGGCCGACCGCGCACGGTCATCTTGACCGTCTTGAGGTGCGTGTTCATCTGGATATCCACGCCTACATCAGCATAGATAGGATCGAGGGTCAGTGAGGGACTATAACGCACGAAGCAAGGGGGGAACATGCTCACCTGTGACAGTGCCGTGGACGACGGTGCCGTTTTTGAGCTCGATGGACACCGACTCGTTGTTGAGCTTCATGAGGAAGCGGACGAGCTTCATCTTTGGACGGAGAAGAAGGCCTTGACCCTGACGTAGAGCAATGCGAAGCTAGCTAGCAACGTTGGGGAGTCCGGCCGTTGTGAGTCGATGTGAGGATGAGAGAAGGATGGTGGATGTCGACCACGATCCGAATATGCAATTGCTGCACTCGACCTTTTGGCTCTTCTCGTTCCCCAGATCGCCAATGCATCGGCACCTGTCATCCACCCGATTGAAAAGGTGGAATCGGGCAGGGGCCGGGTTCGAGTCGCGAGTCGCGTCGAGTTGGGTTCGGCCCGTGTTAATTGGCCAAAAAGGGCGGCTCGAACGGTCAAAATTCGCGCGACGCAGCACAGCAGCAGCACAGCAGCAGCACAGCAGCAGCACAGCAGCAGCACAGCAGCAGCACAGCAGCAGCACAGCAGCACCACAGCAGCTCACCAGCAGCAGCGCGACCGCGTTGGGTCTGGTTCGGGCCTCCACAAGCCAATCTCGATGTCCTCACACCCACGATCATGACCAGCACCTCCTCCTTGCTCTGCCACCAGCATTGACCGCTACAATGGGCATTCAGGGCCTGCTCCCCTTGCTCAAGGACGTCCAGCAGCCTGTGCATGTCTCGAGCTATGCAGGCAAGACGCTCGGCGTGGATGCATACGTGTGGCTGCATCGAGGCGCCTATGGGTGTGCGCGAGCGATTGTCCTCGGCGATCCTACGCCGCGCTACATCGCGCACGCCTTGAGCCGCATCCGCATGCTGCAGCACTTTGGCGTCAAGCCGTATCTCGTATTCGACGGCGACAAGCTGCCCGCCAAGCGCGGCACCGAAGACGACCGCGAGCAGCGCCGCAATGACAACCTCGAGCGTGCCAACCAGCTGGAACGCGAGGGAAACATGCAGCAGGCTCGCGATCTCTTTTCGAAATGCGTCGACATCACACCCGAAATGGCGTTCCAGCTCATCAAGGTGCTCAAGCAGCAAGACATCCCTTACGTCGTGGCGCCGTACGAGGCGGATGCGCAGCTCGCTTTCCTGGAGGCAGAGGGCATCATCGATGGCATCATCACCGAGGACTCGGATCTGCTCGTCTTCGGATGCAAGACGGTGCTCTTCAAGCTCGATCAGGCTGGCAATGCGATCGAGATGCTGCAGCAGCGCTTTTGGACCAATCGACAGCTGGCACTGTCCGGCTGGACCGCCGTCGAATTTAGGCAGATGGCCATCCTTTCCGGATGCGACTATCTGCCGAGCATCGTGGGTATGGGCCTCAAGAATGCACACCGGCTGCTGCGGAGGTACAAGACGGTCGACAAGGTGCTCCAGGCCGTACGTCTCGAGGGCAAGCTGCGCGTGCCCAACGACTACGCCAGGGAGTTTCGAAAGGCGGAGCTGACGTTTGTCCATCAGCGCGTCTTTGACCCACGCACGCAGAGGCTCGTTACCCTCACGCCTCTGCCCGATGGAACGCACGACGACATGCTCCCGTTCATCGGCGCGAATATCAAGGACGACGTGGCGATAGGCGTGGCTCAAGGCGTCATTGATCCGATCACCAGAATGCAGATTGTGGACCGAGTGCCCAAGCCGCTGGGCATGCGCAGCAACTCGGACAACAATATTGCTGCGGCATCGAGCACGCCAGCCGTGCCGCATGGGCTGCACCGCAGTATCACGGCACCTACGACGTTGCAGAGCTCGAGCGCAGGCGTGGGCAGCTTCTATAGGGCGTCGGTGGGGGCGGCAGCAAAGAAGAAGGCGGTCAGTAGGGAGGCAGGCTTGCAGAGCCTCAAAAACTTTTTCGTCGGCGCCAGCGTCAGTTCCAAGGAGAACGCTAGGCCGAAAGCCGAAGAGCGAGTGAAGGAGAGGGTACCGTTGGCGGCCGTCGATACCAACCGCAAGGCGGATGCTTCTGGAACGCAGAGCAAGTTCTTCGCCAAAGCGACGCCGGCACCGACGCACACTGGAAAGCCGGACCACGCCTATTTGCATCTGGGAGGCGAGCTCACGCCGCCGGTGGTGCGAAAGGATCCGAACGACTCGGGTTACTGGGACGAAGAGTGTCACGACATGCGCGACTTTGTGCGGTCCAGCAGTCCTCCACAGGCGACGGCGGCGTCGCAAGCGCTCGTGGTGGAGACGCAGGAGGTGGCACTGGCGACGCAGTCGGAAAGCACGCCATCGTCGAGCGTGGCGGTGGTGGTGCCGCAGACGCCGTCGCGCGGTGGGCGAGGGAGCAAGAGGATGCGCACCGAGTCGCGCGAAGTCTCGTCGCCGGAGAGCGTGATGGGCAGCGGATTCATCTCGTCGCCCGCAACGTCGTCGGTGCGCGGTGATCTGGGCGACGTCGGCGACGAAGAAGCACCAAGCTCGCCGTCACCTGCGCAGGCACGCGCGCCAGCGACGAGGCCGCAGAAGAGCGAGGACGAGGAGGATGTGCAGGCCGAGCCCGTTACGCCATTGGCAGTGCGTGCAGGTGCGGCAAGGAAGCCTGTGCTCCAGACGAGCGTGTCCAAGCTCGAGGCGTTCCGCTACAGCGCGGTGACGCCGCAGCACGCGCAGCATAAGCAGCAGCAGCAGTACACGCGCGAGACGCCCACAGCGGCGTCACCCTCGGTGCTCAAGTTGGCGGCCAGCAGCACCCCAGTCGCAGCAGCAAGGCCGGCAAAGGCACTCAAGAGAAGCCCGACGCTCGTGTTGGGCGACGAGGCAGAGAGTAAAGGCCTGTTTGACAGGTTTCGGTTTTCAGACCAGGAAACTAGGCACGTTCCGTTGTAGCATCGTTTCAGTTTTGTGTTGTGTCGCATTTGCAATTCGCATTGTTTGTCGTCTCGCAGTGGAAGCGGCTTCGTGTCTGGTGAAGCATGCGAGCCGAAAGGCTGTTTGACAGTTCTTTGTTCTCGGAGCATCGGCTTATCCTGTCTTATCGATGCTGGCAGTGTGAGGTGCGGTAGTGGTGCGTGCGCCAGCGTGCAGGCAGCGGAGATTTGTTTCTGAATACCAACTTAGCCGCCGTCAGCTGCAGAGCCGGATCGGAAAATCGCCAATTTCCGCAGGTTGGTTGGCCTGTTTGGCGGGTTGGCTGGCTTGGCATGCACGTCGGTGCGCCTCCTGCTGCAGTCGGTCGAGGCAATCAAATTTCCAGGTACCGGCGTCGTGCCTCTCCCACACACCACCAGCATCACCACCATCACCAGCATCACCACCATCACCACCATCACCACCATCACCACCGTCACCAGCAGTAGCAGCACACCATCGCGACCATGCCGTCGCGCCCCAACACCCGCAAAAGCTCGACGCTGCAGTCGGCGCAGGGGGCGCCCATGGCCGGCTTCGCTGCCGTCTTTGTCGGCCTCTGTCTGCTCTTCTCGTTCGTGCCGCTCGCTACAGTGTTTCCGGACCACGAGCTGCCCTCGCAGAGCGCACGCTCGGGCCAGCCGTCGCTGAGCGCGCGCGTTCAGAACGAGCTGCATCTCGAACAGCCGCGTTGCCGCAACGAGTTCTCCAGGCTGTATCCGCAGCTCGCGGCCAACGAGGCGGCATGGCGCAACAAGGGCGGCATCAAGTACGACCATGTCCAGAACGCCGCCCAGAACTGCCGCCACGGATGCGTGCATCTGATCATCAAGCACGGCCAGATCTTTGTGCGCGCCCAGGTCAAGGACTGGCAGTCGAGAGTCAGATCTACAATGCAGCTGCTTACCGCCGCGTACCAGGGTGCCAGCGAGGACGAAAAGGCGCGAATCGACGGCACCGAACTCGTGATCTCGACCGCGGACTTCGATGGATTCACCGATCCCGCGAGTAGGGGCGCAGGCTGGGTGCTCGATAAGCGCGTCAACGATACCGAGGGCCAGTATCTGTTCCCGGACTTTTCGTTTGCTAGCTGGCCCGAGGCGGGCATTGCCTCGTACCCCGAATTCAGGCGCGATGCCGAGCAGGTCAACGCCGAAACGCCCTGGCATGACAAGCTCAACCCGGCGTTCTGGAGAGGTGATGCACTCAAAGGATCCAATATCGCCGTACGTGCTTCGCTGCTCGACGTTGCCACCGGGCCCGGCACCGAGTCTTGGTCCGACATCAAGCGCACCAGCTTCTGGGAGGAAGGTCCGGGTATCGGCAAGATCGTCCCGCCTGAAGAGCATTGTCGACACAAGTTCCTCATCCACTCGGAGGGCGTGGCGTATTCGGGACGCAGCAAGTTCATCCTTGGCTGCCAGAGCACCGTGGTGATGCACGCGCTCGAGTGGGAACAGCACTTTCATCCTGCCCTCATCGCCACACCCAACTCGGCGGATCAGAACATCATCCGGCTGGACGGAAGGTACTTTGAGGCTCTGCCGGCGACCATGCACGAGCTCATCCAGCAAGAAGAGGCGAGCGCCTCCGCCGTGACGGACTTCAGGAGGCCTGGCTTGACTACAGGTAAGCGCGTGGCGACAAATGCCAAGCGCACGCTGACCGATAGGTATCTCACGCCAGCGGCGACCGCGTGCTACATCCGCGCAGCACTGCTGAGCTACTCGGCGGCCATGGACAGGTCGTCGTGGCCAAATCATCAGGGCCCGGCACTCAAGGAGGGCGCGGGAGTCAAACCGGGTGCAGGCACGCCAAAGGGATCGCTCAAGGAGCTCGGCGTCACGGGCGACATCGAGTACGGCGTTTGGCAGAACTTGGGTCAGCCAGAATGGCCGCCCGCCTAGCAATCTCGCTCGCCACAATCGTCGCTCTTGCATATACGCACACCCACAAACGGACTCTTTGACTCGCAGTTCACCACGACGTGCACGACGAACGACGGCAGAAAGGTAGAACGTGCGACCAAAGTGCTGAGATGGAGCAGATGGCTAAAAGTACAAAGGGGGGAGCTGCTGGGTCTAGAACTCGTGGGCGAAAATATCGTCTTGGCGCCGAGGCTGTTGGTGGAGGTGCTTGGCGGATGCTGCGGAGGATTCGAACGTGGCGCGTGTAGGATGTTCGGGCGTACTGATGATGAAGCTCTCGTCGCTGCTTGTGGCGAGACTGGATCGACGGCGCGAGCGGTCTGAGTGTGCATCGCTGTCGAGCTTCGCATCAGGCGTGCGGGCGGGTTTGGATCGCGAGAACCTGGCCAGCTTGGACCTCTTTTCGACTGGTTCGTGATTGTAGTTGATCTCAGGCTGCGAGGGGTCCTTGTTGATCCACTGATCCGGTTCCACCAGGCCCGTCCTCTGGCCTTGGAGCGGCTGTGTATTCCAAGGTGCCGTTACGCCGCGCATGTCGCTGTCGGGCTGAGGTTCTTCGACCACATGCGCCACGCCCTCGTCGTCGTACACCACGCGCTGGCTAGGTGGCAGCCGGTCGTTGAAGCGGCCCGTCCAGGCGCGTTTCTTATCGAGCTTCTTCTGCGGTCGGTCGTCGACGAGTCCGTATCGGATGGCCCAGCGTGGCGTGCGCGCCTTGGTGTCGTTGTTGCGTACGTTTTGAATGAACCAGTTGTGCAAATGGCCCGGAATGATCCCGCAGATCGTGAGCAGGACGTTGATGAAAAAGTCACGCCCGATGCCGAATCGCACAGCCACCGCGAGCGGCGGAAAGAGGAAGCCGAGTAGTACAATGAGGCCCGTGAAACCGTAGTGGTTCTTCCACGAAAAGTCGATCTTGCCATCTTCGGTGCGTGGAATGCCGTTGCGTAGCAGCTTGGACATGGCGGTTGAATAGACACGGCTTGGGGGCGGGTGGCAGATTGAAAAATGACAGAGCTTGACGAAAGCACCTTCTATCTACGGATACGGTAGAGAGATGGGTGTAGAAGTGGCAGTGGAAGTGGTGGAAAGATGGACAGATGAACAGATGTGTTCTCCCATGGGCCTCGGTGGCACGGGCTTTGGAAGGCGCTGTCTCAGTCAAACTGCGGCGACCACGAGGTCGAGACGGCCACTAGGGTCTCGAGGCTTGGCTTTGCACAGCACTGCTCCCCCCGCCTTGCTCAGCCAAGCGGGGTTCGACGTGGGGATGGCGTGCCAGGCTGCCAAGCGCCCGTCCAGACCGGACATATACCGGCGGAATTCGACACACAGCTCGAGCACCTGCCACACTGAGGGCGCGGGTGACGTCGAGGCATCACGCCCCGAGCCAAGCTCCGACAAAGCCAGCTTGCGACGGGTGGGCAGCCGAGTCAGGGCGACCGCGCGCGCCTTTGCGAGCGACGAAGCGGCGCCAAATTCGCCGGCTAAAGAATTTTACTCGTCTTGGCGTCCCCGCACGGCCAACTCTCCGCCGCACCCAGCTGCGTCACTCTGCATGGCCTCCCCAGCCTCTGCCGAGCCTATTCCAACGCCCGCCGCATCTCCGACAGCACAGCAAGGCCAATCCCCCGTCCGTCTGTACAGCATACACACAACGACAATCTTTTTCGATTGCTTCATCACACTGATCACACTGTGGATCTGACGGCAAGAGTGCATGAGAGCAAAGACCTACTGTACTCGAGCTGGTCGACTGCGAATTGGAGCAGCTGCAAAAATGGCCTTCGACTCGTACTTTGAATCAAACAACTAGTATAGAGCCCACTGAAACCCCATTCTGCATGACTTAACTTAATGGATCCCCGCATGATGATCAAGAGTGCATCCGACTCACACTCGCTCGTGCTTCTTCAGCCCTTGCCTTCTAAATTTGCTCGACCGAGCTCTTGCCGTTTTCGTGATTCTGGACTGTCATTCCGATTTTATTTCGCGAGAAGAATGGAACATCGCCTCGCGTCAGAACGCAATTGTTCTCAGGTCAAGTGATGATCAAGAAAAATGCCCAGTAAAGTCAGGACTAAGTTACATGTCTGCGATCACTTGGCTCATAGGTTAGGTCAACTTGGTTGTGGGCCGTGGGTCATTAACGAGCTCATCTGTGTAAATTCGTTCGGAGTAACTTAACTTAAGTTACGTGCAGCATATGAGATGATGACGATACATTCATCAAAACAGAAGGCTCGGCCAGGGACTCTACCTGTGCATTGAACAATCATGATTGCTCTAAAAACGAACTGATCTTTTTTTTTGAATCGAAAAGACACTGGCGTTCAAAAAGGCCTCCAAAGGCCGTTCTAGCTTTGTGTTTTTTGGTTTCACTAATGGTCCAGTTTCGTAAATGGGCCACTCACGTGAAATTATGCGTCTGAAGTCCTCATTTCCCTCGCACCTTGTCGAAGTGAGTAACCTGATGCCAACGTAAGATTCTTTGAGTGAGTCCGCGATTTAGAAAAACTTCAAATCATGGAACAATCGCCGCGGATGAGCGGCTTTCCGCGTGGATCGTGGCTTCTGCTCGGTCTCAACATTGCTCGTCGTGAATTAACTTAAGTTAAGGGCTGACCGGCCCCGCGCCTGACACACGAAAGTGCCCCGCGTCCGTCATTCTTATGAAGATGACATTTCTGTTATCACGGTGTCACTTTTTACCGTGACTTGACGCTGTACATAATAATTCAGAATTTGCAACGTCCCAGGTTGCATTCATAAATCATGATCTTCTTATGATGTTCACTGCATCATTATTTTTTTCTCATAGTTGTTCCACGTGCTATCTTCACACAGTCCTGCTAAATTAGCTACACGTGGTTCAGGGAGCGAAATCCAGAGTTCTCGCCCCCTGCATAAGCCGGAAAAACGGGAATCATATCCTAACAAAACGGTAGCTGGCGAGGAGCAGCCACCCAGCAGCCACCCCGGGTGGCTGAGGGGTGGCTGGGGGGTGGCTGATTTTGCCACCCCGGGTGGCTGCTGGGTGGCTGCTCGTCGCCAGCTCGCGTTTTCTTAGGATATGAATGGGCGGATACCAGCCAGGCATCAGCCTGGCGACCTGGCTAATATCATCCAGCCAGCTGGCAGTCACTCAATCGGGTGACTGGCTGCTTCGACGCTTGCTGGCTGCGACCCATCAGGCAGCCTGATCGTTCGCACGGCTGCTCTACATGCCTTGCCAGCTCGGTTCGCCGTAATATGCTTGATCACCGGAATCACGTTAACTTAGGTGGTTTGTTCTGAGTCAACGTTGCAAGCATGAAGGTCCACCATTCATGCAGAGTAAGTTAACTTAACCTCAGATATGTTAGTGGACAGCAGACGCTTGCGCGCTTCGAGCCTACTGCAGGCCACCGAGCTCTGTTTGCGAATGGAAGCCCGCTCGATGCGTGTTTTAAGCAACCTCAACTGACCCGTCCAAACAGTAGTAAGTTCATTTACCTTTGGCCGAATTGAGATTTGCAGCAGAAATTCTGGAGTAAGTTATTGAGTTGAGTTAACTTACCAGAGCATGAGAACGAAGCTGGGATTGCAACTTGAGAATTTGTCGTCGCCGCATCCCATTCCCGTTTGATCACTGTCATAAACATATCCTAAAAAGAGGGTGGGGTGGCGACGGTCAGCCACCCATCAGCCACCCCGGGTGGCTGTTTGGGATCAGCCACCCCACAGCCACCCACACACACATGGGTGGCTGATGGGTGGCTGCTCGTCGCCACCCCACCCCACTTGTTAGGACATGAATCAGGAAGCATTTGTGCGCACCATGTCATGCGAGTTAAGTTCTCGAACTCGATATCATGTAAGAATCATGATTGCAATGCTAGCTTGACCTGAATAGCACGCTGTAGTGTGACTTCATCATGATTCAGTCACATCAGTTGATTTGAATCAACTTGAGGTTTGTCAAGTTACGATCGACAATAAATAAGTTAAGACTGAAATCCAGGATCACTTGACAGGGTGATGATTGGGGGGACCCGTGATGGGCAGATGCTGTGCCCCCAAGCCGTGTGATATGTAACGTTAAATTAGATGAGGTGGACTTGATAATGGATTTATGACTGAAAGTGAGATACAAATGTCGAGGTCTCGGATCCCAAAAATCATAATTTGGGCAGTCACAAATCGCACGTCTTCTCGTCGTGCATGTTCCACACAAAAAAATGTGCATCTGCTCGCACCCTTGGATCATGAACGTTGACCAGTAATTTAAGCTCGGCGATGTCGAGGCAGCAGAAAGTGGTCCTGGAACAGCATACATTGAAGGCAGACGGAGGTTCATGTGTGTTGGTGGGTCGCAGTTGACTCGGAACTCGGGGCTGTCTGAAAATGCAGGACCCTGATCCTCCACATGAATTCAGCACCCCATCGTGGCTGAGTCGTTCGCCATTCGGACTCGACGACGACCACCATCTTATGCTCTGCTGCACCTCCAGACAGGACGTAAGCTCTTGGACCGACACCATGGCCTCCAAGCGTCAGATCCTGAAACGCGCGGCGTTGCTGCCGTTCCACTGCCAGATTGTCAATTCGCTCGTCCCAGCAGAGGACGACAGTCCGGACGAAGGTGACGCGCTAGTCATCATTGCCCGAGGGCTCGGGCTGCGTAGGATCGTCAGTACGGTGCTGCGCATATACGATTCTCCGAACAGCCTTGTGATTCTCGTCAATGCCACGTCCGAGGAGGAAAGCGGGATCGGCGAAGAGCTGACGACGCTCGGGGTTCGCAAACCAGGGCTCCGTGCGATCCACCACGAGATGCCAGCCAAGCAACGGTCCGAGATGTACCTGTCTGGCGGAATCATGAGCGTCACATCGCGAATCCTCGTGGTCGACATGCTCAGCAAGAGGATCCCCACTGCACTCATTACCGGATTGGTCGTGCTTCACGCCGAGAAAGTTACGCCCACCTCGGTAGAAGCCTTCATCGCACGCATCTATCGCCAGGAGAACAAAGAGGGCTTCATGAAGGCCTTCTCCGACAATCCCGAACACTTCACCATGGGCATCAGTCCTCTTCAGACGGTACTCAGCCAGCTGAGAATCCGAAAAGTCGAGCTGTGGCCGCGCTTCCACCAACAAACGAGCAAAGACCTGGGCCAACGCAAGGCAGACGTGATCGAGCTTCATCAGCCCTTGAGCCGATCGATGCGCAACATCCAGACGGCCATCATAGAGTGTCTCGATGCATCTCTGTCGGAACTCAAACGCGGCAATGCCAATGTAAGCCAAAGCCCTAAAGCACACAAGCCGGGCGCCTCCCTGTTCGCTGACCACATCGACTGACATGGACCAATCTACACTCCAACGCAGGTCGAGACGGACGACTTCTCCATTGAACACGCGATATTTCGCGCGTTCGACGTCATGGTGCGAAGGCAGCTCGATCCAATATGGCACCGAGTCAGCGCAAAGACCAAGCAGCTCGTCGGCGACTTGACCACTCTTCGCAACCTCCTCAAGTAAGTTGAGCTTTGACGCGGCCCACCCGTACCGGGCTACCTACTGACTGATCGCACTCTTTCATCACCTCCTGTCTCGCATAATTTTGCTCAGCTATCTCCTCACCTACGATTGTGTGACGTTCAACTCCTATCTCGAGACCATCCTGGCTTCAAATACGACCAGCTTGAGGGGCAACGCTCGTCAAAATCAGTCGGCTTGGCTCTTCATGGATGCAGCCAACGTCATCTTTCACGAAGCCAAGAAGAGGGCGTATATCTGGGATGAGGCCCGCCGCAGACAGGCCAACGACGCGTCCGACGCTCATTATGCCGACGACGAGGAAGCATTGCGGCAGGTCGAGCACGGAGCAGCAGCGCAGTCCGGAGCTCCTGCTCTGGGCCCGATACCGCCCGAAGTGGAGCCCATCCTCGAGGAGAATCCCAAGTGGCAGCTTCTGCAAGAAGTGCTGGACGAAGTTGAGCAAGAGATCCACTTCACTTCCACAGGTAGGGCCATGTCCTCTCGAGACTTTGTACACGACACGCTTGCTAACATTCTTCCCTCATCTGCAGGCTTGGAGACAGGGAACACAATTTTGATCATGTGTGGCTCGGAGAGGACCAGCATGCAGTTGCGGCAGATCATAGCGACCATGGACGAGTGCCCTCCTGGGGAACCGGGACAGAAACTACTCCGACAGCTCCTGCGCTCTTACTTCTTATGGAAAGGCGGTCTTGGCAAGCTGTCGTCCGACCAAGGAGCCTCCAACCAACCCGGCGGAGACTCTCGTAGTGCCCATTCGTCTACGGCACAAGGAGCAGTCGGATCGGATGGACCGGTCAACGAGGCACTGAAGCGAAAGCTAGCATATCAGAAAGGTCAGCAGTCCAATGCGAACAAGCGACGCCGGCAGCGGGGCGGATCGTCAGCTGCGCATGCTGGAGGCCGTTTCAGCAGTGCTACCGATGCCTCCGGCCAAGCTTCTTTCCAAGCAGAAGCAGCGCAGGTGTCCGAATTGTGAGTAGCATTGCAAAGCATCTCGATGCTTAGGTGAGGACGATACTGACCTGATGCACCAATCTTCTTTACGCCGCCCTGCTCGTGACACAGCCTGGCTTCAGCAGCAGACAGCAACGAGGCAAGAGCGGCTCTGGCTGATGCATCCATCGATTCGGAGCAAATCTCGGACGATATCGATGAGGTCGAGTTTGATGCATTCTTCGGAATGCTGAGCATGGAGAATCTGGTTGTGGTGCGCTCGTATCGAGGCGATCAGGACGACAAAGTCCTCCAAGAGCTTCGACCCCGCTTCGTGATAATGTACGATCCGGATCCAGCCTTCGTTCGCCGGGTCGAGGTTTATCGCAGCACCAATCCCGGTGTCGGGATTCGAGTCTACTTTCTCATATATGCGGATTCCGTCGAGGAGCAGCGTTATCTCAGCTCTCTCCGAAGGGAAAAGGAATCGTTCGAACGGCTCATTCGCGAGAAGTCGATGATGGCGCTTCCACTCTCGGCCGACGGGCGACCCATCGCAGAGGATGCTGATCAGCGTTTCTTGCGTACTGTCAGCAGTCGCGTAGCGGGAGGACAACGTTCAGCCACTGCAGAGCCTCCACGCATCATCGTCGATATGCGCGAGTTCCGATCGAGTCTGCCATCGATGTTGCACGCGGCGGATATCCAGGTCATTCCGTGCACATTGCAGGTGGGCGACTACGTGTTGACGCCTACGATGTGTGTGGAACGAAAGAGTCTGACCGACCTGGTGCAAAGCTTCAACTCCGGACGACTGTATACGCAGTGCGAGCTGATGTGCGTCCACTATCAGCACCCGATCTTGTTGATCGAGTTCGACCAGGACAAATCTTTCTCTCTCAAGTCGACCAGCGACGCAAAGCCAGGAGGGCGCGCGACGAGCTCAGAGCTCGACATCCAGGCCAAGCTGGTGCTGCTAACCTCCTCCTTTCCACGGCTGCGGATCATTTGGTCCAGCTCGCCGTTCGCCACCTCGGATATCTTTGCGGAGCTCAAGCAAAACTTTGACGAACCAGATGCGAGCAAGGTTGCGCTTGTCGGCCTCGACGACATGCTCGAAGCAGAGGGCAACGGCGGCAGTGATCCGACCAAGCGTGCCGAATGGCAATCATCAGGCGAGCACTCGTACAACCTCGGTCCTCAAGATTTGCTGCGCGCCTTGCCTGGAGTCACAACCAAGAACTTCCGCTACGTCATGAGCCAGGTGCGCGACATCTCGGACCTGTGCAACATGTCTCAAGAGGAAGTTGGCGAGCTGATCGGCGTCGAACCGGCGAGGCAGCTGAGTCGGTTTTTGAATCAGGGGCTGTGATTTGTATGATGCAATTCGAAACATGATGATGGTCGCTCGACGTGACGGTCTGCTCAATCATGAGTGGCGGTCGTGCACTCGTGGGCCGCACAGCATTCTCAATGGACGCGCGCCGAGAGTACGCCCGAGAGGTCGCACACCGATGGTCGAAGATCTCAAACTTTTATTCGTTTAGGGATAGGATTGGAGATTTGGACAGGCCTCGAAGGGCATGGAGCTTTTCCAGATCAAAATTTGGATGCGTCCAAGGCAAAGGGCGCGGCGCAAATGCATGTTTAGATGTTGCGGGCGATCTCCTCGGCCTTCTTCTTGACGTCGTCGATGCCACCGCACATGTAGAAGGCGGACTCGGGGAGGGCGTCGTGGTCACCGCGGAGGATCTCCTTGCAGGCCGAGATGGTGTCCTTGAGCGAGACGAGCTTGCCCTCGAGACCGGTGAAGACCTGAGCGACGGCGAAGGGCTGGCTCATGAATCGCTGGATCTTACGGGCGCGCTCGACGGTGAGCTTGTCCTCTTCCGAGAGCTCGTCCATACCGAGAATGGCGATGATGTCCTGGAGCGACTTGTAGTCCTGGAGGAGCTTCTGGACGCTGGTGGCGGTGTCGTAGTGCTCACGGCCGACGACGGCAGGGTCAAGCATACGCGACTTGGAGTCGAGGGGGTCGACGGCGGGGTAGATACCCAGCTCCGAGATACCACGGGACAGCACGGTGGTGGCGTCCAAGTGGGCGAAGGTGGTGGCGGGGGCAGGGTCAGTCAAGTCATCGGCGGGCACGTAGACGGCCTGGACGGAGGTGATGGAACCCTTCTTGGTGGTGGTGATGCGCTCCTGCATGACACCCATGTCGGTGGCCAGGGTGGGCTGGTAACCGACGGCCGAGGGAATACGGCCGAGCAGAGCCGAGGTCTCGGAACCGGCCTGGGTGAAGCGGAAGATGTTGTCGATGAAGAGAAGCACGTCCTGGCCCTCCTCGTCACGGAAGTATTCGGCGATGGTGAGACCGGTAAGGGCGACACGGGCACGGGCACCAGGGGGCTCGTTCATCTGACCGAAGACGAGCGCGACCTTGGAGTCACCCTCGAGGTTGATGACACCGGTCTCGATCATCTCGTGGTAGAGATCGTTACCCTCACGGGTACGCTCGCCGACACCGGTGAAGACGGAGTAACCACCGTGAGCCTTGGCGACGTTGTTGATGAGCTCCTGGATGAAGACGGTCTTTCCGACACCGGCACCACCGAAGAGGCCAATCTTACCACCACGGGCGTAAGGGGCGAGGAGGTCGACGACCTTGATACCGGTCTCGAGCACCTCGGCCTTGGTGGACTGGTCGACGAACGCGGGGGGCTCGACGTGGATGGGAGCGAGCTTCTTGCCCTTGATGGGTCCGCGCTCGTCCATGGGCTCGCCGATGACGTTCATGATGCGGCCAAGGGTGCCGGGGCCGACGGGGATCTGGATGGGAAGGCCGGTGTCGACGACCTTCTGGCCACGGACGAGACCCTCGGTACCCTCCATGGCGATGGCACGGACGGTGTTCTCACCGAGGTGCTGGGCGACCTCGAGAACGAGACGACCGCCACCCTGGACATCCTGGACCTCGAGGGCGTTGAGGATGGAGGGGAGCTCCTCGGTGTCGAACTGCACGTCGACGACGGGACCGATGACGGTCTTGACGGCACCGGTCTGGCCCTTGGGGGAGGTCTCGGTGGCAAGGCCGCGAGCTGGAGACAAAGAAGAGAGCGAATAAAAAATTGCGAGGGGGTCAGCACCAGAAACGGGGAGCAGGAAAGAGCTGTCGCGAGGTGTGATGCGAATGTCGAATGCACGTGTCGCTGACAATGGCGGCTGCGATGACTGCTGTGCTCTGGGCGGGCCGGGACAGTATGCACTATCGAGAGAGTAATCGCATGGCCGGATCAACGGAGTGGGATCTTGGGAAGGATCGACAGAAGCATGCCTATGCGTGACGCTTTTGTTTGCGCACTTGGTGGCCGTAGGCAGACCTTATTTGCGAGGATGCTGAATGTACTCCGATGATGTGCGAGGGGCGTGTGCGTGCATTGTCGATGTGTCGGCAGAAGACTTACCCTGGACGGCGGGCTTGACGGCAGCGATGGCGACCTTGGGGGCGGCGGCACGGACGCTGGACGAAGCGTTGACAGCGGCGCGGGCGACGGTGGAGAGAGCGGCGGCGTTCTGTCGGGCTCGGAGAGCGGTGCGGCTAGCAGCCCGCACAGCGGTGCGCTGGATGACAGGCATGATGTCGATATGGGGTAGGGTGAAGGAGATGGATGACGGGGAGGAGTGAGAAGGGGGAAGAAGGGAGAAGGAGGCGCTGGGCGGTCGCTCTCTCTGATCTCGCGCTTTGGTCGCTCGCCCGCCCTGGCCACAGAGGAAGATTCCGAAATCGCTGTGATCGCACTGCTGCTTGGGATTGGGATTGAGCTTGGGCTTGGGCTTGGGCTTGGGCTTGGGCCTGGCTCTTCCAGCGGCCGTTGGTCCGGCGCCCAGCAGAAGAATCGAGGCGAGGCGAGGCGAGGCGGGCGGGCGCAAGGATTTCTCGGGCGCGCCAGCCGCTGTGCGCGAAAAAGATGCGCCAGGCCAAGGCGACCCGCGCCGTCGCTCGGCGCGCAAACAGCGCAGACAGGCAGGCGAGCACATGAGACTCATCGCACCCCATCCCCAACCACCGATCAGTCCGACGAATAGGAAAGCGGGCTGGTCCACTGCCCGGCGCTTTGGGAAGAAATTTCAAAGAAAAGACTTGCCTCAACCCTTTCGAAATACAAGAAACTGAAAGTGGTTTATTTTCGAAGAGCCCTCTTCAACAGCCACCAACAAAAGTTTGAAGTGGCGTCTTCAAAACGGACGCTGCCCTGTTAAAAAGGCTTCCACTGCTGGAAGAAGAGCGCACGTTCCTCAAGCACCCGGCGAGTTCCTTGCCCACAACTTTGCGAGCCGGACGAATCGAGGGCAGCGCCTGGCATTGCGGATCCGGCACGATTCGGTTTGCCCGCCAACGACAGGACTTGTGCCATTGACTTCCAACCGCAAAGCTCCCTCCATCGTCGCCAGCTCAGGCGGGATCTGGCTCGAGCACCTGTTGGCCCGGTCGCCGCTGCGTCCTGCTGCACATCCGTCATAGAATGTGCATGGGCGTGCTTGGGATCGGGACTGTGCTGCGGAGAAGTGAGGCCTTGATGCCGCTGGTGACTCCATCCGTTTCGACCCGGTAACAGAAGCGCACGGCTTCACGTGCGAGTAAGTTTTTTTTTGACAGACGAGGGTCTAACAAATCTATCAATCCTACCGCGACGGTCCCATCGATTCCTGGTTCAACGCGAGATTACGCCATGGCAGTCATTTGCATCACCATGATGTGAGATTTTGTGAGCAGCGAGCCCACCGAGTGGAGGTTTGGCGTGTCCGAAAGAAGAAACGGCACCTCCCGATCTCGAAATGGCCGGGCACAGTTGCAGGAAGGGAGAGGCAGAGGCAGAGAGAAAAAGGTGAGATGGATGAGGTTGAGAATTGGGCCCATCGGCACGGAGCAGCTGCGTCACCAGGCGCCCAAAGGGTCGATTCGGGCTCGTGGCAGTTCGAGTTCTTCGAGACCGGCTGCCCGCTCAATCCGTCCAGCGATCTGCGCCGTCCAGCGTGCCGATGAGGGGCCGTGAGAGTGAGCTCACTCGACGGCCGACCTCCGCATCCGCCTTGTCGATCCACCATCACAGCCCGACGCTTGTCCACTCCATCCAGGAAACAATACGCCCGTCATGATTGCCAGGACCATCTCCAGATCCGCCAGACCACTGGCCCGCTCCACCGCAGCGTCCTCGCTCGCCCGTCTCCCCGCGCGCCGATACGCCTCGAGCTCGCCGCTTCCTCTGCCACCCAAGTCGGACGCTCCGTGGGCTATCGCATCCGTGCTCACCTTCGGCGGTCTCTTTGTCTATCTCACCGCACCTGGCGCCAAGGGCGACGACCACCACGGTCACGGCGCAAAACACGACGACGCCGAGGAGCACGACGAGGAGGAGGCAGAGTCCGAACCCAAGGAGCCCCAGGAGCTTCCCGACGGCAGCATCGAGCACCCCGAGGGCTTCGTCGAGGTAAAGAGGCCCGAGATGCGCCACGACGCTCCCGAGGGTGACAAGCACCTCGACTCGAAGAAGATCGCCGACGAGCACGCCTTCGAGAAGCAGGCCAAGGTCAAGCGCGAGCGCTCGCTGCCCGCCGACGACACCACCTTCAAGCACGGCGTTGCGGCTGCCAAGGACGGCAACCACGTCTCGGACCCAAAGTCGGTCGTTGCTGCCGCCAAGACTGCGAAGGAGGAGAAGGCCAAGGCTAAGGCTGACAACGCCGCCGCCTCGGACAAGGACGAGTCGTCGGAAGAAGACTCGGAGTAGAACCGAGCATTAGCCTCGAGTTTCCCTCATCTCGCTTCGTCCTCGGACGTCCTCTTTCCAAACCCATCCACACACAACTTGACAACACTCGCGTACATGAATCGATCGCGTACATGAATCGAATAGCATTCTCAAAATGCCTGTCTTTGCGTACGCACAGGATCAAGTCGCTGGCCCTGATCGGGCAGCGACTGCCACCGAATCGGCTTCTGCATCGGCACTGAGCGCGACGACGTATTCTCGCAGCTCTTGCCTATCCAGAAGCAGCGGAGCGGTGACCAACGATGAACGATGGCGGTAGCGCCAGAGCACATGCGAGCAGGCGATTCTGATCTCGGGCTCGGATGCGTCAAAGACGAGCCACCATGGCGCCGGATCCACGGGCAGCTTGACGCGCGGCACGCACAGATCGGCCGCCAGCGCAATGGCTGCACATGCTACTACGTGCGGCCCGAAGAGACACACCACGGGCGTCTGAAGGCTGCAGATGAAGAACAGATGGCAAGATTTGTGAGCTGTCGAGACGTTGGGCGCTGTTGACATCGCTGCTTTCATACCTACGCATCATTGAGAAAGGACCAAGCATACTGTGCGAAGGACATGCGCTGCAAAGATGGCTCCGTGTCGCCTCGCTTGGCATTGTCTGGTGGCTGACGAGCAAGTGTCTTGGGGGTGACTTGGAGGTCGGAGCTCGCAAGGCCAAGAGCTTGCAGATAGTTGGGCAGAAGAGCGTGTGGCAGCACCACCTGAACGTTGAAACCCAGACGCTTGAGAATCTGCATTTCGGCCACCATAGCGCACTCGCGCAGACGCTCGTACTCGCCGGAATTGTATGCCAGAGGACGGTACTTGCGAGTCGACGATTGCGACGACGTTGCGTTCGCGACACGCACTCGATCTTCGGGAGGGACGCGATCTTGCAATTGAAACATGGCAGAGTGGAAGGCGTTGACAAGGTGTCTGAGTAGGACTTGCGTCTCCTCTAGCTTTGTTGACAGCAGTACGCACCCCAGTGCGATCTCGCTGGCGGAGAAGTCAGCCATAGAAGAGGTATACCAGAAGCGGTGGAAGAAGACCTGGGCCACGGCTGCAGTCCTCTGAGGAAGACGGAGAAGCACTCCGGTCTGCTGGATGATCTGACAGCCCAGGGCGCGGAGCTCCATCTCGAGATGGTGGGGCAAGCCGTCGTTCATGCAGGGCGTGAGTTCCAGCTGCTCGCGCGTGGCTAGCGGATTCAGCATCATTGTGAGACCTTGCAGCGCGAGGGAGCGATTGGCCTAGGAACTTTGGCACGCGCTGGTGATGGTCGAATGCTGTCACGATGCTTGGGTTCTTCTTCGTGACGCTCGTAATAGATGCAATTATGGCTCGGATGCCATATTGCTCTGATGCTCACTTGGCGTGTATGGGTGCCATCGACCGTCAAGTGGGCACTCCGAGGAGCCAAGAGGAAGTCATCTCGGTTTGGTTCTCTATCTCCCTGCGCACATGAGTGTCTGATGGTGATCAGGACGATCGAAGTATGCAAAACGTCGTGAAGCGCAGTCGGTTGGCACGGTGCGCGAAAATTGCATTTGTCAGATTGATCGAGATCACATATTGGAACCGGATTTTGAGATAGCGGTGCATGCAGCAGAGCACGCGTTGTGTAGCTCGTGAAAGAAAAGCGAGCTTTTGGGGAGAGGGGGAGAACCGAGGGTAGTGAGTGTTGTTTGTCTCTCTGCGACGCATGGCGGCGGCCTCTCGAGGTGTTGAACTGGAAATTCTGGCAAATTTCCACTTTTTCACGCCGAAGAGGTGTTGTTCCCAGCGGCAGCGGCGGCGGCAGCAGCAGCAGCAACATCAGCAGCAGCATCAGCAGCAGCTGCAGGAGGGCTCGGCGTGCAGCTGCGAGGGTCTCGCTCCCTTAGATTCCCACCGCCAACGGCACTTGGATTCATCCACCGCCGAGACGTTCAGCCGCATGCACCCAAACACTCGCAACCATCATCCCCACTCCTTATCTCGAACTTCTGTCGTCCCAACCTCGCACTCACTGCACCAGTTCAGTCTTCTTCGCACCCGCCTCAAACTGGACCGACTTGGATCGCCCCGAAACAGCTTTTTGGTCTGCCAGACCTGCGCTCCCCCACATTGCCGCCACAAGATGCCTTTGCAACGATAAGCGCGCGCATCCATTGGCTTTTGCTGCAACCACGTCTCGGCAACACACTGCAAGCCCTTCTGGCACGCCATCCTCTCGCGGCCAGTGATACAAGATGTCTTTCATCTCGTCAATATTCTACCGCGCCGCCGTAAGCGAGGAGTCCAGAAGGGCTCCCGTAGGCAAGTTCAACCGTCCCAGGCGTCCAGCGCCCCGAACGGGCAGTCTCAACCCCAACGACTTGGACGGCGAGCTTCCGATCGACGATGCTTCCGAAATCCCAGGCGAGCCGTCGGATGCCGACACTTTCCAGAGCAAGGTGAAGGTAATCGAGGAGATCATCGCCGAGGAGAATCTCTACAAGGTGCTCGGCATCGCGCGCACCGCCAAGAACGAGGACATCCGTCGTGCCTTTCTCACAAGAAGCAGGTCTTGCCACCCGGACAAGTTCCCGGACTATCCCGACTCCACCATCGCGTTCCAGAAGCTTGCATTCGCCTATGAGACGCTTTCCAAGCCGGCGTCTCGCCAGGCGTACGACTTTTCGCCTCACACCCACTCCATGTTCAAGGGCAAATCTCCGCACGATGCCTTTGACGACGAGTTCGGCGAGGCTTTCGCAGATGCTACCCTGCAAGACGTGCTGTTCACCGTCTATATCGAGTTCTTCGAGGGCGACTTTACATCCGTCAAGGCGCTGCTCAAGGTCCTCGCCGATAGTGGGCTGGGCACCTACAGCGATGCCAACATCAGCAGCATCGAAGCCAAGTTCCGCGTGCTCTCGCGCCTCATGCGTGCCACGCGCAGATACTCGCGCGTGCTGCTCAACGAGATGTCGCGCCTCTACGAGATTCAGCAGGACTTGCGCGGACTGTCGTACTTTGACATCCCGGGGCGTCTGCGCTTGACCCTACAGCTAGCACGCGTCACGCTCAGCATTCCGTTGGCCATCGATCAAGCCATGCAGAATCCAGAGGATTACGATCGCAAGGAATTCGGCCAGTGGTTCGAGGACATGCGCGCGCAGTCGTCCGACTACGACTCGAGCGACGACGACAACGACTCGGCTCGTGGCGATCGCGCATTCGGCTTGCAGGCCGAGGCGGATGCCAACGCGCCTGGCTCCGACGAACACGCTCGCATGCGCTACGTTCGTGCGCGCGACGCCCGCATCGCACGTCGCGCCGCTGAGCGTCGTGATCCAGCCTCGCAAGACGGCCCGAGCGTCAATGCGGAGGCGGCGGCCCTCCCACACGAAGAGGAGGTCAAGGAGCTGCGCGCCGGCTTCTTGGGCCCCACCACCACAGCACTTTTCACGGGCATGGTCAATCTGCTCGAAGCGGGCGAGGGCTGGGTGGGAGGCAAACCTGCATCCTGATCTCCAGATCGCACTGGACACAAGCATAGCGAGCTTCAAAGCCTGCGTGCAACCACATCCACTTGATCTTTCTCGCAGATCTCTCCTCGCATGAGGCCGCGGTGCGGGTCCCTCGACGCACCTGCGCCTCCGTAATATACCCCGTCTTGGCGCTGTCTTTGCCGTTTAGCCCTCATTGGAGAGGTCGCCTGGTTCGATGTGATGCGATCAGCTGCTCCGTCGTGTGGACCGCTACGAAATCGGCTCGAAATTTGATGCGCGTCGGTTTGGTGGCTGCTGCTACAGTATTATAAATTAGGGCGAGTGTGTGATTTCCGGGTTCCGAGAAAAAAGGGTGACGTCCGACACTTCACACTGTGCGCCACCTTGGCCGTCGTTGGAAGCTGCGCATCACCTGTCGATGATGATCCCAACATGACAGCCTCCACCGGCACGCGCGTCGCCCCCAGCGCTGCGGACTCCCAATGGCTCTTCGCGCCTTCGGATCTTCTTCTCACACCCTCTGTCCTCGGCGGACTGGATCCTGCGGAGGAGAAGCATCGACGCTGCAAGGGTGTCCATGCCATCTACCGGATGGGCGAGTACATCCGGCTCAATCAGCACGTCATGAACACCGCCTGCATCTACCTGCACCGCTTCTTTATGCGCAAATCGCTACAGAACGGCAATGTCGGGTATTCGCACTACGAGGTGGCTGCCGCTTGCGTGTTTCTGGCATGCAAGGTCGAAGAGTCACACCGCAAGCTGCCGAGCATCATCGATGCCGCCATGGCGTCGTTCGACAAGAGCCCAGCTGGGCAGCAGAGGTGGTTGGAACGCTCGTTACGAGCCGATCCAGCGAGCAAGGTGAGTACCTGCGAGCTGGCGTGCCATTCGGATCGCGAGGACTGACTCGGCCGCATCTTGGTACTCATAGGAGTTCGGACGCTGGCGCGACACGATTCTGGTCAACGAGGAAGAGCTTCTCGAGACGCTATGCTTTGACCTTATCGTCGAGCACCCGCACGAGATCCTGGTCAAGGCGTGTAGCCGTCTGGGCGTCGACACGCCGCTCGTCCGATTAGCGTGGACGACGCTCAACGACACGTAAGCACCACAGCCCGCGGTCAGCAATGCAACGACACACTGACGCGTTCCGTTTTTATTGTTCTTTGAATAGTCTGAGGGACTCTATATGCGTCACGTTTGAGGCGCCCGTTTTGGCGGCCGGGGCATTCTACCGCGCATGTACCGTGTCTCAGGTGGAGCCGACCAAGTTTAGCGCCCAATGGAAGGGCAAAGAGGCCGACGAGGCGCAGCTTGCATGGACCGACGTGTTTGACGTCGATGAAGACGAGGCGGCGGAAGCCGCACGAGCGATTGGCAGCGACGTGTATGCATCGCACGAGCAACATGCGCATTGACCGAACATCTCAACACGAGCTTGCATGTGGCTTGAAACGGCAACCCTTCTTCTTTGCGAGCCAAAGCAACACGGCAGTGCCCCTTCGACGAGGCTGAAGCGATCAAATGCACACGGGAAGAGGGTTGGTTGGCAGGTGCGGCGCAGCCAAAGTGAAGCTCACGCACTGACCCGCGCCTGACCATATTTAAATAATAACGCGCCGTGGAACGCACGGTCCCTCTGGCTCCTTCGAGCGCAGCGGCTTTCCATCCATCCACCACATCTCCTCCTCATCATCACCTCACTCATCGCCACTCGATCAATTACTCTACCATTTTTACTGTCGCTTCCGCTGTGTTGTCCATATGGACTTCCGCATCCCACACAACTCGATCACTGCCAGTGATGGCAAGGCAGCGCCCTCGACGCCGAGGCGCGCGCACGCACAGCCATCCGAGGAAATCGTCGCACAGGCGCTCGTATCGCCCGACCGATCAAAGGCACGTGCATGTGCATCTTCGCTCGCATCGCTTGGCGCATGGCGAGAACTTTGCTTTCTCCACGAGGAGATAAGCCGTGACATCAGGTTGAGAGACAATTACAACAAGAGACACTTGCGTACTCTCGTCGAGATTGCGCTCGAGGAAGCAAAAGAAATTGTCGAGATCATGCCTCGACTCCGCGACGCCCTCATCCCGCGCGGGTATGCACTCGACACGTCTCACTCGCTAGCACTGCAGTCGGCCTTCGTGGCAGCCTATCGCGACGTCGGCGCACAGCTCGAGCCTCTCGCCCCCGACCATGCGCTGGCTTACGTGCTGCTCAAACTGCCGCGATTCCTCCAATTGCCCTCAAGAGATCCAGAGGTGCGCGAAACGAATACGCAGCTCGCCAACCAGTTTGGCCGCGATTACCACGGAGACGCACCAGAGCGCTTTCTTGACTTCGTCATCGACCTCGACCGTTCCTACGACGCGCTTACCCAAGGCGACAAGCAACCATACTATCGCGGCACTCCCATCGTGCAGTCCAGCGGTACTGGCAAGACGCGCATGGTGCTACAGCTGCGCTCCTACGCGCCCCTCCTCTACGTCTGCATCCGCGACCACTTCGCCGACAACAATGCCAAAGCGGGCTATCCATTTCCCGATGAAGGTGTTCGCGACTACTTCGACCCCGTGGCTGTGGACGACTCGTACATGATCCAAGTCACCTGCTTCCTCGCCGCCTGGTTTCAAGTGCTAGCAGAGGCGCTCGCCAGCCAGCATGCTCAAACGAGCAACTCCTGCTCCGACAAGATCGCCCAACTCAAATTCGCTTATCTTTGGAAGCTCAACGCGCTCGACGAGCCCAACGGCATCAATTCCGCGCGCAACGATTTTTTCGATCGAGTCTCCAAAGCCGCCAGTGCAGTTTTTGGCATCGCACGCGTCGACCATCGCACCAGACTCACGCGCATCCGCCATCTTCTGCGCGAGGAAGAAGAGAAGCAGCAACGCTCACAACATGCACCCGGTCACATCGCCAGCTCGTCGGCGTGGCGACTCGAGCGGGAGAAGCTGCTCAACGTGATCATGGAGGAGCAGCTTGCCGGTCCGCTTGCGGCGCTCAGCGAGCAGCTGCAGGATGTATTGCTGCATCTCAGCCGTCTGCACCCGGGCCGACCCAATCCGCCACCCGTGCTTGTCGCTTTCGACGAGTGCGTCCTCCTCGACCGCGACCGCGAAGGCGGCGAGACGCAGCTCGACTGCCTCCGTCGCGTGTGGAACTTCCTCGGCAATTTACGCAACAACGACGGCGCCGGCTCGGCTCGTTTCTGGCTGGTCCTCATGAGCACCAGCAGCAGCGCCGCCCAGCTCGTCGAGTACGTCGGCGCAGGCCCATCGGCACGACGCAAGGAGTCGGCGCCCTTGCCTACCTTTGTCGGGCTCAACCTTGACGTGCTCGCCTCTCAGGACGCGATCAACGTGACGTGCGCGGCGCAGGTGGCCGAGCTCCACCACATGGTCAAATATGGCCGCCCGCTCTGGAATTCCTTGGTGGGCTTTGACGACTTTTGGCACTCGGCCAGAATGAAGCTGCTGGGCGGCGACGACTTCTTTGCGCCGCAAGAGGTGATGCAGTGCTACAGCGTGCTCGCTTCGCGCCTCGCGCTCACTCTTCTGCCTGCTCAGTCGAGCGATTTTGCGACGCTCAATTTGCAGAAGACCAATGCCCAGCGCGCGGTGGATCGACATATGCGCATCGTCGACGACATCGGCCAGGATGGCAGCATGCGTGTCATCTCGCCGTCGGAGCCCGTGCTGGCGATCACCGCCGCGCTCATCATGCAGCCCATGGAAGAGGTCGACACCGAAGTCGACGGTCCCCTCCGCGGGCAGGGGTCGACTATGTACGCCCGCATCCTCTCAGAGTTTCATACCAGCTGCTTGCACAACAAGGCGCTGCCGCTCTTCAAGGGCGTGTACGGGGAGCTTGCAGCGCGGATCATTCTGCTCGCTGCGTGGGACGCGGCGAAGCGCGACCGCATCGTCGGCGTCTGGAGGCAGGATCGGCTCCGCTCGGCGTCGTCTGCGGAGCGCCTCAAACGGTACGCCGCGATGCTTGGCGAACCGGAGCCGGTCGAGCGCTTCGTCGCTGGCTTGGCTGATCCCAACGAGGTGGACACCGAGCGGCTCAGTCAGCGCGTACAGCAAGTCAAGGAGGCAGCGGGCAGCGCGGAAGCCTGGGTTCACTTCAGCCATTTCGACGTGCTACCCGAGCCTATCGCGCACATCTCAACCGACTATCTCTGGTTCTGCTGGAAGCGCGGCGTTGCGCTTCAGATGGCGCACGTTCAACGCGGTATCGACGGCATCATTCCCGTGTTTCTAGGCGACCTCAAACAGGCCTTTGACGACGAGAAAGAGGCGGCGAAGCAGATGTCGTATATTGCATGGGAGGCCAAGCACCGTCTTGAAGCCCAGCCTTCGTCCCACACCGCCTCCCCTGGCCATCTCGCCGGTCCTCTCCTGAAACACACGATCAAGAGTGGCCTGTCAGGTGGCGCGCTGACGAAGCGTGGCATGCTGACGGTGCTGATGGATCTCAGCGCAACGACAACATTCCTTAAGACGCAGACGCAGCGACCTATCATCGAGCCTTTGTCTGCGGATTCGGTGCGCCTCAATGTGCGTGGAGCACGCGACGCGACCTGCTTACCTTGCCTCGACAGGCTTGGCATACGCGATGTGCTAAATCGACTGCTTGGTACGACGATGCAGCAGGCACGAAACAGCCTCAACCAGGTGGGCAATCCGATCTGGAATCACGAACATCATCCCGACCGTCACAAGGCAGCCCCAAGCGAGGAGCAGATGCAAATTGATTAGGCGCCGGAATTTTGTCGAACACACCATGACCACCCCATGCGAGCTCAATTGAGTTTGTTTTTTGCACACACATCCTGTAACGTGTTTTCTATCTCGCGAGGCCCTTTTATTAATATTATCAAGTGTGTTGCACGGACCCCACAGGCAGCGGCAAGAATCGCGAATTCCTCACGAATTACATGCCGAGCATTCCCGAGCGTCTGCGAATCTTCAGGTCACCACATTATTTTTGCATCGGCAGAACTGCCGCTCTAGTCGAGTCCAGCTAAGAAGTCGACGACAGTCTCGTTTCGGCTTGGCAGTTGGAGAGCGCGATCGCTACATTGCCCCGTGTCAGAATTGGAGGATGGGCAAATTCAAGCTTGCGATGGTGGCGGCCATGTCGCTAACGAATGGCATCGGTAAAGATGGTGGGCTTCCATGGCGACTCAAGGGAGAGATGGCATACTTTCGGAACCTCACCAGCCACGTCTCGGACGGAGACAAGCAGCGGGGCGTCCGCAACGCCGTCATCATGGGCAGGAAGACGTGGGCCAGCATCCCGCCAAAGTTCCGTCCGCTGAGCGGGCGCATCAACATCGTCATCAGCCGCACGCAAAGCGCCCAAGATCTCGGAGTGTAAGTTCCATGCCTTTGCTCCTTCGACTTGCTCGACTGCTTTGCGCATGCTAACACCTCCCCGCCTTGCCTCAATCTTGTGCGATGTCCCTACAGCGACCCTGCCTCGAAGGACGTGCGGGTGTTCGCATCGGTCGAGGATGCCCTGCAATACCTCGCCGGCCCGCCCTCCGGAGATACCGCAGCCATTGGCAGAGTGTTTGTCATCGGAGGCGCACAGCTCTACGCCGAGCTGCTCGACCTGGACAACAGCATAGCGACGGTGGACAAGCTCTTGGTCACACGCATCTTGGCGCCCCAGTACGACTGCGACGCGCACTTCGCCGAATTCCGCACGCGAGAGCAGTTGGACGCCGACGCCGACTTGGCCAAGAAAGTCGCTCCAGCCGCGATCGGGGCACCGGTCGAGGCGTTGCTCGAAAAGCATCTGCCTCAACTGCTTGAGCAGTCGCGCTGGACACAGGCTTCACCGCAGGCATTGCGCGACTATCTGGGCACTTCAGTTCCGGCTGCTCTTGCCGACTCGCCGGATTTGGTGTCGCGCGAAGACGAGACTTGGTATCAGTACCAGCTGTGGATGCGCCAGGACTGAATCGCAAACAATTTCTAAGTTACCGAGTGGGGGAGAGCGTATCTCTCTGCGTGGAGGCCGGGAAGTGACAGTGTGCGAGTGAGAGCGACATGGATCGGCAAGAGGCGACATGAGGTTCATCGAGTGAAGAAACAAAGCACTCGGCAATTGCAGCCGAGGGACAGCATCCAGATTTGGCGATGTGGCGGAACAGGGGCGAACGTGCTATGAATGTGATGTAATGGCCGGGAATCAGTTGGAAGCGGGCTTGCGGCAGACGAAGAGCATCATGGGGGTGAAGAGCTTGGTGCGGCCGCCGTCGACGAGCGCGTCGGCAGCTGTGACGAGCGATGCACCGACCGAGTGGGTGCCCTGAGGAACGAGGCGCAGGGTCTCGAGGACCTTGACGGCGGTCTGCGTAGTCGCGCGTCCGATCTTGGTCATGCGTGCGACGGTAAAGTAGTCCCAGACGGTCTGGCAGTCTCGGAGGCTGCCGGCGATGGGGTAGTACCAGGGAATCTTGTCTCCGCGGTCGGCGAGATCCTCCTCGTGCTCGATCTGGAAGCCGACGGTCTTGAGGGCATCGCGTGCGGCCTTGATGGAGCGCATCTCGGGGATGCCGTCGCCGACTTCGATGCCGTGCGCGATGCGCTTGTGCTCGGGGTTGGAGGCGTCCCAGGCGTCGGTCATGCACCACTCGTACACGCCGAAGATTCCGCCGGGCTTGAGGACCTTCTGGATCTGGCCGTAGATGCCCTCGAAGTTGGGAGCGTGGCAGGTGGCCTCGATGGCGTAGACGGCGTCGAAGCTGTTTTCGCCGAACTGCTCGTCGAGCTTCATGAAGTCACCCTTGACGAACTCGACCTGGGCGGAGAGGCCGGCCTTTTCGGTGTACTTGCGTGCGCGCTGGATCTGGTATTCGTTGTTGTTGAGGCCGACGATGTTGACGTCTGCGAAGCGAGCGATCTCGCGTGCGGGGCCGCCGACGCCGCATCCGACGTCGAGGACGCGCATCTTGGGCTTGAGGCCCATCTGGTGTGCGAGGTAGTGCTCGTGGCGGGCGATGGCCTGCATGAAGGCCTCTCCGGGGTAGTAGCGGGCAAAGTGGAAGTTCTGGCCCCATCCGTACTCGTAGAGGTCGGTGGCGCCGTCGTAGTAGCCGTTGACTACCGAGGTATACTCGGAGAGACGGTTTGCCATGTCGGTAGCCGAGTCATCCTTGGAGTCCTTCTGCCAGAACTTGGTGTAGTTGGCGATGCCCTCGTTGTTGCGGACGTCGGTAGCTGTGGGCGCCATTTCTGCAGGAGAAGAGTGATGGGAGGTCAGTTGAGCGGGCTGGCGCAGGTGTTGCATGCATGCAGGTGCAGTGACTTACTGGAGGTTGTCAAATGAGTGTTGAGAGGTGTAGGAGGGAGATATTTAGCAGCGGTGATGGTGGTGGTGGTGACGGTGTTGTCGAAGCGATGGTGGAGATGCGGAGTTGCCAAGACAAGGGTGTTGAGGTTGGCCACACCACCACACGCAGGTGCCATTTGGCCTTCTGCTGCTTGTTGGGTCGGTTGGGCTGCAGCCGCCCGCAAGAGACAGGGACAGAGAGTTGGCCAGCGCGCCTCGCAGTTCTTCTTGCATGCACGCGGCTGTGGCGGCGGAAATCATCAGATTTTGAGTGCATCTGCCGAGGGGGGGGGAGAGAGAGACACACACACCCGAGCGCACGCAGTCAACCCACGCACGCAGGGTGTCGCGTCTGATTCCGACTGATTTCGAAAACGAATTTTTGGAAGGCAGCCGACACAGCCATACGCTGCCACCAGTCACTGCGCGGGGATGGGCGGTGGAAAAGGAGCGTGAATTGGGCGACACGCTGCCGCGCACCAGCACGCGTTCTTCCAGGACAGCCAATGATACTCGGCTACTGAAAATGAGCTGATTCCCTCTCGCCGCCGCGCCGGAGCCCACCATCCCGTGAGAGAGGGAAGGCTGCTCGACTCGCTTTGTAATCAGTGGTCATCATCGCTCCTCCACTTGGGCAGGTCAGCCCTTTTTTGGTGCTCTCGGCATGGATCGTGTGCTTTTTTGATGCTTCGAAGCATCCTTTCGGCACCGCCGCTTCCACCACAATCACAGAACGAGCCTGCGGAGGAGCCGACAAGCAGCCATGTCTTCTGCATCGGAACAGCGAGACCTCTTCGGCGGTGCGATCACCGTCAGCCTACCAGAGGGCTTTATCGATGCCAGCGACTTTCGGCAGGTTCCCGACAACCAGGAGGTTTTGGTCCGAGACGACTCGGATGTGAGCCTGATCGTCGAGGTGCTGCAGCTAGCCACGGACGAAGGAGCCGGCGAGTCACTCGACAGGGCTGTCAGGTAAGTGCTGCTTCCTTTCTTGGCTGTCTGACCTTGGCTTCTCATCGCAGCTGACGCTTGACTCGCTTCGATGCTGCAGATTCCACTTTGATTCGCTCGCCCACGACAATTCGGCCAGCAGCTCCTCGATCCAAGCGACCCAGATCCCCACAGAGCAACAAGCGCACTCATCCGCCACTCCGCCACCTGCACTGCTCACCGGAACGCAGCTCGTACGCAAGTTTGGCAAGTCCACCGAGCCCGAAGAGCAAGTCACCATCCGTGTGGCGCTTTGGCGGCTCGTCTCCAAAAACATCGATCTTGTCCTCAGTGTCAACGAACCGGCCAACGCCTCTTCATCACCAATGAACCAATCCGGCTTGGCACAGTCTGCGTTCGAGGCGGCAGCAGCCTCTCTGCAGATCCGCGACTGGGATCTTTTTGCGTAATGCAATTCTTGCATCGATGGCCTTCCGCATGTGTGTGGCTCAGATACGTAGACCAATCCTTCCGAGCGCAGTGGGTATGATGTGGTTTGACTGTTTGCTCGGTGAGCGTAAAGTCGATTTGGTGACTTGGTCCAAAATCGCCACGCCAGGGTCCAAGGCTACTCAGCCGGCGCGTGCGTGGTTCAAACGCTCTTTTGGGTGATTCACACGCAGCTGTGGCAGCGCGTCACCATTTCGTGCAGATCCCAGCAAATGCACGTCAGCTTTGGCCACCTTGAAAGTCCATCAATATCGCACAGCGCCGCTTGCTCCTCACACCCTCCCCATCCATCCATCCATCCATCCATCCATCCATCCATCCATCCATCCATCCAAATCCGTACCGCAGTACATTCCAGACCTTCCTGCGTTGGCTAGAGCTCGCTCTGGTAACAGCTTCAGTCTCGTTCGGCAGGATACACCTCGCATCGTTCGACCTGGCGAGCTCAATCGCACCAATGGTGGCCGTCTCCCGCACCGGCGCGTCTTCCTCCCTCGCATCCTAGCGTGACGTACGAGTGCACAGTGGCTCTCAGCGCCATCTGGACCCTGGATCTGCCTCGCATCCCACCATGTCGCAGTCGACGCCCACAGCCGTCACCAAACGCAAGGTGATGGGTCGTATGGACTCCGCTCCTGCCGAGTCCCCCTCCGGCTCCGTCACCCCAAATGCTCGTCCACGCATCGTTCGAGCTCAACATGGCTACTCTTCTCCTTCTCTCTCCAACACGACCACACCAACTGCGTCTCGTCCCACCGCAGGCACCGGACGCGCGCGTGTTGACATGTCGGCGTTCGCAAGTCCAGCTCAATCCAGCCCAGCCATGTCTCCCTCTACCAGTCGCCCCATGTCGGCATCCTCGGCCGCATCAGCCAACATCACCGCAAGGCTGTCTGCTCCATCGCCTTCCGTTCGCTCCCACACACCTTTGCACGCCAAGTCAAGCTCGTCCACGGTTGGCGTCGCTGCATCATCCTACAAGCTCCATGAGGCCCGCATCGATCCACCAGTCGACCCAAACCTCGCATCTCTACGCTCACCCAGGATACGCACTCGCAACGGCAGCGTCGATCTTTCCGCCTCGCCTTCTATTACATCGCCCTCGTCGAGACCACCACCAGCTTCTCAGTCCATGGCCTCCATCCCGAGAGCCGAACAGTCGCAGTTTCACAAGCCCTTCGCAGCCACCGCGTCACCTCGCCCCGCTCCAGCTCTGCCCACTCGTCAACTGCTGTCACCTCAACGTCAACAAGCGCCTGCAGACCAGGCAGCGCTCAGAGCTACGATTCGTTCTCCCTCACCCACCCAAACAGCAGCATCCACTCCCTCAATCGGACGCGCGTCATGTCTTCAAAACACGACGCAACCACCCACCCAGTACCCATCAGGGCGACAGACGCCTTCAATAGCCTCGGCGCAGGCCTCGGCTGGAGGAGGCACCGCACCGGGGAGACTAGCGAGCGACTTTGCATCCAGCACGCCCGCCGACGATCTCCCCGCGCCCCCACTCTCTGCAGGCGAGCGTTGGCCCGATGGGGCATCGGGCGGTTACTTCCGACCTGATCAGACCCCGGCTGCGTCCAACTGGCGCGCTTCTTTACGTTCCGGCTCTACATCCCAGCGTGCTGCCATCCCATCTGCCTTTGCGGATCTCGCGGATGGCCTGCGTTCGCCACGTCGCTCCGAAGACGCTCGCAGCAGCTTCGCCTCGAGCTCTCATTCGGCCTTGATGGCGAGCTTGCCGCTGTCTCCGACCTCGGACACGCCGCGATCTCCCAGCGAGGCCGGCGAGGCCGAGGAGGCTCGCATCCATCGCAAGCTGCTCGACTTGGAGATCACCAACAAGAGTCTGTTGGCCATCAACTCGGCACTCGAAGTCACCAAGCTCAAACAGGCCAAAGAGATTCGCGAGCTCAAAAGGCGTCTCAGAGAAGGCAGGAGTTTGTCGTTCGGGGCTGTCTCCCGCGACTCTGTTGGGAGTGGCGTGTTTAGCGACGATGACGCCCTCGAGTCGGAGAGCGACGACGATGCTAGCGATTTTGTTATGGCGAGGGAGGATCCAGAGTTGGAAGCGGCGCATCAGCGATGCAAGGACTTGGTCGACGGTATGGTCGAACAGGCGCGTCGAGCCATCCTTGCCGAGTACGAGGCTCCGGAGAATACGGGCGGCAAGGTGCTGCACCCCGCCGAGATCGAAGAGATGCAACGCGTCGCCGAGGAGGGCGACGAAACGGGAGCCGATACAACGTTTGCGACCGACCTGCTCGAGACGTCCATCACTTTCGACCACTCTTCCGGCGACACGAGCCGCGAGGATCTACCAGCTAGCTCGTCTCTGCAGCTACCGAATGGCGTCCATCTACCCACCGATGCAGCATCCTCAACCCTCTCAGATGACGCCGTTGACGACGTCCTCAAGCAGAGCGGTCCATATGCAAGCGGTGGAGATGTATCCATCGACTGACATTCGTGTCCGCAACTCGAGTCTCGGCGACAGCTTTGTTTTCTGATACCAATCGTCCCATC